GCACAATCTATAATTTATTTGAATAACATCCTCAGGCCTAATATTGCTCATGTGACACATCGCGGACATTCTCTCAGTTCTGTACATATTATTTGTATTGCACTTCGGTTTTTTTGCAAACGGGAGCTTTCTGTATAATATTGGTGACACTGAGCACGTTTCCAAGGCTACCGTCTGTCGGGCAGTCAGGAATGTTACAGTTGCACTGAAACGTCTCCTGTACACGTTTGTGGTGTTCCCCGGTCATAGACCCACAAGATTTATCAAAGAGGGATGCCACAAAATTGCAGGTATCAGGATGAACAAAACTTAATTCATGATGTGGTGATATTTGAACTACTACTTAAATTTTACATTTATTCTCACGGTTCCCAGGCGTGATTGGCTGTATAGATGGCACTCACATTCCAATCATTGCTCTTTCAGTAAATGAAGGAGACTATGTGAACAGGAAGTCTTTCCACAGCATTAATGTACAGGTACATAGTTCCCTGTAGCATTTCAAACTAACAAATTATTCCAGTATAGTAATGGATGCTAATTTGTGTTCTCTGCACTGTGAAGATCATATGTGATGCTGCCAACATTATCACAAATGTGGAAGCCAACTGCTCAGCCTCTGTGAGTGGTGGTGGTGGAGGACCCCCACCTGTTTTTCGGGCCTCCGCTTTTTTTCTGTTGGCTATAACGGGTCACATTTGAGCATACAGAGTAAGCAAATATGTACTTGCAATGTGCTCAGATAATTTCAATAAGTGCTTACAGAAAGAAAATTAATGTAGCCTCTAACTGCAATTGGTTTACATGGGACAAACAGACCAAGCACTATGGCTCATAATACAATTACGCCTTACCTGTTTGGACTATATTTTTACATTTCATTTTTACTTGCTGCCAGGAACGTTTGGGGCCTGTTGGGTTGCACCTGCGCTCACATCACATCACAAAATCAAATGTATAAATTAAAAAATAAAATAAAATAAAATAAAATAACGTGTTATATGGGTGGAAATCCCTAGATCAATGTTTAAATTAACACTCACGCATTGACTCTGTCGGCTATGTTTTGCCATGCATGCTCCCTTTCTTTTGCAGCTGAGGCTGTGTTACTTTTTTTCCGCAAAATTTGCATGTTATCGGCATATGCTGCCATCAGAATTTCGGCCTCAAGCGCTGTAAAATACATTGACCGCGCCTTCTTTCCCTCCGTCTCCATGGTGACTCGCTTAATCTGTGCTCCACTAATCAGGGCTTTATGTATCCTCGTGCGCGCGTTTAACTTGGGGTTAAAGCAACTCCGCGTTGATTGAACTAATTGTTATCAGCCTTTCTGAAACCGAATATTCCGAGTTGGACAGTTCGGGGTTACTCAACCCTGAGTATCGTTTTTCACTCTGAGTTTTCTAAACCGGCTTCCTGAAATAGGGCCCAGGTCCTTGAAGGGTAATACAGTTTGAAGCTGGAGGATCTCTATATAAATATCGGATAGCAGTTAGGTCCCCTAACTTTCAGTAGCTGTTGAAAGGAAAAAGTTGTGGTATGTCAGTGGTTAGAAATACCATTATTATTTTAGGATTAGTTTAACACAAAGTCAGGGCTGACCCAGGACCATTGCTGTGAGTCGCAGTGCGCAGCATAAAAGTCCTTTCACATCGGACGCAGGATGTGCTGCTAATGCTAACTGCTAACTAAAAGCAAAGGATCCAGAATTTGTTACGCTGGCTGCTGGGCTCTGTGGGTTTTTGCAGCAGCTCTACCTGTACTAGATGCACCTGCTCCTTGTCTTTTCTATCTCTGACTTTATGTCCTCTACAAGAGTTTGTTTTTTTTTGGTTTTTTTTGCTAGTTCTTCAAATGTTCAATAAAAACATGTATGCTAATTCATAACGAAGAAAGCTTTGTGATGAAGACTGTCATTTCCAAAACACTGCCCGCCCCCCCGCGGTCCACAGCGCTGTTGAAAAGGCTGTGGAAGTCCCTGTATTAAACACGTAGACCTGTGACACAAAAATCACCAAACTTGGACGACCACAGACTGTTTTCCTTCATGATGATGAAGGAAAACACTGGTTTGGCATGTAAAAGGGCACCTGCAGTTCAAAAAAAGCGCCCCTCCGACAGCCAAACCCATCTGTTCTCTGATTGGATTGTTACATTTGTGATTGACATGACATTGATCAATCAGATGGAAGGAAGAAAAATAGGGTCAAAATTCGTACTTGTAACTTGCAGGGTTTTTTTTGGCTAAGTCCACACACAAATCTTTTTTACGCACACACAAATTCTTTTTACACATACAAATCTTTTTTTACACACACACAAATTCTTTTTACACATACAAAACTGATTTACAAGTACAAAATATTTATGACCACATTTTGAGCCCATCGATTTGTTTGGTTTTGAAAGTGACAACGAAGGAAAGAAGCTGAGAGTGGATGACGTAGCCATCCTGAGCCTGTTCGTATCCAACACTGGAGAAGAGGACTTGGGTGGTTTTAGTGCGCAGGAAGATGGTGGTGAATGACTGACTTTTCTTCCTGTTAAAGCTGTGTCACTGCACCTGAGCCTAAAAGGTAGTCCGAATCTACTTTTCTGGTGTGCTGTAGGTTATTGTTATGTACTACATTTGTTATTCATTTATGAAGCACAGTACATGTTTCATACTTGTAATTACTGCTACTTGTACATATACCTAAAAAGTTATGCAAATATGTACCCATAACTTGTTTTTCAAAATATTAATAAAAGTGATGTCTCCAAACAGCCATCTCTTTCCTGACAATTCCCTTTGTGCATATTCTCTTACATATGATAAGTCAACATTGAAACACCTGCGGCTTTTAGTCAGGTGCGGCTAATGTATTTACAAAACAGGATTTTCCCCTGATTTGAGCTTGTGCGGCTAATATTCAGGTGCGCTTTGTAGTCCGGGAAATACGGTACATAAAGTTAGATAAGTTGTGATTGCCTGCCTCTATTGGGATCATCATCCTTGCAGTTATGTAGAAACAAAGGGGGAAATGAATCCACATTCTTACTTTTGATAAATTTGTTACTTCACACAGCTGACCTGCTGAACATAAAGCAAAGCCAAATGTCACGGTTATGGGTCATGTTGACCCAGTATTTTCAGTTTCTTATGTTTTTTGGTATTGTTCTGTATTGTGATTTATGTCTGATTCTTTAGTTATCCTGTTTTGATTATTATTACAAATCTGTGTCAGTTTATTCTGGTCTAGGGTTTAGTTCTTAGGTTTTGTGTCCCATGGTTAGTATAGGTCTAGTTCTGTGTCTGCATCTTTGTGAGTTGTTCCCTGTTTTATTTTGAAGGGCTATGTCTTATGTCAGTGTGTCAAGCTTCGCTCCCCGTGTCTCGTTATCCCTAATCTTTCCCAGCTATGTCTCCCTCTTGTTTTCCATTCTCTGACTATGCCTCAGTGTATTTAAGGCGTGTTGCTTTGTGTCAGTGTTGCGTCGTACCCTCAGAATTGCCTGTGTGTTGTTGTCTTAGCAATCTCAGTTTGATTCATGTTTTGTTTTGTGCCAGCAATAAAGCTCTGGGTTTTGAGTTGCATTCAGTGTCCGAGTCCTGCATTTGGATCCTCACTTCCGCCTGCCCGCACACAGAGCCCTGACACCAAATACCAAAAGTTGTGGAAGTAGATGCTTCTGTAAATTGATACCAATTTAAAGCTATTATAAGTTACAGATATCAGTATTCTAGGTGATGTTTACTGTAAATTGTACAATACAGCACAATTTGTGCTTTTTTTCTGTGGTGTTTTGAGTTCTAGTATTTGCCTGTATTTACTTTACACATTGAGCTTTGTTGTACTTTCTCCACCTCTCTGAGTTAACTACTACAACCTGATACCTGTATCCTTGACACTATTCTGCTATTACACATGCCAGTCAGCAAGCAAGCTCACATACACACTGTTCCTGACTTACCAGATCACTCAAGCAAGAATCCACATACCCGTCGAACTTTATCTTCCTCACGCTTTCCAACTGATTTTGTGTTTCTTGTTTTTCTACGATTTATTTCTGTTCATCAGCTTTTTCTGTTGTCTTCTTCCTTTCGGATTTTCTTGAACTGTTCAGCAGAGGATGGCTTTAAGTGTGTGCACTGTTTGCCTTGGAAGCTTCAGTGCGACAAAGAGAGCTTGAGAGATGGGAGTGTGTCATCTGAAGTGGGAGGAGGATAGATGGTGATAGTAGTAGTAGGTTTTAAATGACACAAAGACTGTAAATGTATTATTTCCAAATCGACAACACAAATTGAACCAAACTAATTTTATGTTTATGTAATTTTTTTGTTACTGACCCCAAGACATGTCCTTACATAGCTATTTCAGCTGTAAATAACTTAATTATGCATGTCAGGGGGAGGAGAAGTCATGTGTAAAATTGCACAAATCAGAGTCAGTACTTATCTTGTGAGCAAGTTGTAAGATAGGATTCATACACATTCAGGTAATGAGCAGACAAGTCTAGCCCATTGTGCTCCTACACATTCTTAGATATAACTAAGTTATAGGAAGTGCTTCAGTTACAGTCTGAGGGCTTTTCCTGAGGCCTGTGCTGTTGTAGCACAAATCTGTAAATCTAGACCAATGACAGAACAGATAAGTCTGGGAGTTTTTTCATACCACTTGGCATAGACATGTTTTGGATTCCTGTCATGGATTACTCAGTGTCTCTTGTTCTAAATACTGACTTCAGATCAATCTTTAAAATGCAACACGCATGGACTTGTAGGAGAGTAGACATAAACAGTCCATGGAATGTCAAGAAATCGTGTAGTTGAATAAAAATCTACCCTCTGCCCACATTGGCTACCTATAACTAATTTTATAGCAATTAACTCAGTGCATCAACATCAGACTGCAAATACATACAATACATGTGAAGACTGGTGAACACAAGTGACTCTCTGTGCTTATTTTTTAGTTTAGTCAGTGTGATAAGAAAAAAAAAGTTTTTTCTGTTTGCAGGCATATCATGACTGAACTAATTGAAACAGAAAGGCTGTATGTTGAGGAGCTGCAAAGCATCATGGAGGTATAGTATTTCAAGTGACTGAGATCTTTGTATCCATTTTACATGGTTGTGGCTTATTTGCATCCAAAAAGCTGCCGACCTGAACTGCTTACTTGGAATTGCACCTGTTTTACATCTTGAGAACAAAGCTACTACAGTAAACAGTCCTTAAATCTTCTAATCATCTCCCAGAATTGTTATAGAATTTTAAAAAGTTCTTTAACTGTTAAAGGATCATTCTAGGTAGACACAGTTTACCTATTGTTTTCATACACATTGGATCTAGACTGACATTCTCTCAGTTTCCTGCCACTGCAAAAGTAGTGCAAAGAAAATGTAAAGAAAAAGCAATGCAGAAGTGACTACACCCTTGTACAATGCTGTGGTATGTAATGCAGTAAATGTAATTCGTTTCTCAATCAAAAAAGGAGCAGTGCAAAAGTATTTTTTTAGTGTATTTGTTTTTTTTATACTGATGTCTCTGAAGTGAGACTGACTGATTTTTACATTTCGCTGTTGTTTCTTTATTATTTCATTTTTTGAACCTCCCTCTCACCCTGATTCCCAGGGTTATTTTGCAGAGCTGAATAACTCTGAGCTTAGCCACCTCATGCCACCATCACTGGAGAACAAAAGAGATGTGCTGTTTGGAAACCTGCCGGAGATATATGAATTTCACAACAAGTAGGTGGAATTTACTTTATTTTGCCATTGGCCTCGACATATACACAACTATAACTTGGAAACACTGATGTCAGCAAAGATATATCACAGAAAACTGTGATATATGAACAACTCCTCTTTTAAAGGATTACCAGATGACTGGTAATGTGCCTTCTCTTAAAGTATCTTTTGCCTGGAGAAACATATTTCACTTGATGGCAAATGTGCATCATTCAAATAGCTGTCAGTTTGTACTATTAAATGATATACCGGTTGCACTCAGGTAATCCTGTAATTTTAAACCAAAAGCTCTCCCTAAAGAATTTCTAAAAAACTGGACTAACAGGAAGTCAAAGCATGCACTGCACACAAACCACACCTCCCCATTGCTTCTTGTTAAGGCAATCATGTGTGGTTCATATCAGTATATGTATCTCTGTGAATTTATTTAAATATCAAAACCTGAGAAAATGTGTAAAATGTATTTAAAAACAGAATACACTAATTTGCAAATCTCATGTTTTACTGACAGTAGAAAACAGAAAACATATCAAATGCTGAGAGATTTTATTATTTCATGAATTCAATGGTAGTACGACATCTCTTAACAGATCACTTTGATGATTAGTTAGATTTACCAACTTAACTAAGATCTAATTAAAAGACTAAAGTAACTAGACCTAAAGATTATGTAATTTGCATACACCTAATTAGTTTTAAGTAATTGGGATGCAATGTGTATTGTTTTCTTACTTTGTTTTCATGTATTTTCTGCAGGACATTTCTCATGGAGCTGGAGAACTGTGCAGAGAAACCAGAGCTGGTTGGAACCTGTTTTCTGAAAAGAGTGGGTATTTAGAAATACCCGCAAGTACCTGTAAAAGGGTTTATATTAGTACTTCCTTTACGTTAGTGGTTACTTTTTTCTCCATGGCTATAACAGTGCACTTTTAACAGTACAAGGAATAACATGATATATTTTGCTCTTACTTTAAATGCACCCACACCAGGGACACTTGAATACTTTTCCTGCCATATCTGAGAAACTAATGACATAATGGAAAAAATATGTCTCTCACTAGCAATATTTGTTGTTCTTTAATGTGAAAAAAAATGTCCAGCCAACAATTCACACATTGACAGAGCAAACATTTGTTCCAGTTTCCAAGTATCAACTCCTCAGTCCAGTGAACCAAATGCTGCTTTGAAATATGAGAAAAGGTACCCGAAGGATCTGAGGACAGGAACTAATGAAACCTTTAAGGTTTTGCAGGTGAAACTGAAAATAGACACCCTCCAGAATCAGGTGTCTGGAAAATGAATTCCTTGCCAGGACCTCAGGTTGTAAACCTTAAACGTCTTTAAGGCTGAGACGTGGCATGGAGATAGCCATTTTTTTTTTTTTTTTTACAAAAGAAGTTAAAGGTCGAGACTTGACAATTCTTCAAAAATAGGCAGATAAAGAGTAATGAGATCTTCATTAAAGGTCTGCGGGCTAACAGGCAAGGAGTCTTGATTACTGGCGCAAATTCGCACTTCACTGGGCATGTAGAGAAAGTAAGGAGAAGCAGATTTTTGTCACAGATGATCTATTCATGGGCTGAGACTTAACAACAATATAGAGCAATGATAGTTATTCAAAGCCATAATCTTTTGTCATCTAGTTATCATTAGACAGGTAAAACCAGACCTTCCATTCTTTGAAACAGGGAGATCTGATACTGTGAATCGAATTTGTTCATGCTTAGCATTGACATACTTATTGTGTTGTCTTTGGTTTGTGTGAAATCCATCAACAGAGACTTAAGAAAACACACAAAGCTGTAAGTTTTTATGTTAAAAAACTATTTACATAATAGTGAGAAGTTACTGCACACATAATCTAATTTCCCAAGTCGGGGAGGAGCCAAGTCTTTAACTTACAGATTTGAAGTTCTAAAAGTACTAATACACAGAGACTTCAGGTGAGCCATTTATCATAGATCTATCATAAGTCTAGTTTTTTAGTTGGAACCTTTTTCTCCAGGTTTTAAAGTCCAATACTTTGTATTGTTGTACGGTTGTTTTTATTCAGATAACATGCGAAATTACAAAGATGTTCACTCTATTTTTGCACAACAAATTTGTTGTCTCGATTCATATCCTAGAGGGTTCCTTTAATATTCATATAAATTCATAGAAAGGTGGCAAACTTTTAAAACTAAAGATTGAATTGAACAGAAACTGAGAAACCAAATAGCCTTCCCTCTTCTCACTTGGACATGTGTTTGTGCTCTCAGAAAGAAGAGCTTCAGGTGTATGAAAAGTATTGTCAGAATAAACCACGCTCTGAAATCCTCTGGAGGCAGTGTGGGGACAGCCTGTTTTTTCAGGTAAAACACACACACACACACACACACACACACACACACACACACACACACACACACACACACACACACACACACAATTTCAGGTGACTACAACTGTTGGTTGATTTCTACAACTTCTTCTTAACCTAATCTGAGATGGTAGCTAACTTTACAAATCTGTTAAAAAACTAGGCCGAACCTTGAAGTTGTTTCACTGAACCCTCAGTAATGCTTCATGCTACTGGCCTCTGAGAAAGACTTTAGAGCACAGCACCTACAATGTTGGTGTTCTGTTTGGTGACTTAACCTCACAATGCAGCTGTAACAGGTTAGAGTTCGATGAGGCTTCACGTGCCACTTCTTGATCAACAACATTTGGTTTGTGAGAACAGGAATGCCAGAAGAAGCTGGATCACAAACTGTCTCTGGATGCCTACCTGCTGAAGCCTGTCCAGAGGATCACCAAATACCAACTCATGCTGAAGGTGTGTTATGTGGTTATAAGATGTAATTTAAAAGGAACTAACCAATTAGTTCAGTACATTAATGTTATTTTTTATTCTTTGTATTTATTAGGCTAGTTATCATGCTTCTAATAGATATCCAGTCTCTATTTACCATGAATAATTTAATTTAAAAGATAATTAAACAACCAAGTATTTGATTTTTCTTCTTTTTTTGGTCAGCCTAACCAAAAAAAAAACATTTTTACTTTTTATAAAATATAACAGAAGCAAGAATATGAAAAACCTTTTATTAGTCACTTACATTTCATCCTGAACCTAAAGAAAAGCCTTCATCACCACTGAAGCTTGCTAAGTCATTGATTTCATTTATTTTAAGTAAAAAAAAAAAAAAATTCCCATTGAGTCAATTGTTGGTGAGAATGGAAAATAAATAAAGAAAAAGAAACCTGTGACACAACCAGAGTGATGGTTTATTCAATACTAGAGGAACTGTTCCTGGAAAATGAGCTGATATCCACAACGTGATAGCCCTGTTATCTCAGTCTGTGTTTATTATTAATTCTGCCTTTCACCTGCATCTTCTCTCCTCCCCTTCTCCTCTCCTCCTCTTTGGGACTTTAGAAATATTGATATCCAGTCAATTCAGTCCAAATAATTATACTATTCGCATAACCCAAGAAATGATATGAACTGTTATATTTATGGCAAGAAATTTGCCATTTTCTTAAACAAATGTTGGGTGAAATATTAGCCATGTTCAATGTAGCAATGTGGAACTGTTGTAGCATTTCGAATAATCTGATGGCTTTTTCATTGGGCCATTGGCATGTCCTGATAAGAGGGAGATATAAGAATCGACCCTATAAGTAATAATAATAATAATAATAATAATAATAATAATAATAATAATAATAATAATAATGATGATGATGATAATAATAATAATAATAATAATAATGATAAGTGCATGTGATTTTTGTTCCACGTCACTGTTAGACAGTAGGGTTATATTTCTGATATGGACTGACAAAAGAAGGCGGTCCTAAAGATAGGGAATTTGTCATTAACTATGATTCTACATCAAGATTGACATAAAGTTTATTTGCTCCTCTGTTCTTCTCTTTCTTTGGTTTGTATTTTGTGCCCTTGATCTTTCTAAACCACTTCCACTTTCCCGTCTAACAGGAGATGTTAAAATGCAGTAACGGTGAGGGGATGGCTGAGTTGGAGGAGGCTTTAGCCACCATGCTGGACATCATTAAGTCTGTCAATGACTCCATGCACCAGATAGCAATCACTGGCTTTGAGGTCAGTGTACAGTAGTCATCATCATCATCATTAAAGTTCTGAATGATTTACACTGTGAAAACGAACTTGAGTTAGAGGGCTGTTATTCCACTCTCGTTACTCAGCCTCTAATTCACCGTGTGATGTCAACTGACTTGACTTTCTTCACTTTAGAGCAATCAGATTACTATAACTTGTCACCTTCCCGTTGTGGTACAGTCATGTGAAAAAGTGATCTAATGGAAAGTGTTTGCTTTCTGAAATATTTTAGTGAGCAAAATTGGAATCCTCTTTGTCATAGAGCCTATTGATGAACAGGAAACACTGAAACACGTGTTCCAGAATGTGGATGATGGACTTTTTCTAAAAGTGTTTTCCTATGTTTTCTTTCCTATGTTTTTGGGCTTGCTGTGCCATTTGAAAGACTTTTTATCCCTGCCAAGAGCGTAGTTCAAGAAACCTGGAAAAACATGTACATCATAAGATGGATCTATTTAGTTATGCAGTAGTACATGTTTTTGTGATTAAAGTCAGTATCATGTAAACCATTTATTCCCATTAAAACAACAACAAACAATGTCTGTTGCTTACATTTTTAAAAGTCACTGGTCACACCATAAATTCAGTGTTAAAACCTGAATCAAATATGTTTAATCAGCAGATTTTTCTGTTTTTTTCACACTACTAATGCTATTCTTTTCTATTACAAGTTTAGCACTGAATGTACCTAACTAGGGATAAAGTAAAAAGAGTTTTTGGGCAAGTCTCAACAGCTTTTGCACACCCGGGCCCTATTTCAGGAAGCCGGTTTAGTGCAAACTCTGAGTAAGTATACCCTGAGTTAACGAAAACTCTGGGTTTTTGGTTTCACAAAGTGAGTTTAGATTAATTCTGAGTGAGTTACTATGACGACACACTCCGTGAAGCTAACCTGCCTCCTAGCAGGTTTACTTCAACTAACCCTGACCTTCTCCGCCTCTTTGTCGGAAACCTGACTGTAGGAGGTGTCAGACATGGCGTGCTCCTTCCTTGAAGAGCCAGTAGATGTTGAAGCCCAAATTCTCTGCAGAGCTCTCCCCCGGGAGAGAGTGATTAGAGCGCGTTTGGACATTTTATCATTTCCTGATGATTTTCTGTGTGAACGTTACCGTTTTTCAGCACAATCTATAATTTATTTGAATAACATCCTCAGGCCTAATATTGCTCATGTGACACATCGCGGACATCCTCTCAGTTCTGTACATATTATTTGTATTGCACTTCGGTTTTTTGCAAACGGGAGCTTTCTGTATAATATTGGTGACGCTGAGCACGTTTCCAAGGCTACCGTCTGTCGGGCAGTCAGGAATGTTACAGTTGCACTGAAACGTCTCCTGTACACGTTTGTGGTGTTCCCCGGTCACAGACCCACAAGATTCATCAAAGAGGGATGCCACAAAATTGCAGGTATCAGGATGAACAAAACTTAATTCATGATGTGGTGATACTTGAACTACTACTTAAATTTTACATTTATTTTCACGGTTCCCAGGCGTGATTGGCTGTATAGATGGCACTCACATTCCAATCATTGCTCCTTCAGTAAATGAAGGAGACTATGTGAACAGGAAGTCTTTCCACAGCATTAATGTACAGGTACATAGTTCCCTGTAGCATTTCAAACTAACAAATTATTCCATTATAGTAATGGATGCTAATTTGTGTTCTCTGCACTGTGAAGATCATATGTGATGCTGCCAACATTATCACAAATGTGGAAGCCAACTGCTCAGCCTCTGTGAGTGGTGGTGGTGGAGGACCCCCACCTGTTTTTCGGGCCTCCGCTTTTTTTCTATTGGCTATAACGGGTCACATTTGAGCATACAGAGTAAGCAAATATGTACTTGTAATGTGCTCAGATAATTTCAATAAGTGCTTACAGAAAGAAAATTAATGTAGCCTCTAACTGCAATTGGTTTACATCGGACAAACAGACCAAGCACTATGGCTCATAATACAATTACGCCTTACCTGTTTGGACTATATTTTTACATTTCATTTTTACTTACTGCCAGGAACGTTTGGGGCCTGTTGGGTTGCACCTGCGCTCACATCACATCACAAAATCAAATGTATAAATTAAAAAATAAAATAAAATAAAATAACGTGTTATATGGGTGGAAATCCCTAGATCAATGTTTAAATTAACACTCACGCATTGACTCTGTCGGCTATGTTTTGCCATGCATGCTCCCTTTGTTTTGCAGCTGAGGCTGTGTTACTTTTTTTCCGCAAAATTTGCATGTTATCGGCATATGCTGCAATCAGAATTTCGGCCTCAAGCGCTGTAAAATACATTGACCGCGCCTTCTTTCCCTCCGTCTCCATGGTGACTCGCTTAATCTGTGCTCCACTAATCAGGGCTTTATGTATCCTCGTGCGCGCGCTTAACTTGGGGTTAAAGCAACTCCGCGTTGCCTGAACTAATTGTTATCAGCCTTTCTGAAACCGAATATTCTGAGTCGGACAGTTCGGGGTTACTCAACCCTGAGTATCGTTTTTCACTCTGAGTTTTCTAAACCGGCTTCCTGGAATAGGGCCCAGGTTTTCAAAATTTAGGTTTAGAATAACTCTTCAAGTTTTAGCAGGTTTAATGGGAATCTTTTGTGACCTGCCATATTCAGGTCTCCTCATAGATGATATCTGGGCTAAGATGTTTGCTCTGGCAAACATCCAAATTCCTTCTTCCCTTAAATGAGTTGTGATTGACTGGGTGTGGGTGGGGTTACATATCACTGGGGGTATCTTACCAGCGCCAGCATGTGCATTCAGATCATTGTTAACACATGGAAGTGTTGTACTGTTCATACAAAAAGTATGCTTAAATAATAAGCTTTTGTTGCCAACTTTTTGTGCCATAACTGAACTGAAGCTGTATTAAAACATTTACTACTGCGAATAGTTATGCCCCCCCCCCCCCCACCACCACCACCACCACAAAAAAAAATGTGTTTCACAGATCTGACAGTCTTTTGATGTTTGCAGGGAAATCTGAGTGAACTGGGGAAGCTGCTGATGCAGGGATCCTTCAATGTGTGGACTGACCACAAGAAAGGCCACAGCAAAGTAAATTCCCACACTCCTGTTTTACCAGTGTTGAATATTGCCCTATGGATGTCCTGTCGTTTACCTTAACATTAGTTAGTCGTAATGAACAAGTCTGGATACTTTACATTCATTAAGATGCAAGAAAAATAAATACATCCTTCTTAGCTTTACATATTTCAGAGTGAAATAAAAGCAAATAGGAGACCAGTCTGAGATTACCTGACTGGTTGTCGAGTGGTTGCTGGAGACTGCTGATTGTTGCCAGTGGAAAACAGTTGCAAAGAGGGTGCTGCTGTGAACAATTTTATGCTGCCAACTAGGGATGGGTATCGAAAACCGGTTCTTGTTGAGACCCGGTTCTCACTGTTTCAATTCCTTGGAATTGTTTGCCATTTTTGCAAACAATTCCCTTATCGATTCCAGTCGCCCCGAATGACGTCACCACGTTGCTGAGCGTCATTTACCTGGCAGGAAACACGGCGCCTAAGCGGCTCAAACGCTCAAAAGTTTGGTTATACTTTACGAGAACGGATGACAACAGGGCAACTTGCAATACTTGCAAAGTAGATATTTCATTTAAGGGAGGAAACACTACGAGTATGCAAAAGCATTTGCTCACAAAACACGCGATAACCTTAAATGAATGTTGTGTTTTTAATTCCGCTCCGGACTCGTGAATCTCAACCCAGCAGCAGCGGTAACGTTTGCACGTCCTCTCCCGTTAATGCGGCAGGTAAATAATCAACTAACAGTGCATTTTATGTTAGCGCGATCTGCCTTATTACAAACCTGCCATTACTGTGCATTTAGGTGACCATGTTGAGAGAGACAGACAGAGTCTGGCTGGCTCAGATGCTGGCAGTTCTCGCTGCAGTCTACCGGTAGCGTCTCCTTTCAGGCCAGGATAGACGAATGTCACCCAGCAGTGACTAAGTTTGTGGTCAAAGGCTTGCACCCATTTGCCAGCAGATGCCCCGATTTTTGGTAAGTGAATGTGTTTAATTGTAGGCAGGGACATTACTGGATATTCTTGTGTAATTGCTGCAGAATAATTTATGTTATACTTTGTTATTGCAACAGGAGAATATTTATTTTATTATTTTACATTTACAATTTTTTTCCCGGGGACCCTGTGACACCCCATTAAAGAGCCGTAGGCTGGATCTCTTAAGATCTCACTGCTGGGTTTGTAAGGCCATGTTACTCCTAAATTTCTATCTTGTTTAAAGAGAAGATATAAAACAAAGTTCTAAGCTAATCGACCTTAGTGTTCTCCTTTTTAAAAAAGAATCGATAAGAGAATCGATAAAGAATTGAATCGTTAAACATAATCGAAAATGGAATCGGAATCGTGAAAATCTTATCAATACCCATCCCTACTGCCAGCAACTACCAGTCACTTATGGAACACATTTTTCCATCACAAGCAGAGGTTGCCAGATGATTGCTGACAGGTCTCTAGGCTTAATTAATCTGCAGCTACAGTTTACCTTTCATAAACAAGGCTGTGTATGGCCTTTACTGCAGAACCTCGATCACTTTTTTTTTTCTTTTCAGAGGAAACAGGAGCTCTATAATTTGATGTGTCAAATTATGACAATCACTCTAAAACACTTTGTGGAAACCGGATCAGTTGTGTCCAAAGCACAACCAAACCATAAGCAAGCGCATCTAGAGAAGATCATCACGCTTTCTTGATGAGAAATGGCAAGGCACCTCTATCATTGATACAGAAATTGCTAAATAAGGAATGCAAGAGCACAGCCAGCAGGAGGCCAAAACTCAGGGCTAAACCATGCCAGCATTTCATAGCGAATCATTGGAAAAAAGGACGAGCGTATTTAAGATGAAGAACATGTATTTCATTTCCTCTTTTTCAACATAAAGAACCATCATAGCATTCAAGTTTGTCCTTGGAAGCATTATAATGCAATACTGTTTTGCAGTTTATGTTATCAGTTGATGATTAATAACCGAGACACAATGGAAGCGAAGCTAAAGTGGCTCGGAGTGATGCAGTCATTAATATTTACATCTATAGCTAAATACAAACCCATCCCAAGTGCCTTTGATGCTTTGTGTGTTCAGCTCATATTGTTCTTCTCCAGTCAGTGAATTTCTGGTTGAGTCTCATTTCCATTTTTTTTTATAGCTCTGCTGTGGTTGCCAAATCTGTTGTGACCGGCTATTCAGTTTTATTTATGTAGCACCAGTTCACAAACCAGCCATCTCAAAGCACTTTATATTGCGGAGTAAAGACCCTATAATAGTACAGCAGCTGGAATCCAAACAATCAGATGATCCCCTATGATCAAGCATGATTGAGGGTTTGAGGAACTACCTTTCAACAGGAAGTGTCCTCTGGCAGGACCAATGTAAGGGGCAGCCATTTGCTTCAACTGCCCGGGGGCTGCAGCGAAGAGTACCAGAAAAGACAGGCATACGTTTCAGTAGTTTTTTATACACATTTTTACCAACAACATCAAACCATATGCAAGCACATCTAGATATTTGATCAAGCTCTGTTGATGAGAGATAGCAAGGAAACTCTATTGATATAGAACATACCAGCATTTCATAGCAAAAGAATGAAAGAAAGGGTACGTGGCAAAGAAGAGCATATTTAAACTGAAGGACATGAATTTCATTGCCTCTTTTTCAACTTAAACAGGCAGCACAGCATTCAGGTTTGTCCTTGGAAGCATTATAGCGCAATGCTGTTCTGCTGTTTATGTTATCAGTTGATGATTAATAACCAAGACACAATGGAAACAAAACGTAAACAGCTTAGAGTGATGCAGTCATTAACATTTATATGTATAGCTAAATACAAACCCATCCCATGTGCCTTTGATGTATTCAGGTTTGTTCGAACATTTTTTTGTTTGCTTAAATAATAACAATATGAGTGATGCTACAGGGTCATCTGTCATGGGTCTTTGTTGACATTTAATTTCTGAATGTTACACAGTTATTTACGCATGTGATAAGTGACAGATTACCTGCTCTTAGGTGAAGGACCTGGCGAGGTTTAAGCCTATGCAGAGGCATCTCTTTCTGTATGATAAGATGCTGCTGTTCTGTAAGAAACGAGAGGAGACCACTGATGGACATGAAAAGACCCCGTCCTACAGCTTCAAACACTCACTCAAGGTCAGATAACGATGGGGATGTGTGTGGGTTAAGTGTGCATAGCCTGCACTTTGTTTGAATGAATAAGCCTTTATTTGTCACCTGCAGTTGCCTGCAGCGAAATTAGACATCAAACACCTTCTCATTTAAAGCTGATTTAAATGATATATTGGGATCTATTGAACTCTACTAGATTAGAGTTCAATAGGTCCCAATAGTTGTTATTTATCCACTACTGGGGCATTTTTATTTATTTATTTATTTATTTATTGAAGAACATCAACTAATTTGTCTTCAATAGTTCCTTTTAAGTATTGCAGATAAAGATGATGCTTAATTTTAAAAAGTACCAGATAATGCACATAATTATGCAAATAATAATTAAAAGCTGTTTTATAAAACAGACAAAAACCAAACAGATTTCATTAATGAGAACGTTTCAGAACCACTAGGATAGAGTAACCCTATTAATACCATTAAAATACATCATTTTGGACTTAATGATGGTTATTTGAAGCTATTCTACTGTTTTTTAAGGGAGCAAACCTTTTAACTGAATATTGCTAAATAGCCAGTGGCATCCACTAGTAGTTGTACAGACTTGTTGCCTGTGAAGTCCTGTAGATAGTAGAAAGGACATCTAAGCCTCAAAGTCTGTAATAGTTTAATTTATCTAAAGGTATAAGATTAATTCAGCTAAATGCATTTGTCGTATTGTGGGTGAAGAGGGGTCAGCAGTTAAGCTCATGATTACCACTATTATTAGTATACCCCTACTTGTTATTATGATAAATTCACAGTTGGTATTTAAATAGGAATCTCAAAGCTTATTCACATTACTTTATAGCATGGCAATACTTTGGGAATACTGCTAGCCTGAGACGTTTAATGGCTTTAGTTTATGACTCTGGTTTGTTAATGTCCTGGAAAATAATTATCACCTTAAGTGACTGTTATACTTTGGGAGCGTTGTGCCGAATAACATATAAAATGCGTATTTATTGTGTGACTGCTAATGAAAGAGTTTTTTTTCTGTGCATCACTTGACAGAGTTCATCTCTAACATACTGAATCTCAGTGTCTGTGTCCTGTTTCTGTTCAGATGAGTTCTGTGGGGATCACAGAGAATGTCAAAGGTGACAGCAAAAAGTTTGAGGTTTGGTACAACGGCAGAGAGGAAGTTTACATCATCCAGGTATGTTGATGCAACCTTTCCTTTCTGCTTTATGTTCAGATTCATTCAGCTTACCCTTTCCTCTGAAACTGTGATGGAACCCAGCTCACTTTATTTATTTGGAGCAGTACTACATTTCTACCTTTTTATTTCTGATTTTACTAAAAACATCTACTTCTGGTCTCTTGTCACATTTCTTTTGTTTATTAGCTATTCGGTCAACAGGAGCCTTCAAAATTCAGTCCTCTTAAACTGTATTAGGCCATTCTTTTAGTAAATAAAAACAACAATTTTTGGTTTCTTCTGCTTCCTGAAACCATTAATCATGTCACAACCTAAACAGTTTCTTGGCAGCTGGTTGTGGGACTTTTTTCTAAGCTTGGAAGTTACTTTCATGTTGCTGGGTCTGAAATACCAGCAACACGCTCAGACAGAAACTGGTTCACCCGAAAGACAAAACGCCAAAACACAAACTTAACAATGTGGTGTATGCTGTACAGTGCAGCGAGGAATGCCCAGACCTCTACATTGGAGAGACCAAACAGCCACTTCACAAGCACATGGCACAACATAGAAGAGCCACCTCCACAGGACAAGACTCAGCAGTCCATCTGCATCTAAAGGATAAAGGACACTCTTTCGAGGATGCCAATGTTCACATTTTGGACAGAGAGGACAGATGGTTTGAAAGAGGAGTGAAAGAAGCCATCTATGTCCACTGTAAGCAACCATCTTTGAACAGAGGCGGGGGTTTACAACACCAGCTATCTTCCATCTATAATCCAGTTTTGAGATCCCTTCCCAGACGCCTTAACGCCCACTCACATCCTGGGCCATCTGACCTCAGGAATTCGCATGATAGGGTGGGGCCAGGTTTCACAATGAACTCACCCGAAACTCTGGCTGATTGGGACCCACACCCAGTTTCACACCTTGGCTCAGGCGATTAGAGGATCATCAGGGGGTCCTTTTGTCCCTCTGTGGGGGGATACTCCCACTAGGTTTATATCTGGGACTCTCCACTATTTGACCTTAGAACTGAAGAAGCTTCTCGGATGAGAGGTGAAACGTCTTCAAGCAACTTAAAGAAGTCCAGACGCTTTTCTTTGCAAGCTCCTTTGACTACGATGACCTGGATGACTGAGAACCTTCACAGACACATTGTAGATAATAATGACAGAGGCTAGGGTATTTATGAAACTGCTAAATATGTTTGTGACTGCTTTTTAGAAGTCTGTACATTCATGCATATAAGAACTGGAAAATGATATCCTTATGGCAATGAATTCATATAAAGCATAATGTGTCTAATTTATTGCTTAATGTGACCCCCTGATGTAATTTCAGTGAAATATTCTTCCTGGAAGAAATCCATGATACACAAGGTGTGCTCTTGGGGGCAGTGTTGCACCACACACCTCTCCAATCAGTTTCTCACTCAGCATATGTGCTTGATTTATCTTTGTGTGTATCTATGTATGTATTTATTCCTCCCTAGGCTCCTTCCATGGATGTGAAAAATATGTGGGTGTCAGAGATTCGGAAAGTTCTTACAGGCCAGCTGGAAGCATGCAGAGGTATGTACACACACACACACACCTTTTCATCTGAGAATAATTCTGTTCGTCTGTGTTACCTCATCTTTCACAGGATCACACTTCAGTCCCAGCAGGTGAAGGATGAAGTTTCCTCTCTGCTCGGATAAGTTCACCTGTTAGCATCTGTTAGATTAGTTAAATCATAACTTTTTGGTTTTAGCGTGAAAACGTTTACACTCACACATTCTGCTGTTGTGCCATTGTTATTTTTTTAACGTCTTCATGGTACCTCGTGCGTTGATGCACACATTCTAACGAATGAATGAAACTCAGACCTTGAATATATTTATTAGAACTTAAATATATAAAATGACATCAAAAGAAAATCCACATCAAAGCAAGAAGATGTGTGGAGCTTGCATGTTCTCCCCGTGTCCTCCCACAGTCCAAAGAAATGCTTGTTGGTGTTTCTAAACTGCCCATAGGTGTGCATGTGAGAGTGAATGGTTATCTGTCCCTCTGTGTTAGCCTTGGTGACATGTAGCCGTTCTACAAGTACACTGCATTAATACACCATGACAAGCTTTAGCTGCTACAGCACCTTGTATTCAAACAGCTGAGTACTGTCCTTAAAGGATCAAGCATTGTTTTTGACTTAAGTCTTCTGTAGTTTTAAACCTTTATTTAGGTTCTGACCTGACATAAAACTTACATGTAGTTCGAAGCAGGCAATATAATTTTGTCTGTTTTTATACGACTTACATGAAACAAGCAGTGGCTTGCTTCTATATCAATTTTACAACAAGCTGTTTTTTGATTTTATACAATGATGAAGAACTGAACTGATGAAGAATGTAGAGCACAGCTGTCCCAAACATTCACACTGCATGCTGACTAAATGACCCAGATCATTTAGTCAGCATGAAGTTCAATCCTCTATAAAAACATGAACAATTATAGTTCTGTATACTGGCTTCTATGATAGGGGTACCTGTTGGTTTGATTAACTTTTTTTTTTTTCAAGGAACATATTTGCCTTGCTCTCCATTTTTTAACACACTGTGTCATTAATGAAGGCTGTCAGAAAAATGATTTATGTCATCAGTTTTTTTATTTGCTATCGAGCGCTTCTTTTTGTTTCTAATCATGTTAGATTGCTTAGTAGATGGAATTCCATCGAAGACATTAATATATCATCAAACCTCAAATAACCATGTCCAGAGCCGCTAAAAAATGTTGTATAGCATACAAATTGCAATCTAGGTTCTGGTACTTCTTAAATCAAAATCAAAAAATCCTGACCTCATTTTAATTTGGCTGATCTCCTCTTCAAAGTCACCTTTTAGCACACCTCGAGACGGCAGCAGCTATTGTAAGATTATTCTGTGGAAGCCCATTTTCTGTCCCTGTGGGCCCATGAAATGAGCACTGGAACTGTTCCAGTGTGGCAAAGTGGCCAATCTTCAATCTGAATTATATTTTGGAAAAGAGAAAAAAAAGTAGTTAGTAGCAGTAGTGGGTAAGTCAGCTGGTAGGTGAACATTGTGTTGATGTGGGCAAAAAGTCCCTGATTTCAGTCTGCTATGTGCTATTATGTTACAGTAGTGGTACAGTTCTTTTGCGTTGATAGTCTTTGGATAGTCTGTCCAGTTTTTTCTTCAAGGGAGAATCTGATGTATCTCATGATCATCCGACTGCTGTTGGATCTTTCGTGTATAGTTTGAACAGTAAAAATCATCAGCATCAAAGTCTGGTCGTTTTGACACAGAAGTTGATGCTTACTTTTCATATTAGTTCAGTGGTCAGAACAGAACTTGATATAAAAGTGTGATGAAAAAGTGGACGCAGGAATGGATGTGGGAAACAGATGCAAGAGAAGTTGATCCTAAAGGGTAAATCAGAAAAATTATGCTTTATTTTTTGTATTCTCTTTTGCTTTTAATAGCAAACAAGCAACATTATGATAGCACTTTATATAATGTATGATATAAATTGACTGATATATCTAAAATTAGTGGTTCTCCTTTAATATCTAACAATTTCACTGGCTGATTTATTCAAATTAATTCATCCTCTTGGCAAAAGTACTAAATATTCTACAGTTCCAGATGCTCAAGTGTGAGAATTTAATGCTTTTGTCTCCTTTACATAATTTGAAAATAAATAAATAAAAAGATCTCTGTGGTTTGTTCAGACAGAATAATTTGAAGAGCTGACTTTAGGCACTATTTTCTGACATTTTATAAACTCAAAAAAATAAAAATAAAAACCCCAAGACAACAATATGTGCTGAAAATATTTTTTATCAATATGAAGCAACACCAAACAATGAGAAAACACAAAACCACATAAACACACGTACACACAGCAACCCACACCCCTCTCTCTCTCCCTCAGTCCTTTCTGTGCCAGTCAGTTCTGCACAGTTCTACTCTGTGGTCCTGACTGACGGCTAAGGCACACTATGTGAGCTGCACACTCTGCCCAGCTGACAACCTGTGTGTACCTGTGTCTGTGTGTGAGCAGACTGGCTAATAGCACACCATTCCTGTCATGAAGCCTGGAGAGTAGAGGCTGTAGGAGGCTCTGACGGTCCAGCGCTGTGAGTTAAACCTCAGACTCCATGCGAGGAAAGACAGAGAGAAGGAATGAAATTAGTCCAGGAAAAAGGGAGGGAGGAGATGGAAAGTGATGGGGAGAAAAAAAAGAGGAAGATGGTGGAATGATGTGAAGAGAGAGACAAAGAGACAGAGATGGGCAGAGAGAGTCCAAAGGGATTTTCAGAGTGGAGATGGAGGTTGAGAGGCAGCTCAGAGGGAATGAAGGCAGGCTTGAAGGGATGAACATGAAAGGAAGGAGGGGCAATTGTTAGAAGAGAGGAGGGTGGCGAGAAGGAGAAGAGGCATAGCAGTCATCTCAGCTGTGTGCTTGAGAGAAAAGGAGGAGAGATAATAGATGTGATAGGAGAGCGAGAAGAGGAAGGGCTGGATTATAATGTGACTGATTTAAATCATTTAAATCAGGCCACATAATGGCAAATAGGATCTTAGGACAAAATTATTTAAACTCAAGGTCCTGCTTTTTCTGGCACTTTCTTCCAACAGTTAAAGGGCAAAAATGTACTTTCATAGTCATTTCCATGACAACTGAACTCTAGCAATGACCACTGTGTTAAAAACTGGAAAGTTAAAAGTTCACCCTTGATCTATTTCCAAGGTCAAGAAGGATTTTATGCACTACAGAAAGGTTTTATTGTATATTTTGGTGCGTACATTCTACAATAAATGATATTGTCGTGCTTACTTGGTCAACTTTACTCAATGAAGTCTAAGCAGAGTTTAGAGTAGAAATAATTTTGCTTAAGGAGGGAAGTAGAACTGAACTGCTGTTCCATGCAAGCAAACATAATCTGTGGAGACCAAGGCACACAAGTCTTTCACATGATGAGTCGTGATGGAAAATCATTTACTTGGTGAAGAAAAATGTCTTTCTGTCTGCACAGCAAGAAGGGAGGCGAGTGCATGTCTTCTGGTCAATGACTATGAAAAGGCTTCATGATCACTATTTCAGAGATGTCAGCACACCATGCCAACCCTGGGTTAAGCTCAATAAAATCATAAAGTCAGACTGTAGTCGAGAAAAAAAATGTAAAAATGAAGTGAGGATATTTTTTGGACTGATTTAGAAAAAAATCATCCCGATAAGCACAACATATAGGGGTTAGCCTATACAAACAGACCAAGTCATACCACTGTGTTATCTCACAGGTTTTTAGGTCTCTTATGGTGTGGCATCTAATGGAACAGTATTTAGCAGGATGATGATCCTAAAAACCGAACAAAGGAACCAAAAGTGCTTTAGATGTAGAAAGATGGCTAATTCTTGACTGACTGATCTCACCAACCAATGTGCCCATTAGTTAGTTCAAGCATAGCCTTTAAACTTCCCATTACACATCTCATATACCAGCTATTACACAGTTGCTGTTGTCTCTGCAACCTACTTTGCAAGTCAAACGTACCCATCTCCTCCCTTTTACACCATTTCTGACGTTTGCGTATAGTGCATATTTAATACTTCCTGAGCTTCTGAAGAAAACAATCGTCTTTTAACTAAAGTGGTCCTAGCAAAACGGCTCATTGGAAGCAACTGTGATTAGTGATTAAAAGAATGTCTTTATTTTAGAAAATGGCAGCCGAATTATAAGTATGGTTAAACAAAGTTTTTGTACCGCTGGAATTATCTCAGTATGTATCTTACCCTATATTCGTCTAGATCAGGGGTCAGCAACCTTTAACACCCAAAGAGCCATTTGGACCCAGTTTCCATGGAAAAGAAAACACTGGGAGCCACAAATACTTTTTGACATCTAAAATAAAGATAACACTGTTTTGCTTTGTATAAACAACTAAAGTGTTTTGCTTATGAAATACATTAAGTGCTACAGAGAAAATAACATTTTATTTATGGAATGAACACATTTTGAACTAAACTAAAAATATAACAAAAAGGAAACAAAAACTGTAGTGAGTCGTCATCCTTATGTCACCTTTGGGATTTTGCAGCCTGTAGCGGAGCCTTAATCTGAATATTAAAAATAATTGGAAAAAAGCACTATGCTGCTAAAAAATGAAAAATAAGTATTTGCAAAATATCTGCATAAACATTTATTTTACGTGGTTAATGTGTGTGGCAGGGCGTGGTCTGCAGTGCCGCTGCAGGGGAGGTGGACATCTGCAATCAAGCCTCGCCGGCTTAAATTCTGTGCTCTCTCTGCTGTTGTGTTGGTGTGTGTCGGGCTGCGAGCTGCAAAACTACAGCTGGCTGTATGGCTACAGCAACCATGTGTGAAAAGTAGCCAATAAAGAAAAAAAGCATGTTCATGTAAACATCGTCAGGTGGTATGTTGACAATGGGACTTCTGTTCCTGACCGTCTGCGCACAGCGCCTGCAGAGGCGTGAGCGGTGTTTGTTTTTACCACTTGGCCTGCCTGGGGTTGAAAGTCTGCACGGCATTTCGGCAGGTATGGTTTCTGTGAGTGTGACGCTTATTTTGAGCGATGAAAAATAATAACATAGTTTTATTTTTATATTTCAAGATCACAATAATCTTCCAATTTAGAACTACAAGTTAAAAAGAACTAACACAAATGAAATACACTTCAGTTAAATACTTATAATTTTTTTCCAAACCACGTGGAGCCACAGTATAAGGACTAAAGAGCCGCAGGTTGCCGACCCCTTGTCTAGATGAATGATAAACATGGAGGATGGAGTGTGCATCACATTATAAACTTTGCCATATGCATGGTGTTACTCCTCATTTAAACTCTTGCTGCTGCTGCTGCTCTCTTCTCAGACTGTCTACGCACAATATGACTAGCCTTTATGAATAAAACATCACTTTGTCCATGATGAAAAAATAGATGCTTTTTGCTGAGTACAATATTCGGTGCTATGCTGAGTCTGCACTTCTCCGACAGGCTCATTGGTTGCTTGGTATAAGAGGTAACAAGCCAGATCATTCACAGAGCTTGGTATTTCACTTATGTGAGCTATCCATTTGGCCAAGGCAGCACCTCTTGTGTACAGTTATGTTACTAGATGCTTCTCTAGAGACTTCCTGCCTCAGAGCAGGATTCTTGTGGCAGGCCAGAATTGTTAACGTTGCATTTATGAAGTCTGTTGATTAGATGTAGGTGATGTCTGAAGCTGCATTCCCTGAACTTAAGTGTTTGGATTTTTCTTTCTTTATAGAGCCCGAGCAGGATTTCAGGATATCAGTCCAGTAAAAGCAGCTTATAGAGTTGACACAGCATTCTGGGAGAATTTAAGCATTGAAATAACTCATGAATTATAGAATAAAAGCTTCCAGTTGTAAAAGATGCCAGCAGCATGGCTCTAAAGGATAGGCACTGGAAGTAAAGCTTGAAACCTTGATTTTTTATAGTTTTTCAGAAAACTAGATGGTGTTTTGTATCTTCTTCTGTCTTGTTCTTTTCTGTTTGGTCTTTCTGATATCATCTCTTGACTTGTGTAAAGAGGACTTGTACTGTTGTAGTTCTTCTGCCGCCATGTATTCAGTACAGTGCAGGACACAGATTCAATAGGACCAGACACCAGTGGAGGATTACAAACAAGACACAGAAGCCACCTCAAGGCCTGCATGACATACAAAATCCACAGTGTGGTACCGAAGAAAATATTTGCTAAGAGAAAAATAATGAAATGCTGCCTCTGCTCTGGACAGCAGGAAGAAGGAAACATCGACTGCTTCTAACAGTTAAGATGGCAAAACTGAGCAATTTCGTTAATAAGCAGAGTTTTAATGAATTCAGCAGCTTTTTTCTCAAAAGGGAAAACAAACACAGGCACAGAAAATGGCGACCTTAGAGTAGCAGAATATTTTATGGAAATGCTATCCAAGCCAATTCCTCCTATTCCATTTACCAATCATATTTTACTCATTTACTAAACCAAGTCAAAATCCCTCACGTACCGATGAGCAAAGTAGCTTTGAGCAATGTTTGGGGCCAGATGCCTTGCTCAAAGGTAGCGATTCCAGCAGCAAATCCTTGTTTTAAACCTCACGGTGCTCCAGTTTGACCATCAGTAATTTTCTGTTTCTCTTACATTCACAGAAGCCAGCCAGCTCAACATCTATGGGGCCCCTATGAGGTGAGGAAACAGAGAATCACACAAATTAGAAATTAATCAGCAACCATGATGACCAAGTTGCAGAAAATCTGAAACCTTCTCTCTGAATCTGAAAAAATCTGCTCTCAGAACAGGGATGGAAATGACAAGTGGAAATCTTAGCTATTTCAGTTTCTCACTGATCTGTCTACTCTCAATAGGAATGTGCGGAAGATGGCACTGAAACACTCTGATTCATCAAGCCCAGAGTCAGGCTTCAGGAGGTCCAACCCCAGCCCTAATATGAGGCAGAAGAGAGGTGAGAGCTCACTTGCCAAACTAACCAAAAAGTCAGCATCTCGTATTACTTCCAGAATTGAGTAAAATGAACTGTAGATGGGGTGATGTGTGAACCTTGAGATTTCAGATTGCAGTCTCCATGGAGTTATTGTAAAATGGAAGAACGGGCAAGGTTACAGCACATGGCCTCTCATGCTAACATGCTGTTCATGCACACATAGTCTCCTCTAAATCTCTGTGCTGTACTTCTGCATGTAGACTCTTAGCCAAAAACAACCTTTCCACATGCAGTTAGGTCAAAAGCATACAGAGAAGCTGTACAGCCTCCTCACACAGAGATGCACGCACTAACACAAATACAATGCTGTCAGCCGCAGTAGGGGATAAGATAACAGGTGCAATTTCAAATTGTACCTGTCTCCTGTGAGAAAGCCCTCTGTGCTGCTTTCTAGTGTGTATGGCTATCAGCAGTCTATCAGCAAGGGTTGTTGATCAAAGTTGTGTCTGTGTGTCTGTGTGCCAACACTAACTCAAGGTGACAGGAAGCATCCCCTATGGCCAATTCCAGGGAGCCACCTTGTCTCTTAACACCCCTTTTTTCTGTCTTTCATCAGTTCTTCCATGTCTCACCCCTTTATCCGTGCTATCTATTTATCTATCACTTTCTTATCTGTAGCCTTTCTACAATGCCCTTTATATCACGCCTTATCTTGTCTTTTCAGTTTCCCTTTATTACTTTAATATCTAAAGTTTGCTGCATAACATCAATATATCAAATTATACTTTTAAATATGCAGCAAAGGTCCAGTAATTTTACAAGGCTGTGAAATATGCTGCTGAAAAGACTGTTGATCTGCATGCAGTCTAGCAGTAGCTATCCTTGTGATGGAAATCTGTTGCCAGCCACAACTGTCATGGTGTCCCACGTTGTCCTTCATTCATTCTGTTTGTTTGACACTATCTTACTCTACTGTCGTTTAAGACATACCACTCCTACCTGTCCTACCCTCCTGCCAGTATTGTCAGCTGAGTGCCTTTCTACTCACCTCTTTCCACTTCGCCAATCAGTTACCGTTGATTAGACACATCATTTGTCAGAGTGGTCTGCCAAAGTGTTGCACTATTCCTTAGTCTGCTTCTTAACCCTGAGTAAATCCTGGAGTGTTGTAAGCTCCCTCTTCTTAGCTGCCTGGTATTCTATTGCTTGTGAAAAAAAACTCAAGTATTAACCTTGCCTTTTTTTTGGTCAACATGAAAAGGGCCATGTCTGTGTTTGAGCTCAGGACCTTCTTGCTCTAAAACAGCTGTGTCAACCATTGACCCACTGGGACTTTCTCATTATAATAGAGTGACATGGCAGTAAAAGAAGCCTGAATAGAAGTCTGTATCATTATGAGATGAGCCATTAATGGAGCCAAACCTTTGTGAACGTTGCATTTTAGTGGTTAAACTAGAACTTACAGTGGAGAAAAGCTTATTAAACCTCATTATAGGGTGAAGTCATTACATTTTTGAAGCTCTATCTATCAGATCTGATTGAAGGTTCTGGCTCTCTATTCATTCAGATAGAGACTTTAAACTAAAAAAACAGCATTTTTCCCTCGAGGCATTACCAAGTTGGCTCCTAAAAGCCAAATCTTGCTTCTACAAAGACTTTTGTCATGCATTGGCGTTACAGTCTGGCTTGTCTGGACCTAGGCAACACATTTGTGCAAGGAAGGTGCTGCTCACTGAAGTGCATGTGTTTCAAATCCGTAAGCTGTGATTTCCCAGATACCGAGAGTACCTCTGGATCCTCCCTTCAGCTCCAGAGAATTTTTTGGGGGGTGAGTCGAGAGTGTGCCAGCCGTTCCTATGTTTCCTGGCATTTAGCCGAGCTGAGTGGGAGAGGCATTCTCCATTCTTCAGCTTTTGAAATGATCTAGTGTTATTTAGTCTGACATTGCTGACATTTTAGTGTTAAAACCCTCTAGAGACTGTTTTTGGAAAGCTATGCTTCTGGATATAAGAAAATCAGAGTGATTCTGACAAGGCCTCAAATAGACAGAATAATTCAAATTTAGCTGGTATAGTGTCGACATACTCTTGGAGTGAGTGGGGGCCGATGTCAAAAGCATCCCCTAAGTCCTAAAACACCACTGAAGGTGTGGTTTGCCCTACAGCAGTTTTTCAAAGGTAGGTTTCAGTAACTTAGTAAGTGTTCACTGTTTCTGCTTTCTTTTTATGGATTTTCTCCACCCTGCCATGCTCTCACACTGAATTTTCTTTACCACTCGCACAGTCCCAAATGCTAGCAGGAAGTTAAAGGTTAGGGAATGCTGACAGTGGCTGCTGCTTTGGGTATCGCCCTTCAAATGTGAGGCTGGCCTCTATAATAATAATAATAATAATGGATTGCATTTATATAGTGCTTTTCGAGACCCCTCAAAGCGCTTTACAATTCCACTATTCATTCACTCTCACATTCACACACTGGTGAAGGCAGCTACAGTTTTAGCCACAGCTGCCCTGGGGCAGACTGACAGAGGCGAGGCTGCCATATTGCGCCATCGGCCCCTCTGGCCATCACCAGTAGGCGGTAGATGAAGTGTCTTGCCCAAGGACACAACGACAGAGACTGTCCAAGCCGGGGCTCGAACCGGCAACCTTCCGATTACAAGACGAACACCCAACTCTTGAGCCACAATCGCCCCGCATATTATAAAACCAACCTGTCTGTCTCCTGCCATCCATTGTCACCTCCTGCTCTATTCTCTCTTTCCCCTACTTCTTTATGTTTCTGTCTTGTGCTGTTTATTCCTTCTTCTGTCAGCTTCCAGCCATTTACTTTTCATCAGTCATCTCTCTTTAATTCACTCTGTGCATCCCTTTTACTTCTCCTTAGTTCTCACATTCCTTCTCGTCTTTGATTCTTACTCAGTTTTCCGTCCTGGATTCCTTCTAATCCCATCTATTTCTTGTTGATAATGCTTTGCATTGAACTGTTATCTGAGTGTAGTTTTATGCTATGAAGTTTTCCTAGACAGACTGAGCAAACAGAAACACTTTGCAGTGACATCTCAGTGCTGATGAACTGCTTTTCACTAATGATTACCCAGAAATCACAGCAGTGTACATCACTGTGTCACGGTACTTTATCGTCACCAGCTGTTATGTAGTGTGGACCAGAATGTTGCTAAAAAAATTCCAACAAAAATGAAAAAAGCTACATTTAGCTGCTCACAAGGAGTACCAAAAGGTTCAGTTCGATTCAATTTTATTTATACAGCGCCAAATCCCAACAACAGTCGCCTCAAGGTGCTTTATATTATAAGGTAGATCCTACAATAATACAGAGAAAAACCCAACAATCACATGACCCCCTGTGAGCAAGCACTTTGGCAACAGTGGGAAGGAAAAACTCCCTTTTAACAGGAAGAAACCTCCGGTAGAACCAGGCTCAGGGAGGGGCAGCCATCAGCCGCAACTGGTTGGGGTGAGAGAAGGGTAGCGTTTTCAGATGCCGCATCTGACACAACCCTCAAGGGATTTGTGTTCAAACTAGAGATGTTTTAATTGTTAGGTAAATGTGTAAACTATTGCACCATGGAGTGAAAAAAAAAATAGGGTTTTAAATCGCATGGCTTCTCATATTTCTGATAGTACAGCAAAACATGTGCTATGGTTTTATCTTCTCTACAGTAATCCCCAGTGTGGTGTTTTCTTAGTGCCATTAAAAATTGCATGTATAGGCAAACAGTGATTAGGTGAAATGTGAAATGTGGTGTTGGCTGGGCATACTTATCCCACACAGTAATTAATAGTGGGCTTGCTACATGCACTGGTTCTTATATAGTGCTTTTCTACTCTTAACTGAGCGCTCAAAGCGCTTTTATACAACTTGCCTCACCCATTCATACAAGCACATTTTTCTATGCTTTTCCTATGTCAGTGCTTTCTATCTAACATTCACACATTCATACTCTGATGGATGCATTGGAGAGCAACTTGGGGTTAGCATCTTGCTCCATGATATGTGAAATGCAGACTGGAGCTGACTGGGATCGAACTACCAACCTTCCAATTTGTAGGTGACCTGCTCTACCTCCTGTTGCTTACTGAAACCCATATAAGGGTCCAGCTCACTATCCTACATAATAATAATGATAATAATAATAATAATGCTGCATACAGTGACAATTAGAAAACCTTTACAGAATTAACAGTCAAAAATACAAAATAAAACTGAATGTACAATCTTAACAAGGTGTGTTTTAAGAAATGGTTTAAAGATAGAAACAAAGAATACTGTGAATGCAGTGTGGGAGAGTGTTCCAAAGATATGAGGCTGAGAGCTCTGAGGTCCGTGGTAGTCGGACCAGCACTTAGCACTTTATCATGCAGACTTGCTTGAGCAGTTAATCAGGCTGAAAGGCTCGTTGTGAAGGTGCAGGAATATATACACTTGTTTTAAACTAAATACAGTATAAAATATTTGATTGCAATATTTGTCATGTATTAGCAGCTCTTTTGTTTGAGTGACAGCATGGACTCTGCAAAATCTGACAACCAATCTCGAGTCTCTGTCTTGGATTTATCAGTAAATCCTTTTTCTTTTTTTAGCAGGACTTTTGCTGATTGCCGACCTGCTTTATTTATCATGTTTATTGTGTATTTAAGATGAAGTAGCTTTTCTGGTCTTCAGTAAACAAAGCTTGATGTATTGATCTTTTGATGGTGTGAGCCATGCACTGCTCCCTTAGAAATCCTCAGTGTAGCCATACTTTGGCTTTGAGAAAGCCAGCCTTTGCTCAGAATAACAATGTGACTAATGACTCTTTCACTCAGTTCTGATGCCATGTTTCCCATGCTTAGAGTGCTACTTGGTAAGCAATGTTCCACTAGAAGCATGAGGCACATACATCTTTCTAATAGGTGAATATAGGGCTTTATGTGTACAAGCCCCTGATGAGTTGTTTAAATCCATGGATCATCTGAGCAATGCTTCATTGGACAAAAAAAACCCCAACATACAAAAATATGACATTTTTTACAAAGCATACACTGTAGATAAAAGATGTAATTAACGGTTGCAGCGAGCACTTTTAGGCCCACAGAACCAGAGGCTTCAATTTTATACAGTGCATAGTCTATGTACAAAGGAGTGAACATGGTCAATGACTTCTAATCTGCTTCAGTATAGCTGCTGACCTAGAAGCAGTGGAGAAACTGAAATATTCTTTTCATTTTACAGGGTAAAAATTATTGTGTGGTTATTATAAATATTTCAAGACCCTGAAACATTCGCGTTTACATGAAAATATGTCAGATTTTGATGGGGTCTCAATCCTTTTTTTGCTAAAACTCTTTCACATTCCTTAAAAAAATGTCAATTATTGAGTTTCTCTGGACTGATGGCTGTGGTTAGGGAACTTTAGCCATAGTTATTATCTGAGGAAAGTGGCTCAATGTGTTATGTGTTTTCCAAAAAAAAAAAACCTCTATGAGGGGAAAATTGAACAGATGTGAAGTGAAGACTTTCATCAAAATCTCCATTTTTGTAAGTCTATGTTTTCATTGTTATTGTCATTTATCTTGTAGTATTAGCTTCTCTTCTTTGGACATAGATGATCCATTCAAGGTTTAAGATGGAAGAATTAAGTCCCTCTTTCACTTAGCTTCCTTTGGCCAGTTGTACCGTTTAACTTCAATGTTTAATATGACATAATTTCATATTTCAACAGCACAAAATACAGATAATAACAAATAGTAATAATCTATAGTAGATTCCTAAATATCAGTCTTAGGAAACAATCTGCTTTTATGACAGACTTTTCTGCTTTCCATCATCTGCACAGTAGTTGGAAGAAGATTTGACTGCCTCACATGATCGAAAGCATCTTGGACAGAATGATGATTTTACACTTTGACAGCAAATGATAAAAAGGTTATCTGAAAGTCGAACCGTAAGTGAGTCAGAATAATGAATGAAAGTTGCAGTGTATGTGAGAAAAATCCTTAAATATCCTGCACGCTTTGCATGGAAGATTGCATAAAATTATCTGCATGCCAATGTCACAAAGTGATGGACAATTATGCCAAATTCTTTCAAGAAGTTAATTCTGGTAAACGAGCCACTATTGACTCCGAGTCCAAGGATACAGTACATTAATTTTAATCTGTTGATATTATTTTTGAATAAACAGTTGAAAAAGTGTTGGCAAATATGTCTTGTGGTGTAGTTCAAGTTTACCACATGTGAGAGGAAAAATCTCTTTTAAGTATTTTATTTTCTAAGGTATAAGTTTGACGTAATGAAACGTTGACTTATGGGGAAAAGGTATGTGTCTCCATATGGTACAGTATACTTGCGTCATAAACAACCTGCAAGTGTTTAGTAAGTCTGCAATTCAAGTCAAGACAAGAAATACTATTAGAGCACTTTGACAGCCATATAAACCCTTTGCATCACTTTATTCTTTTCAAGCAACGCTCAAACTGCTTCTTCTTTCTCTAATGTACTAACTTCTGCTTAATCTCGCTTTGCTACGTAGCTGACGCTTCAGCCAGCCAGTCAGGCTACTCGGCTGTTAATGCTAGGAAGCATTTCACCTTGCAAGGACTTTCCAACAGGAGGTCTCTTCCCGCAGGTAACAGCAATATGCCGAGTGCTCGCTAAATCCACCTGTATCGCCATCTTTATCATCATCACTGGCATCTTTGTCAACATTATCATCTGTTGTTTGCTCTTTTTATCTATAATTGCTGTCACGATAATGTTGATCGTAATGATAATTGTCATCATCATGAACGGCAGCAGCATCTGCCCTTTGTAGTTAAGTCTTTTCGCTCCGGTGCATGCCACGTAGTTCTTGCACGGATTTCTCTACGTGCATTGCAGTGTCTGCCATATCTCACATAATAAGACCGCATCTCCATCCACTCCTCTGTCTGTGCTTTTATCTGTTCACGTCTGTGTCATCGGCCCCTGCTTGCACTGCAACAACTGTGATTTAGAAAAGAATGGGATGGAGTTCTGTCGAAGAGGCATGATTTGACAGCAGGTGATGGACAGATGAAGACAAAGAGTAGCTGGGCAGAAATATATGGTGAAGCATTACACGGCATTTCACCTCACAGTACCAAAGCCCTCTTGACATTGTAATATGTTTAAACATATCTGATGGAAGAAGAGACTTGTTTTGTTTCACAGCAGTATGACCACACGGGTACGCTGATGACACAGTTGGAGGAATGAGAGAGCAGTTTTGAAAGACGGTCAACTCCAGTCACGTTTAAGTCACTAGACGGCAGACACGTCGACTGATAGAAACCTTTCTTTAAAATTAGTGAAAACTATCCCACTGTTGTGTTGCAGTGATGTTGCATCAGGTAAAACAAAACAAAAAAAATCATACTTATTTCATTAGTGATGACTAAGAGGGAATCCTTCTACTTTAGACTTTTGTATCAGTCCAATTTAATTTTTATTGGCATGTCTAAACTTAGATTCTGAAAGTAAAATCTTAGTAAACTCTCAAAACAATCATTTTTCTTTCTCAGTTGCATTTTATGGTCTTTCCTAGAGAATGTATAGATGATTGGTTATTAAAATGGCAGTGCTAAGAAAGACCGTGAAGGCTGCTTTCTCTTTGTCTTTGATTTGCATTCTATTTAATGCCCAGAGTCGCTATCCATCCTCCTCTTCCTTGTCATTTCGCCTCTTTTTAAATCCCGTTACTAAAGCTTTCTCTCCCCGTGCTTTTTCCTTTCTTCTTTTCCTCCTGACCCCTTTCCGGCTTTAGAACCTGCTGCTAAAGAGGCTGAGGTCCCCCGCCGCTTCTCTCTCACTTCGTCTCTTGCTTCCTCTTCCTCCTCCTCCTTCGCTACACGGCGCACAAAAGGTACCAGCCTTTGTAGTTCCTTCCTGCTCTTTACAGCCTTTTTCTTATTTTGATCACATTGGCTGCGTTGTTACTGATGTGCATCTCAATAGGTTGAATTCTAATTATTACAGTAAGTAGTTGTGAAGTGTCAAACAAAAAGGATGCATTGCTATATCGTACATATTTTAAAGTGAAAAGAAATTACATGTTTTGTGGGCTGGATCAAAAAGGAAGAATTGAACATTTTGCATTTTTAATATCATTACAATGGCGGTTGTTTGTTTTCTTTATTGCCAGATTTTGATTTGATTTGATTTTCTTTGGTCCACCGTACCAAACCTATTCTCCAAAAATACAGATGCAGGGAGAGGTTTGGAGAACTGAATGTTTTCACAGATTTCAGCAGAGATTTTCTCTCCACACTTCTTTTCCTCCAACCAGTCGAGGCAGATGGGCACCCTGTCTGAGTGTGACTCTGATGGAGGTTTTCTTCCTGATAAAAGTCAGTGGTTTTTCACCCCTCTTGCCAAGAGCTGCCCAAGAGGAATTGTAAGAAAGAGCCAGGGTCCACTTTTCTGTACAATGAGAATTCAAGTGAATCGAAACCGTGACAAATTTGTTTCGTATTGAGGTTATTTTAATGTTTTTCATTGTATTTTAAACAGGTGACTAGGTTATAGTGCATTGCCACACACCTGCCAATTTGTTTTGGGGTTTTGTTTACTCAGCTAAAATAGGATATATAATTAAAGATGTGTTTTAAACATTAACCCATAATTTCACCTATGGAGAAAGGTGGGCTAGAGCTTACCTCTCATTATATCTGAGAGAGCCTAAACATCCAGTCTTTTGTGTGATTTACAGAGTGCCAAACAGAGTTTCTTTGTGTGTCTTTGCTAACAGTAAATCATTTCTAATACAGAGCAACATATGAGTTTGATCAGTACGTGTATGTGTATCACTCCTGTAAGCTTACAGTGATTCTGACCCACAACAACATACAGACTTGAATCTACAGCTCACTTTAGAGTTCTTGCTCACGTTTCTCTGTTAGCTACAAGCATGGCTACATTATGCGCATTAGCTTGCCAAATTAGCTTCCATATGCACATCCCCTGGGAGACAAGTGCACTTCTAGTATCAGCTTGCTGGCTAAATAGCAAATTAGCTGGTCAGCAACTTCACCATATTCTCCTCTCTTGAGATTTGATTCATGTCTGATAGAGAATTGCTAAAAACACAATGAGAGAAAGAAGAGATGGACGAGAGGTGGGCAGGCATTCAGTACAGATACTTTTTTTAAGCAACTGTAATGAAATAAGAATTTTGATAAGGTGACATTTGGAACGCAGGGTGACATTAAAAGTGGCAATAGAAGTGCAATATCTCTTACGAATACAGATGAGACACTGATTTTCAAGGAGGCAGAGGCAGGAAAAGAATTCAAATTGAACTTAAAAAAAAACTATTTCCATTCAGTCTCACTGTCCTCTTTTTATTGCATTTCTTTTATTATCCCTCATGCAGCTGAGACTGACCGATCAGAGCACTGCAGGCCACAGTGCTCAGCGGAGGTCTGAGCGTGGCTGTTGCTTTTCGGCCTGTATTTTTAATTCTAATCCACACTGTGTGCTAAGCAAGGAACAATATTACTCTATATTGCTTGATATTGTTGAAACAGATATGAAAATCTGTAGCACTACCGTGTAATTTTAATTGCATGCAGCTTTATATTTAAAACTGAGAAATGTGAATTATGAGTAATTGAACATATGGGCTGTATTTTGTTCATCACTCCCTCATAGCGCCTAAAACATTTTTGTAAGATAAACGTGTGGTTTTCATGAAATACAAGCAGGAGAACAGGTGTAAAAATGAAAATGAATGAAGACTGAATTCCATTTAGAGACATTATTTTTACGACTCTGCACTGTTACGTCTTCACTGGACAGACCAGTGCTATCATTAATGTATTTCATAACACTTGTGCTTTTTTCTGGTGTGATAGATATCTGATATGGAAGCAAAAAATAAATAAATAAATAAATGTGGTGTTGAGGCAGTGTTTTTACACAGATGTTAGTGTTACCATGCTGTGTTTCAACATCATGTCTTTATGTTTTGCTTCTAAGGAGCCAGGTTTTATTTTTATCTTTTAAAAGTGGTCTTGTAATAGTTCTTCAGCCCTTCTTAAGGTCCCTCAAAGTTTCTTTGGATGTTTTTTCAGTCATTTTCAGTCCCTGTCTCTGACTGGTGTCAGAGGAATATTTTGGGTTTTTTTTAAAGCTGCTTAACACTGACATATGAATCATTCAAGAATAAAAAAAAGACACCCAGTTGAAGGGATGAGCCAACGTTGTGTCTACAAAGAAGCAACTTTAAATTGTATCTTTGGGCATTTTCTTACAAGCAGCCTTTCACAAAAACACATCATTTGTTCCCATTTCTTAATTTGAATCTATGAAAAATGCAAAAGATAACACAGTGTGACAGGCATGAAATAGTATTTCAACAGCATGATTCCCAAAGAGATATTAGCCAAAAATGTGGCGTGTGTGGGCTTCCTGTGCAGAGAGTCCTCAACACACTTGAGGAAACGGGACAAGTAGAGAAGATGAAGCGAAAGGCCTAATAAGGTATTTAAGTCATGTCATTAAGAAATAGGAGGTAAACATCTGGCCATTCAGTTGATACATCTAATGTTCAAAGAACTGTCAGTAGAAATAGTCTCAATAGAAGGGTGGATGTGGAGAAGCCATTTTTCAGGAAGGGAGACAGGGAAAAAAGGCAGAAGTACTCCAACATTTTACAAAAATTTAACTAAAAATCGGAGGTAATTGGTCTGATGGAGGGATTCATTCAATTTTCAAATATAAGCTGTCGATATGTTTATCAAAGATCAGAAGAGAGGTTTTAGGTTTTTCATTTCAGCCACTGGTCTTGGGGATTTTGTCAAAATTAATTAAATTATGAATGTGTAAAGGTACTGTCAGATTGTGATCCACTGTATAACCGCCTGGAAGTTGTGTGATTAATTTTTTAGCATCACAATGATCCCTAACACACTGACAGTGTATTAGAAGAAATGTCTGGAACATGCAGTAGAACACGATCAGTCGTGGCCTATGACTCCCCAGAACTCTAACTCAACATTGTTGAAGCAACATTGTCATTCAAGTCAAGTCAGTTTATCTATAAGCACATTTAAAAACAAGACACGTTTACCAAAGCGCTGTACAAACTGGAAAAACAATTGTTGGATCATATTGACAGAGAATGGAACAAAACATAGTCAACAGGAGAAGAAAGCTTGCTTAAGCGACTTCAGAGAGAGAGTTCTTGCACAGTACTGTATCAGTAACTACTTGATATAGTTTTTATCTAAAAAAAAGTTGTAGAACTCTTAATAATTAAGTCCAAGTAACATAAAGTATGTATTGTATGATTGATTGTGTCTATTACTGGTAAAAACTAGGGACATGCATACACGTCAGGGGGATTCAAAGCCAGCTTACTCCCTGCAGTGCACAAATTATCACCAGTGGGTAGAAGACATGTTTCCATCTGCATACATTATGGTTGGAGAAACTCACGTATCAAATATGATACCAGGCACATTACAATATTACATGTGGGGCTTTATAGTACGTCAATCAAAACACATTTTCAGTTTGATTTTGTATGTGCAGATTTGTTTTTCAATGAATCAATAATTATAGATGTTTTGTGGTCAAAGGTCAAATATTTCTCACAAAAGATGAAAAAAACAATTCAAACATAACAATAATGTTTGCCAGCATTAAAGATTCAGAAAATACTTTAGTTACAACATATGAGAGATTACATAAGAGTCAGAAGCTACCGGTAACCATGTAGCCTGCATTCTCAGGTTTTAAATGAAGCAGCTGCAGCATCAGTTCTATATTCTGTTTAACTATGCTGATGGTCATGAATTAAACCCTGAAGAAAAGCATCCATTTCATTTATTCTCCAGCAAAAATAATTTTTTTAAATATAGCTGGAAAGATGGAAAAATAATTTTTTGTCAACTAATTGCTCTCATCTTTAGAAACTCTGTATCCAGGTGCCTATTACTGCATGGAAAATATGACTCTTTTCTTTAAAAAAAAATTAAAGTCATAATGGTCTTAAGATGATTCAGCCCACTTATGGCCTATGTCTAAATGACAAAATGGTTTTTAACAGAAAATAATATTACAGCTTCCTAATGTCTAAAAGGGGCTTTAAAAGGTTGATGAAAGGTGATTTGGGATGATGCAACCGTCTTTCTAATATGCTGGTTTCTCATTAATTCTCTTGTTGCATGTTATTTCCTCTGCCCAGGTCCCCTCTCTGCTAGCATAAAGAGCAAAAGGCATGAAATAAAGAGTGATCCCACTCCATTTGGTTATGAAGGTACAAGGAGAAAGATGTTATTTCTTGATTGACTGTGCTTCTTTATTTCTGGATGATGTGTTTCACCGTTTGTAGTTCCATTTCGTGCGTGCTTTGGTGACTTGTAGGTGGTTTGTGATGTTCTTTTTGTCAGTGCATGAGCATCAAATGAAATTGGTATCATTTGTGTGTGTGTGTCTGTGTAGCTTTTGTGTGTTTTGATCACAGATTTTCCCTGGTAGTTGTTTGGTGTTTTCTGTTGCTTGTTTATTTTTTTTTCTCGTTGATTCTGCATGGATACAGTTGCATGGTTTTCTTATTAGACAGCACACTGACTGGATGTAATTGTGCAACTTTTAGAAATTGTGCTTTTTAAATACAGGTTTTGGGTTTTTGTGGTGCAGTTTAACGGTTGTGATGACAAAATTGGTATAAAGCAGTTGGCTTCCCTCCAGATACATTGCGCGGCGCTATGGCAGCAGTCAGGAAACGTCAGAGTATGACTAGCAGCACTTCTGCTGGTCCTGGTGGCACCTCAGCTGTCCCTAGATCCACTTCCCAACCAGGTAACTACAGGGGAGGATTCATCTCCTCCAGTCACTTGAGAGACTATCATCCTGTGGAGTTGATTTCAGTTTTATGTGAAAGTATATTTTGTTTTTTGTTTTGTTTTTTAATTGTCCTCCTTTTGCATCGCATTGACTGTCTTCTTTAAAAACATAAACAGAGGCTATGTCTGTCAAATGGCTTCAAACTACTGACCAGTCCAAGTGTCCTTGTAATGATGTGCTTTCGTTGAGAGTTTTTATTTTTCTACTCCCTTGTTAAATAAAGCTTAAACAAATTTAAGAAAGAAAGAAAATTCAAATGTCAACTGGTTTGAAGGAAGTGGTAAAAACCTTTCATAAACCCATCAGAGGAACATTTTTACAATGTTAATAATTTAACATGATTAATTTCTTCTGTCTTCCTGTGCACATGCTCGGCCTTGTATAATCTCCTCTCCAGCTTCTCTTAAACGTAAACCTCTAAATAATCAAAAACAACATGATAACAGCACCTATGGCTGTTTCCTAAGCAGGAACAGAGACCCATTTAGAGGCAGATAAGAAAACATGTGCCAAAGATATATTATTAAATAACAGTTAACCTTCAAATTTTAACTTTGAAGCCTTTCAGACAGAAAATCTGTACATGCGACCACATCGGCTCCAAGGCTAAAAATAACTGTTGAATGACGACAGTGTTGGGGAGTAACGGAATACATGTACCGCCGTTACGTATTTAAAATACAAAATATGAGTAACTGTATTCCGTTACAGTTACCGTTTAAAAAGGTGGTATTTAGAATACAGTTACTTTGTTGAAATAAATGGATTACACTGCGGTATTTCACTGTTTCATATTGTGGCGGGTCAGGACTGTTTGGCTTTTGTTTGGCAGCTACGTTCTGTTGTTCCAGGTGGCAGCGTTGCTGTTGCCATGGTTACAGGGTGACGCTCTCTCTCTCTCTGTGTTTCCTGGGTGAGAGAGCGCCTTTTTGTTGTTGTTGTTGTTGTTGTTGTTGTTGTTGTTGTGCTAAGCTAACAGGCAGAATGCTACAGGTATAGCTCTAAGAATGTAGAATCATGGGCAGTGTAGTCCGTGTTGCAGGGAGAATGGACTGCCATACACGTTATGTGTCTGTGAGCACGAGGAGGGAGAAAAAGGAAAAGTATGAGTTGTCATCAAGCAGAAACGGGAGCTGGAAGCATGTAAATATAAAAATAACCACTGCAGCCAAGAAGAGTGCCTGATGAGCCCAGTTGTAAGTAAACTATTAAGACTCGACTGTACACCGTGTTCGTGTTTTCCTCCGAAACAATAAGTTCCGTTGGAGCAGCCTTTCAACGCCGCTCTCTGTCTTTTGCAAGCATAGTTGACCCAGACAACAAAGTAAAGCTATTTTTCGGCTACGAGCCCGACATGAAACCCACCTATTAGCCAGAGGTCCCTTTACTACGGTTCGGAGCCGTGGACCTTCAGTAACAGTAATAAATCACAGCAATAGTACATTCACGTAGTTGTAAACAGCATGATAATATATTAAGTAATCCAAAGTATTCAGAATACATTACTCTCATCGAGTAACGTAACGGAATACATTACAGAATACATTTTGGGGCATGTATTTTGTAATCTGTAAAGGAATACATTTTAAAAGTAACCTTCCCAACACTGAATGACGATATATAGATGGGATCTGATGTTGAAGCCAGATACTAAACCAGTAGTGATAAGATAATGGAAAACCACAGACTTGAAAACATACCGAATGTTTGATATGAATGTAACAAACAAGTGGTTGTTATAGATCACAAAAGAATTTGAAACTGCTCAAAATTATGCAGAATTATTGTAGGCCATATAAAAATGAGAAGGAAAGAGGCTTGTGACCACATTTTGATGACTATTTTGTGCCTTCAGAGATTAAATAAAAAGAAAGAAAGGAGGATAAGAGAGCTTATCACATATGCTGACTCTGGCTTTTTGTCCATAAGTTATACAGCTATGAAGAAAGACTGACTGGACAACGTAGCTACATCATTTCTCAAAAAAGGGGGAGATTTTGCAGCGTTTAGCCTAATTTGCCATACAGAAGAAATGAAGTTTCCCATAAACACTGTGAATATAAATGGATGCTTTTGTTTTCATTTCATTTTGGTTTTTGTGCGTTCCTTATTGTGTTTTTTGTTGTTTTTTCCTTTTTGAATTTTGGGGACTCACTGAACTCAGCATTCTGTCAGAATTCATCAAGCACAAATAAGCTGTTGTGATTTGGTGCGATATGAATAAAATTGAAGTGAATTTACAAATAAGAAAGTTGGTTTTCAAGCAGCCCTGTCTTGAGATTAATTTCAAACCTCAGCAACCGTAAAATGGAGACGGAAAGTAGATGTGCAGTGGAAGAACCTGCTCACTCCACCTAAACCATGAAGAAAACAGATACTGTTATCAAAGTTAGGTCTGATTATCACTACTGCCTTTGGTGGGGTGTTGTGATGGTGTTAGCTGTGACGTCAAATGGAAAATACCTGGTGCTGGTGGTGACAGACTTGAAACATTCAAATCTCCCTTAGTTTTATAGAACCACAAATTTAATATATAATTCCAAAGGTTTTATATATATATATCTTTTTTTTTTTAAAATAGATCAATAATTAATAAAAGGCTAGTGCAGTAGTTTTATCAAGAACAAAAAGAAAACTGCAACGAAACTTAACCTGATTAAAGAAAAGGTATAAAATATATTGATAAAAAGCTGATAAAAAAAATAAATAAAAAAACTTTACCGAAAGGAGTAAGCGGCTGCTTTCAGAACCACACTGCTCAATTGCTGTCAAAGCAAAAGGCTCTTTGGCCTGGCCCTCTCTTCTCCCCCGGTCTAAACACCTCAGTGGCTGATTGACTGAGTGCACTCAGCTGTGCACAGGACACTGGCTCCACAGGAGCAGATGCAGTACCTGAAACAGGACGTAGAGAGAGCACAACACCAGCGGCGACTCACAATAGATCTGCGGTGATGTAACAACCAAAATCACATCTTAAGAGCTTTATTCTTTATTTTTACAAAGCACTTCAACAAATTGTAAAGTTGAAGAATGATGCTTTACAAATGCCAAGCTCTCACAGCTCCTTGCACTATTATAACTGGTGAAGCAGTTTTGGAATTCAAAAGCCTGTGTTCAAAACCCAGGCGTGTGAGAGTGAGTGTTTGGACCCACTGTGCAGCTTTTAAACTGTCTTAAACTGATGCTGGGATAAGCACTGTGTTTTTGTTGTTGTTTGTTTTTTCTTGTGTTTCTTTCTTTTTTCTGCCATTGTGGGAAAAAATGTTCAAATATTTCCCGTGTTGTCATTGAAAACCTCTTACTTTTTTGCTGCCGTTCAACAGTGTGCTGATAGATCAGCAAACTGCACCAGTACTCAAAAAGGTTGTGAGTTCAATTCTTCCCTGAGGCAAGAGTGATGTCTGGATAAGCAGTGTAATCTTTTTACACTGATACCATAAATATTAGACTTATTTTAAAATATGCATGCGCTGTATGTGCTGCTTCAGTCATATGCTAAAGTCGTTATTAACGTGAGAAGTATGGGTAGTGACAGCCTCCCTTGTGCAGGCTGCGACTCGTACGGGGATTGAAGTAATCCTGAATGTGAGAAATTTGGCTTGAGGTTGAATTCTTGGAAACGGAATCATCAAGCTTTCACGATGATGTAACCAATTATTTGACTGCACAGCAACATTACTTTCCCGAAGCGTCATCACCTGCCAAGATGCATATTAATGCCCTCCCTTGTTTATGAGTACATTTTTAATGGTAAATCATGTGTATTGATTCCCCTCAGGCTGGGCCCAGCGGCGTCTTCTTTCCATGGACACAGAGGACTTTGAGACGATTCCCTCCAGCGCAGAGGAATCCTCCAACTCTTCAGACGAGGAAGGCAACAATAAAAATGTAGGCAACATTTAAGTCTGCTGCCCACATCAGCTAAAAAATGTAAAGAAGTGAAGCTCAGATATGATTTGCTACATCACTGGATCATTTTGAAACTTTATTTAAGAGTGAAAGTTAGTAAAACGGAATGTTGCAAATGATTTTGTCCAGAATTGAAACCAGGTGTGACAATTTCAGCAACAATTAGCATTATTAAACTTTTGCCAGAGTGAGGAACGTAACTCAACTGCACTCATTCGACTCCAGCTGAGTCATGTCAGCTGTCAGATAAATCATGACATTTTATGATCATGAACCATCCCCCAACTGCTATACACTCATCTCTCATTGCCTCTTCACCCATTCTTCATTTTCCCTTCTTTTTCACTAAATCCCATTTCAATCCCCCTAAAGGAGGACCCCTCCACAGCTTAATTATTTCCCATGTTCTCCCTTCTTGTTAGCAGCAGGCACTGACCACTTGACATTTAGGAAATGAGGGGAAGATGAAAAAGGGGTAGGATTTTAACTGCACGTGTCTGCCGAATATGGCAGCATTCCCACATCCATTATAATCTGTGTGACGTACACGCACGTGCACACTATCGACACGAGGGCTGAGCACGTTAGTGATGCAGGGAATGTAGCAGCTTAGAACATACATTTGTAGGACACTTTATTAGGTACTTAGCTAGATGTAGGATGGACTACATTTTCCCGTCAGAACTTCACAGTTGCTGCAAATTTGTCAGGTGCATGTCCATGATGTGAATCTCCCGTTCCATCATATCCCAAATGTGATCTGCTAGATTGAGATTTGGTAAATGTGGAGGCCATTTGAGTACAGTGAACTCATTGTCAGCTCACGTCATAAAAGCTCAGATGATCTGAACTTTTATGACGTGGTGTGTTATCCCGCTGGAAACAACCATCAGATGATGGGTAAACTGTGGTCATAAAGGGATGGACAAGATCAGCAACAGTACTCAGGTGGGCCGTTGCACTTAAATGATGCTTCTCAGCAGGTAATAATGGGGCCCAAAATGTGCCAAGAAATCAGCCCCCATTCCATTACACCACAACCACCAGCCTAAACTGTTGATACGTGGAACCATAATGTCTAAAGCATGGATCTTTCTGCTCAGGTCCTGCCATCCAAATGCTGTAGCACAAAATCAAGACTACTCAGATTTGGTGTTTTTCAGATCTTCTGTTGTCCATTTGTAAATTGCCTGTGTATATTGTAGTGTCAGTTTCCTGCCTTTAGTTGACAGTAGTAGTTTTCTGTTGCTGTAGCTCATCTATTTCGAAGTTCAGTGTGTTGTGTATTCAAACGAGCTCTTTTTCATACCTTGGTTGTAATAGTTATCTAACACACTGTTGCTTTCTTATCAGCTTAAAGCAGTCGGAGCATTCTCCTTTGACCTCTGACATTAACATGGCACTTTCACCCAGAGAACTGCTGCTAACTGGATATTTCTCTCTTTTTCAGACCATTCTCTGTAAACCCTAGAGGAAGTTGTGTGATTAAAATCCCACTAGATCAGCAGTTTCTGAAATACCTAGACCACCCCGTTAACAACCATGCCACATTCAAAGCCGCCTAAATCACCTTTCTTTCCCATTCTGACACTTGGTCAGATCACATCATGTTGATCTTGTTTTGGGTTGCTGCCATGTGATTGGTATATTAGACAAGAGCATATCTGTGTTAACAAGCAGTTAAACAGATGTACTTGACAAAGTGGAGAGTATGTTTGCATCATGCAGTCAATCACAATTTAAATTGTGTTCATCTGCAACAACAACAACTAAATAATCCCACATGTGGATGCAACTCAGATAAGACAAAGAAAAAATTGGGACATTCAATCCCTGTGGTGTGCATGTACCTAAAGACCCTATAAATCTTATAATCATTAACTTATTTATTACTATCTAGTACTACAAGAATAGCAAAATAAATGAAGTCCAATGTCTTGTCATTGGTATATTTAAATTTAAATGCTTTTATCTGCTGTCTTTGTTTCATTTAGTAGGGTATTGTTTATTACTCAGCAGTTAGAGTAGAACAGTACCACAGTACAGTAGAACAACTTTAAGCAGTAGCTTAAAGTCTTGGGATTGGCTAAATGTTGAATTTGAAAACCATTTCTTTCTGCAGGGTGACAGCAGCCGTTTCCGAGTACAGCTAACATACGAGTCTCGTGATCCGCAAGACCTCTCTCTGGAGACAGGTGACCTCGTCCAGTTTGTGGAGGAAGCAAAGAATGGAAACTGGTATGTTTTTGTTTGCTGGCTGAACCACAGGATTATTTAGAATGTCGTCCCCCCCACCCGCCATCCATTGATTGGCTGCTGTATACCCTCCACACAGCCCTCCCTTCAAGTTTTTAAATTTCTGTTTTTAAGATATTGTATTCCTAAATAAAACTGAGCAAACATTACAGGGAATTTTACAGCATATACCTTTAGGGCATTCATGTTGCAAAAAAAAAATAAATTGCTTGGAGAATGTTTAAATATTTGATTACTGAGGGACCTAAACAGTGATGTACAAAAAGTGTTGAAAGCAGTATTTTGCATAATTGTGTGGCAACACATTTTTAGGTAATTTATGAGGTGTGATCAAAAAGTTCTGGGAATGGGCCTCTCAGCAGGTGGCAAGCAAAGATTGTGTTGATGTGACTGGAAAACCTTTCAGAATATACTGTGCCAGCACACTATCACACTCTGGCAAGCACCAGTGTTCTGGTCAGTTTCTCCCTCACGCGTTATGAGGGTACAGTAGAAGTCCATGTTGACAGCCTCAACCTGGAAGATTAATTCATGGTGCACAATCCAGTGAATGTCGCAAAAATAATGAGCGCTGCCTGCTCTCGGTCCTCACCCGAAGCACTGCCTCAGGGCTTGGAAACTGTGGACTCTTCCATTGAAACCTCAGTTGTAACTGGAGACCCAGTTCTCATTACCAGTAATGAGCCTCCACACGAAATTCATGCAAGTTTGTAAGAAAAGTTAACATTGGGTTACTGCGTATGTTTGAGGATTGCAGTAAAACCACAGAGTGGAATTTGGCCAGTGCGAAGGATCAAATCCCTTATATAGATCCAAATGTGGCTTCCTTCAAAAGGGGCCAAATTTAAATAGGGTAGGTTTTGTTTGTTTTTTTTAAAGGCCAGTTATTGAAACCTTTTGTTCACACACAAAAAAGACTGCACATTGAGCTACAACACCTTCTCTGCAGCTCATAAAGACATGCCATACCCCCAAAACTCACACTTGGACACCTTAGACCAGATGTCCATCCCTTGTTGCTTAGAGCCTCTAATTTGATTGTTTAACCAACTTTTGAGAAACTACATTTTCAACCAGTTTCAGCAGAGGTGGACTGTTGGTTTCAAAAAAGTTCAGGCCTTAGCTTTTAAAAGTTAGTACCTGAGTCACGGACACCATGGCATTCCCCAGCACCCTTATTAACCACCTCCAGTCGCTAGAAGCTTAGTTTATACTCTATTTTCAACACAGACAGAAGACCTGATGGCCGAGCAGCCATTCTTAGTATATTTTCTTGAAGTCCATTTGAACTCCAGTGCCTGGGGTGCAGGCACAGTTTGTGCATTGTAATTTTAATTCTCTGTAGAAAAGTCAGTGCAGTCACAAAAAAGCCAGACAGGCAGACTGCATGCACAGACCCTCACACTTGTTGTCTGATGATTAAATTTAGGTCGTTTGGACATGAGCACAGCTAGGTGGACTTGTGGACATAGTATATACAGTATAATGTAGACTTCAAAAGGTATTTTCTGGGATAGCACAATAGGTCATACAGTAGAGGTATCAATGTTTCTCCAGAAATATATTGTTTGCCTCATTGCTATTTAGCCTGCACTAATCATCCAGCTATCAGTTCTTTAAAAATGGAACCATTCTGTGTCCTTTTATTCATGCATATCTGACACCAAAATCGTGTGCTTGATTGAAATAGTCTTTGTACCAACGGATTTCTATGGAGCTATTTTGTTAATTGTAATTGTGAAATTACCAGTCATTTCTGACAGTGTGTCTTTGTGTCACCCTCATCATTGTTTGTCTTTTGTCTGTTCAGAAAGCATCACCACAAAGACCAGTAAGTGTTAAAAAAAAAAAGAAAAAAGCTGTTAACATCCTGGTGAAAAAGCTGTTGTGCGCAGTGGGAGTCTTTTGTAAAATAACCCATGAACTTGGGTACTTTTATGGCTTGAAGTTGGGCTATGGTTGCTTTGATTAACACTGAGCCTACCAGGTTTCATTATGTCTTTACAGCAGTAAGGTAATAGCAGTCTACTCAGCCTACAACATAGTGGATGAGTCCGACTACCATCACCATGGGAGTGACAACAGGCAGCAGCCACTTTATGGGCTGATAGCATTTGAAAGAGGGGAAAAGAGCAGAATCAGATAAGCTGAATCTATCCTTACTGACAAAGTACCAAGGAAAAAAGAAAATGAACCTTTCAGAAAGGCAATATTTCCATGCATAGCCCATGTGTTTGAGTGTATGACATTGAATTATTGTTATTGTTGATCTTGTGTATTTTTGCGTAAGAATTTTGCAGTTCCACTGCTATCTGTAATCATTACCCACAGCACGGCTTCCCTGTTTAAAACTACCTTCAATTCAACCACATTAATCAAACAAGCTCAAGAGAGGAAATGAGACTTGTGCAACGGGATGCTTCTTTGCTGCCCTGTTCTATCTTCACAAGGATTAAAGGCTGAGAGTGACTCACAAGGAATTAAAATTTCATTGACTGTAACTTTATCCTGATGAAGCAGTAGGAACACAACAAAACGTGTGACTGTTGCTAAATCAAGGAAGGTTGCAGAAAACAATGGCTTCAGATTAATAATAAATCACTGTTTGATTCACCTCACCAACACCATCTTTGCTTTTGACCTGACAGGGAAGCAGCAGCTACTGCCTGCTTGGATGAGCAGCCTCTAGAAAGTGAGCTGAAAGAATGTTTTGAGCTCATGCAAGCTCCTTGCATTAGAAAGTGATTAATAGTCTACGAGATAAAAGCTCAACTTGCTTTAAATATGCTCATTTTTCATCACCTCATGCATATTTCAGCCCTTAAAACAGTCTCCTGTCGACTCCATCTATGGATTTTTGCCGCTAAAAGGTCTCAGTCACTCATTCTCATCTCTGCTCTACGCTTGAGGAACATGAAGAATTCATAAGTTTTCTCTTTTCTTTGGTTCTATTGCTGTCATATAGAACACGACTGGCACAAAAAGGACTACTGCAGTGTCATATAAAACTCGATGTGTCCTGTATACTAATATATGTCCATTCATTTGTGTATGTCTTTGTTTACCTGGTGCACACTGTTTTTGTGTATTTAGATTGTCCACTGTGCATTTGTGTTGTTATGATTGTGTATGCACTGCTGAAGTCAGTTTTTCCAACAGGAACAGTACCATGCTTACTAACATACCCCCCACCCCCCACCCCGCCCCATGAGTGTCTTGCACCTTTCCAGATTTAGGCTTTCACTTCACGTCTGCACCACACGCAGTGTTCCTGTCCCTGTTCCTGTGGGTTTGTGTGGTATATTTGTCTAAAGGCTAGACAGCACACCCAGCCACACCCTGTCAACACTAATTTACATATGAGAGGAATAAACAGAGACGTACTTCACTCTAATGTGAAAGAGGAGAATCAAGAAACAGCTTCCCTACATCCTCTGTCAAATCTTCAGAACTGCCCATCCAGTGAAAGCCATTGGCACCATAATTCCAGATGGAATTAGTCTGTTGTCATACTAGCCTAAGGATTGCCATTCATGTCAGATTACACCTTCAGTGTGCACATATTCTTTTTAAAAACATTCATTAAGGCTTTACCTGGTTCACCTAATCATAATTTATTTGCAAAATTATGGTAAATATACCATAAGTAATATACATATTTCAGATTTCTAGTATGGTCTGTTAATATGACTAACTATATAGTAAGCTATGTTATGTGTCAGATAATAACTTTAAAAAAGCTCACAGGACTTGTAACCTTAAAAAGAAAGAAAATGGATTTTAGGCTCGTGTCTTAAACAGATCTCCTGTCTCCACTGACAGTAATGCATGTTTTGGCCCAGGTGATGATAGTAGTGGGATGCATTGAATGCACAACAGTCATCTTTCTGTCTTGTAAACTGTGTGACCATCACGTTCATTTCAGTGTTTATAAAATGAAAGTTATTATCGATCTGTCTTGGTTTTTTTCAATATTTGGCCTAATGACTCAGTTTTCCTGCAGGCAGAAAGCCAGTGCAAAGATAAACATAGTTTCCTTGCACAGGTTGTCATAGGAGCAAATAGGATACCTTGGAAACAATAGGTGAAGAGATGATTTTTTAAATATAAACCACATAAGCATAACCTGGTGGCCTGGCAGTGTTGCTAATGTCCAGTGCTGGATCTTTTTAATGCAACTGATCAACAACGGTAGTCTTCACATAAAATCTAAATCTTTATTGCAATTATACTAAAAATACAATGAAATGATATATGGTTGCATTCAGTGCAAAGAAAGCAACCTAACTATCTTAAACTTTCATTCTAAGAACAAAAAATTAAAAAGAAGACAATTTCTAATAAGTAAATATAGTATAAAAATATAAATAAATATATATGCTGATGTTTATGCATTTGTGCTTGAGTCATTATTGATTGCACAGGTTAGTAAGGCGGGCATACCCTTCAGTTTTCATTTATTGTTTATTACTTATTATTGCAACAGCCCTGTGATTTATGCTGTTTTTCAGTCTTTGTTTTAGCATTCTGAAGAATGCTAATAACACTGATGCTCATATTTCAACTACTGTCTCTAATTTGAGGGAGGCACATGTTTTTTGCAAGGCTGACACAGTAGCAGCTTCAATTATTATTTAATTTTTTTTTTTTGTAATAGGATGACAGAATTTGGTGTGAGGAAAGACAGGAGGGTAATGACTCACAACAATTATCAGGCCAGCCACAAAGCTCATCAATGAAAGCTCAGAAAGAGTCCTGATCACCATCAAACAACAGTAAACTGCATTTATTTTATGTTAAGACGCTACTTACTGTAAAGTTCCTACCTTGCCACCTTCAACACTAAATAAATCAAAAGATGTGTAGAAGTTTAACAATGTGAACCCTGCTTGTGGCCATGAAAAACATCAGCAAACACTACGCTGCAGCACATGAGTCAGTTTTGTTCCCTGACTGATACATTTCATTGCAGTTTGGCAGTGCTGATTGCTGAATCAATGCAAGCACAAATAATGTCTGGGGGAAAAGCTGTTATCCTTCATATTTATGTGCACCACAGACATATTAATGCTTGATGTTACTCATTCATAATACTCTTCCAACTTTCCTGTGCACTAACAGCATCCCAGTCTGCACACCCTGTATATCTTTCCTGAAGAGGTCGAAATAGTTTTTCTGCTTGTAAAGAAGTCCTGCACAGCGTGCCTGCAGGGACATTTAAAAGATCATTGCTACAAAATTTCACTTACACCATGCAAAAATAAGCCTTTGGTAAAAGTTACTAAGGTTCTGATATCTGGGATTAGTAGCAGTGAAAGTCATGATAAAAGGGGTGTGTTATTTTTTTATTTTTTTATTTTTTAGCTAACTTTATAAAAACGCTTGGTTGGCTAGTAGTAGTTCACTGTTTTTATGAGGACCCAAACAGTAAACGGTAAAAAATAAACACATTTAATGTTAATTTTGCAGGATTTATTCCCCTAAAAGGCCTTTATTGGTTCACTTTTTGTTTTTAGTTTGTGTAGCAGCTACCAAAAACTCAGTAAATGACTATAAATTCAGAAAAAGGTCAGTGTAACCCATGCAATAATTCATTTATTTAGTTTCGATATCATTCTTCTTATATATAGGGAGATTATTTTCCTTTGAATTGTATGGAGCTACCAAAAGGTCACAGTGGGATTTTTTTATTTTTTTATTTTTTTGCATTACCTCTAAATAACATTTGCTTTTCTTCTGACTCACAGAGAGAGACTGAGCTGTATGATTATACAGAAGCATGTATTATTTAGTAGGCCACCACTGGTTGTGACAGCTGCAAGAATCAGTGCACCCTCGGCTGTGGCTGCCCTGTACCACCGCATCTAGAACGAAAACACGATCTCTTACTGACTGCTGCTGAGAAAGTCTGTAGTTTCAGCTGTGACTGCAGAAGTGGAATGACACGGCTGTCGCAGTGATTGTATTTGTGTTCATTACTGTGCTATCGTTTTTATAATTATGGCTTAAATTCGTTTTTATTTAATAAGTGAAATAATATGCACCAAGGGCTGTGTGTTATGCTGGAGCTACTGTATACCTGAACTCTTGTGCTTCACATGGTATGACTGCAAATATATAATACTATGTATATTTTTAACTTATTCTTTAAAAATAAGTAATGAATGCAAAATCATCAGGTGTCTCTCTGCACTCTGTGTTCTTTTGATCGGCACACTAGCTACACATATGGATTAAAAGGAACACAAGAATAATAAAAATGCTTCTGAAAGGGGCTGTGACCTTTCACAAGCTGAGCAGAATTGTATGCTTGCTGCTTTACAGGTATTTCATTTACAGTTTTTGACATTAATATAATATTTCAAATAACTTCCTGGCAGAGCCTAAAATAAACATTGGTGACATTTTGAAATCTATATTAAATAAAGTTCTAGCATCATTAGTCATGATTTTGTTTATGCTAAAACCTTCTTGTTCCCCTGTGCTGTCATACTTGGTCATTAATATGAACAGGCATTATCAGGATTCACTGAGAATTCACCATAACAGATAATTTCAGATTAACTTATGTGGTTAGTGGCTTTAATCCACAGACTTATTTTCCTGTAAAGTTATTATTTTTGTTTTTAACTTCCTTTGGTTCAGCAGTTTGCTTCTGGAAATGAATGACCTATAATAAAAAAGTATCGCTGCAATTACCTTACTCCTGTGTTTGAGTGAAGACCTTCCTCTCTATTGTGTTTCATGTCCTAGGCTAGTCAAGAACCTTTTAACAGAGAAGACAGGGTTGGTCCCATCCAGTATACTGCAAACAGCATCAGAAGGAGGTCACTCAATTCAGTAACAACACTGCAGCTTCTGACTAACCACTGGCAGCTTTGCTGTAACACACTCACTCACCACCCCCTCCATACCACCCATTAATCCCACTTCATCTGCTCCTCTCCTCACTCTCCGATGTTAGTTGCACCAAATTAACTGGGTGGTCCACCTGCTGTTGGAGAGGAAGGAGAAAAGGGATGAAGTGGAGGGGGATGGAAGAGTTTTGGCTTGAATGCAAATGCCACTGACTGAAGCACATTCATCTCTCTCTCTCTGTCTCTGTCTCTCTGATTGATGTTAGATAAAACTTCACTTGTTTTTTTGAATTGTCAATTTTAGGTAACTGATGTTTAGATTCAGACTTTGATACCATGAAATTAATAATTACCTGGGACATGGCAGACTATTTCCAGTTGCAACAATAAAGCTGTTACTGGCTTTCAATCAGGTGCTTTCACTCGTCAGCTCTTTAGAGCAGTTAAATCAAGCTCTTTGTCATTTCTCCCACTTCGGGCAGGTGTGTAGAGTAGGTATACTTGACTAAGACCCCATAGAGGGAGGCTAGTTATGCTACTCCTGGGCAGATTCTGGGTGGAGCATAACTAAGTGAACATGAGCCAACCCAACTAGCATTAGCATGTTGCAGTTTTGCATAAAGTGGCTCCTGCTGCTAGTCATGCTCGCAGTATAGTTGTAATTTGAAGAATTAATCAGCTAGCTACTATAGCAGCTGGTTACAACTAGCACTGTTTCTGTCACAGATATCGTCTATATTCACTCAGCACACATTATTTTCTTTCCTGTATATCTATTCTTGCTTCCATCCCATTTACATTTGACAAATAAACAGAAATTTCTCACGGCATGCTCACGAGGTTTGTGGTGACACGCTTTGTTTGACTAAGATGTTTTTAGTTTATGACAAGAAATTAAGCCAAAGGAGAAACTACTAGAAATCTTATCATTTATATTTGCTTAAAATGCATTCAAATAGTTTCCATATACTTGCCAACATATTTTTAAGCTGACTATTAGTAACATTTTCTGGGCATTAACTATCAGATACATCCATGTAAATCGGTAGCGTGCTGCAAGTAGCATGAGGAGTTTTGTGATTAATATGGTTAACATACCAGCTACACGTGATTTAATGTTAATTTATATTTGGGGAAATGCTTATGAGCTCCTCATACTTTATAACCACATAGAAAGGACTCTATACACAGCTTTAATATATTTCTATCTTTAACTTTGAGCACATATTGTTAATCTTAATACTGGGTTGATGAGATCAGGAATTCATAGACAAAGTGTATGCTTTTCCCACAGGATAGACCCTTCTATTTTTCCCCTCTCTCATTCTTTCCTCATCTCTGTCCTCTCTGTCCTTAATCCATCTCCCTACCATCTCAACGCTCCCATGCCGACTTGAAGGCTTGTCCTTGAAGTGTTTTTTTCTTTTTTTTGCTGTGGCCTTGCTTGTGTTGTTATGGTGTGTTCCCTCTTAAAAAGAACTACCTCTTCTGTCAGGTCACTTACCATCATTCTCTACTCCTTTTTATCATTTTCCTCTTTGTTTCTGTGTTTTTTCATACTTAAGGCAGACCCACTTCCATGCTCTAGCAGTTGACCTTCAGCATTTTAGTTAAGTGGAGCCCATTTACAAAAAGCTCTCTTCACCTGTCTGCACTGAGTGCCCTTATCTGCCTTCCCTATAATTTTCTATGCAACGAACTGGCTGATATTATTGCAGAGTCTGAATATTGCTCTATTATGTCTTCTTTTTTTAATGCTTGATTTTTTTGGGGGGTTCTTTTTTTATTGGAACTGCAGTCTGGGCTGTGCATCCTCATTCTTAAGTGCTGTTTGAATTTTGAATACTACATTTTGTAATGGCATCAACATTGACTTGATGCTTTCTTGTCTTTGCAGATATCTTCAGTGATCTGTGTACAGCAGCTCTCTCCGACTCTGAAAATGAAGCCAGTACATGGGGAGATGTGTCTCAGGACAGCAAATAAACATGGATGACCACTATAGTTCATTATATTTAACTACAAATATGGCTGATGACTATAACTGTAGGTTTTTTTAACTGTAATTTCCTAAGCTGGACAATTCTAGGTTTTCTACTTGTAGCTCTCATTAATGAATTTGCAAATATGGCCTGCTATTGTTTTTCAAATGTAGTTTTTTTTTAGAAAAAAGCCTGCCTGAATGCCACAGTAGGAAAGCCATATAAGGTTTTTAATTCAAGGAAGTGCCAGCATGTCTCTGTGGGGAACTGAAGCTTTCATGGATGCTGAACTGAAAGTTAAATCATTACTTTCTGTGGAGAATGCTGGATGCCTGGAAATGTAAAACCTTTTCTGACCTGGATAACCTTAGGGAAAGTGACAATTTCCATGTGCTGGTTGTAAGCAGGCTTTGGGGAGGCGGCCTGGTTTGCTGTTACCCTGCACTGAAGCAGAACTCTTTAAGATCAAATTCTTACACTGATGCCCAAATGTTTCAGCATTTCATGTTCAAAATATATATAATTAATTGCAAGTTGTTTTCTTTGGTTTTCTCAATCCTAGTGGAGCACGCACAAGAATTATATCAAGTATAGAGTTGCTTCAGAGACTATTCTGACTACTCCTATGTTTTCACACTCGTACAGGTTTTCAACCACCATCATGTGTGTCCTTTGCATGTTTTCCCTGTGTTTGCGTGGGTTATCTCCGGATACTCCAGCTTCCTCCCACAGTCCAAAGACATGCAGTTAGTGAGGATAGGTTGACTGGCAACTTAAATTGCCCCTAGGTGTGGTTGCAGATGTGAATGTGAATGCAAATGGTTGTCTGTGTCTATGTGTTAGCCCTGCGACAGATTGGCCACCTGTCCAGGGTGTACCCTGCCTCCCGTCCTAAGACAGCTGGGATAGGCTCCAGCCCCCCTGCGACCTTGAAACGGATAAGCAGAAGAGAACGGATGGATGGAAACTTAAAAATCAAATATTACAAAACCGTCTTTGTCACTTTTAAGTTTGCTTTGTTAAGTTTCCGCAACCATTAGACATTAAGTAAATTTTCCAGACACCAAGCTACTTCTGAGTGTGTGGGAAGGGTCCATAGACCATGTAGATTGTTGCCGACATGGCTCATCTTTTGGCGGATTCTCCCATCAGTGACTGTTCTCACTCGGTTATGTAGTTTGCCTGAAATTATAACTTTAGGAATTGCTGGATTAGTTTTTTTTGTTTGTTTATTTCTTTGTTTTTCCATTTTACAATATTTAATGGCACTGAGGTCAGCTTAATTAATAAAGAAAAGTCCCCCCCCCCCGTGTATATAAATTCCTTGTGTATATTTAAATCTATTTAATAATAGGTCAGTGAATGGATCTGAATACTTTCTGAAGTAACTCTATTGTTTCAACTTCCCCACTGTCTGTTAGACTCACAAACAATGTGTGTAATTTGCCAAATGGCTGGAAATTACTCACCAAACAACCAGAGAGCTAGGGCTGAACACATCGGTTTGCTGAATGCAATAACATATGAATATAGCCTTTGTTTTTATGTCATACGGGGACAGAAACTGGAAGAAGACTTGAAGTCAATTTGTCTTCTGGTAACAAGTAAAGAACTGTGCAGATTGTGTATCATTAACTGTCTAAAAACAGCTTTTTGCTCCATGCAAAAACAAAGTTGATGAGAGTGGTGTGTTGATGAGACCTAAGTGCAAAGAGAAGGCTGTAATACTAAAAGAACTCAGCAGAACTGCAGAGTTGGATGTCACTAGAAGCAAACCCGTTTAATTTACACATATCTGTCTCATTGTTCATATAAAATGCATTCATTTGTTCAGTTTTAGTTCCAAAGTCTGCTGCTGTATCAGGGGTGCAAAATGTGGGGAAAAGTCATTCAAGAAGAATTTCCTTTATCAGTTAATGATAGCTAATTACTCTCTATCAGAAAATACATGAGAAGTAAAACAATCGTGTTTTCCATTTTATGCTCTATATAGCTTCAATGAATAGCACACAGAAGAAGTCAAAAGGCTTTTGATGGAGATGAAGCATTAATGTTTAAGGAAATGGAATTATCTCTACGATGTGTTGAGCTGCATGCCACCGAGATAAAGTAAGACTCATTTTTACATAATGAGATTTTCACTACCAATCTTGTTAAGAACATTTCACATTGATTCCCTGCATGCCAGCTGCTATTTAAAGACAGGACTTATGATATTCATACATAGTTTCTGATTTGTGTGCATGCACTGTACAATAGCTAGAAAATGTGCTTTCTAAGCAATCTAATCCCAGATATGAGTTTCTGCAAGGGTGACTTCATGCCACTGTGAGAAAGCTCATTTTTAAATTGAGAACATTCCAAATATTGTATTAATTTACGCTCACAGATTCCCTATTGAGGAATTCTTTTATCTCTGTGTTTGTGTTGCCTTAACTAATTCGTAGAAGCATACTCACCGAGAAACCCAATTGATCATATTCCAACCTTGGAATTTATTGAAGGATTTAGTTTTTCTGCTGAATCCAAGCAATAGTTCAGCTTTGCAACATGTTATTGGATTCATGAGAGTTGTTTGAGGTCCAGCTGAAAGTGCTTACACCCGTGTTTTTGCTGCTGAGAAGTTAGCATTTGTTCCCACCTTCAGTTTTGTAGGTGAAATGCATTTCTCTGACAGATAGCACTCATGCCCTTTTTTCTCCCCAAAGTAAACTTCACTATGTTGTAGAAAAAGTCAGGGAAGTTTGTTTTTCTTTTTTCAGGGAAAATATTTTTAGTAAACAGCACCATTTTTTCTAAGGTTTCATAAGGTGTATAATGTTTTTTTGGTGTTGTTGTTCTTTTGGATCTGTAGACTGGACATAGGACTTGGTGAGGGCCACGGACGCATTTGACAAATGTAAACAAACATCAGTGTTAGCATAATTTTGAGGGATCCATTTTATGTATAACTGCTGTATTGCCGTACTCCATTGCTCCCTCACAGGCTTTTCAACACTGTATTGCATTTCTACTGCTAGGATGAATTGTATAGACTAGTCACTGCGGAAGCAGAACTGTAGCTGCAGATAAATGGCATATTATATCACAGCAAGGATAATGCAATACAAACGCTGCCATTCTGTCAAATGCTGCTGGCATTTCACACATGTACATCATGTCCCTTGGTTTGATGCCTCTGTGAATCAGCCATAAAGATATTTGAGACTGAGAGATAACTGTCCTTTTCTAAACAAAGAACACATCTGGAAGTTAAAAATGGAAAGCCATAAGGGTGTACTCACACCAGGCACAGTTTCCTACTACCATGCCTGGGCACAATATCCCCATTTCCTCACTGCCCCATGGTCATGCTGCTCTTAGCAACCTGGTCCAGTTCATCTCAGTATTTCAACTCAACTCTTTCCTGCTCACTCTGTGCATCATTCACACACACTTTTGAAAACAACGTTTAAAGAGCATAATGAGGTTCGTGATTTAATGTAGCTTAAAAGCAATATTTTGGGAGTTATGAGAAACTGCCCCCTCACATGCCTTGCAGATTACCTTACATGGTGATTTTTGCATAAATGATGGAGTTCTTTCTTGGGTGTGGTTTAATGATCGCTCTAGGTGGAATCAAGTACTGATTAACATACCGGTACTGCTTAATATAACTGATACTCTCATTTTACTTGCACATATTGATTTAAGGACTTGACTATGTTTGACAAAGGTTGTGGTTTAGATTAAATATACCTCTTCATTATCTGAAATCTATGCGTTTAAAAGAAAATGATGGTTACCTAGTGTGGTTAAACACGTGAAATGGTATTTGTAAGTATGTATTATATGTAAATAGTTTAGAGTAAATTCATCTCATAGTTGCCATATATCTATATCATTGTAGCACCAACAACAAAGGAATTTTGAATGTATGTGTGAACTGCCAGTGTCTTTGTCAAAAAGGCATCATTTGACATCCTCTGAATGAGAACTGGCTGGAAAACGACTTATTTGATTTTCATTTAGATGGTAAATCTTAGAAATGGAAACAAGAAAACCAAAAGATATCAAACAGCAAAGTCTTCATACAATACATGTTAGAACATAAGATTGAACCTTGTTACAAACCACAAGTAAGTAGCGTTGATCAGTCTTTGAAAAGACAAGTTTAAGATGAGCAGTGGATGGATAGATGCTTAGAAGGGTTCATGGGTGGATGAGAAGTGAATGGATACATGAGAATTCCAAAGGATGGATGAGAAAAATTGGCTTGACAGACTGCTGTGTGACGGGCGAGGCATGGATAGATTGTTGGTTAGAAGAGTGAATGGACAGATTTGACGACACTGTAAATGGGTTAGCATTTGCAAGAGAAAGCAAAACTAAAGTGAAGTTGATATGCTTTGATATTCTGATTATACAGAAATGCAGTCCTCTTGAATATGCTGTATATTTTGTTCATGCTATGTTTAAAATATATCTTTGCAATGAAAATATTTCTCTTGTACTGCCATATTTAAGCATATTATAGAATGTATCAAGTCTGTATATTGTATCTGTCATCTGATGTACATATTGCATTGCTTTGTTGTGATAATATGCATTTGCAATGTAAATTTTGTCACAGTTTCATTTCTTATTTCAAATATATTCGATTATTCCTAACTTAGGCTAGATTGTTTTACTTCTGCTAAAAAAAAAAGTTTTACATGTGCAAGAAAAGTATATGCAAAGTCTTTTTATAAAACAGGATAATTTTACTGCTGGCATTTCACAGAGCAATCTCTATTTCAATATCTGTTGTATTAGGGTCTCTCTCCCCCCCCATTATTCATTAGAGAAACCATTTTCACCCAGTAAATTAATGTAATCTACCAAATAACACACAGCAACTTTGGTAAGCACAAACAGAAGGTTCCAATCTATAAAAGAAGTGGCTTTGTTTCTGAATGGCCTCAAAATACATTGTTTGCATCTGTCTTGGGAATAATAAAGATTGTGTTGAAAAGTCCACAGATTGCATTTACCCCACAATCAAAATGAGCAAACAAGTCGTTTTATTTCTTTATTTGATTTAATTTATTAATTTGGTGCCAAATCCCAACGATTGTCATCTCAAGTCACATATAGTTATATGAAGATCTCCCTCATGAGTAAGCAGTTAGAGGCAAAACTCCCACTTAAGAGGCAGAAACTTCCAACAGATCAAGGCTCAGGGAGGGCAGCCATCTGCCATGGCCAGGAAGGTTGAGAGGAATGAGAAGAGAGAAAAGAAGAGCACAGAGAGAACGTAAGCACCAGTTCCACTAATGTAACATTTTCCCAAACTAAAAACTATAGCAGGAAGTGCAGGGCTGGTCAATTGTTCCTGCTTTATAACTATAAATGTAGTAAAACATATCTTTTTAGCCCATGACACAAACTAAAATGCTGAGAAAATGTTACTTACAGTATATCATTAACATTAACGTGACTGCAGCAAACTCATTCTTTTACAAACCTCTAAGAGGAAATCTTTCCCAGTCATCACTGATGTAATTGCAAGGTATCTATACATCCTTGACATTTTTTTATTGTCAGTTGTCAATGTAGATTCATCAGAGGAGTAAAACACATACATTCTACTTGTACTGTAACAGGAAATTTGCCGTGCCTGTAAAAGTAGTTTGAAACAGCCTCTTTGTTATCGGTTGAACTGAAGATTGAACCCTGTAGACTAATAATTCAGCAAACATAAGCCCTGAGACTAAGAAAAAAAAAGGCACAGGGAGAATATAAAGGAGATGTGATTTCCAACACCTCACCATGTTCCCGATCTACCAGACAAGACTCGTGTGAAGAAAAGATGGGTGTTCAAACAAGATGTTATTAAAGTCTGTGCCAGCAGGCGGTGAATTCAGGGGCTGTCAGAGAAGAATCCTCTGCTTGTCATCGCAGCTTGTTTTATTTTGATTTAAAACTGTATTAAAATGATTTAAGGCTGTATTGAAATGAAAGGCAATTATTGCAAGTTGGGTTGTTAAAGAGAAAGACAAAGAGATAAAACAGGCAGTATCTTCACTCTTCACACATTAAAGTATGTGATGAAATACAAGCATCATGAAAAGCCCTGGTTTATTTCTATTCTGTTGTCAGTGATCGATGGCTTCTCAGGTATGGTGGAGGGTTGGCATTGCATCATTATCATTCAAACTGAGTCTCTGATCCCCCTTCAAGAGGAAGAGAGCAGGCTATTAATGTTAGACTTGAAGCATAATGTATTCTCTCTGTATTTGACTGGTGTGAACTCTTTTTTTTCCTATTCACTACCCCTAGATGAAAACATAATTTAAAGAGATAAGATGAGTGTTTTAAAGTCTTAAATGCTCCAGATTGTCTTTCTGGCCTCAGACATTGACATGGAATTAAGTTAGGTTACCATTTTTATCAGAGTGCTCGCGGGTGTCTTCTAAAAACATGCATTATGCAAGAAACATAAAGAAAGAAACCAACTAAAGTGTGTATATTGCTTATATTTAACATTCAATATACATCTTGAACATAGTCTCGATCAATTCTTCTTATTAAAACTAATAAATCATTATCTGAATGCTTTCTAATTCCCAGTAATAGTTCATCTGCTTTTTAGTGCAAGTATCTAATAAGCCATTTAGCAGCTTGCTTAATTTAGGCATGTACACATGGTCGAAAAAAATGGCTGAAACTAAAGAGCAGCATCAGAACAGGGAGAAAAAGCCATGTAAGTGACTTTGATCGTGACATGGTCGTTGGTGCCAAACAGCTGGTGTGACCTACACAACTATCTCTAGGGTTCACAGAAAATATTCAATATTCTTAGAAATCAGAGGTGAATGATAAGGCTGCTTTGAGCTGACAAGAAAGCAACACAAATACTGTAACTGTTACAACCAAGACATGCAGAAGAAGTTCTCTGGCTGCACAACAGAAGAGACAATTAGAAGACCGCACCATGTGACCCTCATGTCAGCTAAAAATTGGACAGTAAAGTTTGAAAAGATATTGCCTAGCCTGATGAGTCTTGATTTCTGCTACAACATTTGGATGGTAGACCTTGAATTTGACATAAACAAGATGACAGCATGGATCCATCCTGCATTGTATCAATGGTTTCACTTGTTGGTGGTGTGATGGTGTATGGCATATTTTCTTGGTACACAGCAACTGAGAATTTTTGAAATGCTAGATCCCACTTGAGTATTGTTGCTGACCATCCCCATCTATTTATGACTACAGTTTACTAATCCCCTGATGGCTGCTGCAAATGACCTCCACAATAACAAGATCGCATTCCAATAGAGCATCTTTGGGATGCGGACGAACATGGACGAAACTTTCTGATGAATGTTTCTAGCACCTTCTTGAATTCACAGACAACTCTGTGGATTCAAACAGTTCTGGCAAAAGAGGTTCTCACCCAGTACTAGCAAGGTGCACTTAATAAAGTGAATGTAGAAATCATAAATAAGAAAACTATCAGGAAAACATTTTTCTGTAAGTTTATGGTCTCGGCCTCTAGCTTCACATCTTCTTCAGTGCACTGTGATATTCATTTTTTAAATAATTGTCTATTTTGCATAAAGTGGTCTTCTGCTGTTATAGCCCACACACCTCTAGCTACAACATTTTTCCGTTTTTTGTTCACCACAATCCCAATAAGTAGTTACCTTTCTGTCACCTATACCAGCCTGGAAACCTCTGCTATCAACTATCCCTCCACAGAACTGCCACCCACAGATTTTTTTTCCCCCACAGGAGAGCAGCGGTTTCAGAAACACTGAAAACAACCTGTCTGTCTGAATATGTAGGTGTGCGTTCATAATGAAGTACTTAGGTTGTGGGTGACAGAGCACTAAAGAGAGGGGACTGAGCTTGAACTTTAAAGGTTTGAGGAAGACAAAGCTGCATAGAAGAAGATAAGGTCCTGACAAAGCTTTGTTCTGTGGCGTGAACCTCCTGAGGGCTAAATACAGAAAGACAGAGACCGAATGTGTGTGTATCAGTTAGATGACTGCAGGAGTGGTTCGACAGCTCAGGAATGCGAAAAGCATACTAAGGCTCTCACAAAAGTCAAAGCAGTGGAAGAAAAACAAAGGAATTGCTGGAAGTCACTGTCTTCACTGTCTTCCAGACCAAGTGCTGCTAGCCAAAGGGCCACTGATGTGTGTGTGTGTGTGTGTGTGTGTGTGTGTGTGTGTGTGTGTGTGTGTGTGTGTGTGTGTGTGTGTGTGTGTGAGAGAGAGAGAAGGAGTCTGAACATTTCATTGGGAAAAATATAAAATAAATGTATTTAAATTTGTTTTCCAAGGGAAAGAAAGATGTGGTGCATAGTTCAAACACAGTTCATTCATGTTAGTTATTGCTACTTTTTAAGAGGAATCGTATTGTGGTTATAAGTCACTGGAACAAATCCAATGTTATGCTAAAACAGCTAAGTAGTATATTGTGGCTGGAAACCCAAGCAAAGCAAAGCTAATTTGCAAAGTCTTTTGCTGTTAGTGAGTGTGCTCTTATCAATAATGAATCAGTAGTGGTTCAGGTTAGAGTTCCTCTCCTCACGTTGAAGAAATCCCTGAAAATCTAACTCATCAATTAGATTTTGTTTTTGATAAAAATGTTCATTTCATATGTTAAAGGATTTGGATGTAACTCTGTATCTTTGCACCCTTTAGTATGTGTGGATATAATATTAGCTCAATATTAGTTCTATAGGGTTCTACAGGCTTGTCCCTAGTTTATTATGTAGAAAACCTTGACTGTCTGGATCTGTATATTTGGGAGTGCAGTCGGCATAATTTCATTCCAAAGTGGAAATCCTCACAAATGACAGTTAATGCATATTTTGCTCCCAATATGTTTTAAAACAATGTGGATGTAAAGGTTAACAATTTAATTTCATTGGAGGTTTTTTAAAAGAAGGCCACCGGCAAAAGATAAATAAGTTATTTTTCTGCTGAGAAATGAGCGTTGTCCCCTTCAATGAAAAATGAAAGGGATATATAACATTCTTTGGGTACCATGTATGTCTGCATATATATATGCAGATACTATATCCATAGACAAGAGACACGATTCTTGTAACCAAAGCCTTTCTTCATTTCCATTTGTGGTCTGTTTGCTGTCTGAGTATAACTGACAAATTACATTTTCAGGCTTTGAGTGCCCGCAGGCAAATAGTCTGTGTGTAGAGCAAAGGAAGAAGACCGGCCAATATGCAATTTCAAAATCATCATTTATCATGACAATGATTTAGCTTTTCATCAGTTTTCTTCAACTTTACTTTCATCAACATTAAACTGTGGACAATGAATTATACTTGTATACTCGTTAGTCAAGATATGCGCTGGCTGTACCTAAGCCCCAAAATATTTGCTGTTGTCCCGAGTCATCAGATGAGAGTGGATGGGGTTGCAGATTTGGAACCATGTAGCACACAAAGCTACTTTCTGGAGGATTTACTAATTATTTTATTTTATTTTTTTATCCTAAAAAACCCCATCATATTTTTAAAGGCCACTGGGAACACTTGAAAGTGCTAACACAACAACCACATCATTTCTATCAATGGAATGATCCACTTTCCTGTCTAATGGTCCTATAAGAGTTTCCTGAATCATTACTGCTATGAGTTTTGCTTTTTTCTGCTTAGCTAATGGCTCTTTTGTATCTTTTATAACCAGAGGAAGTAGTGTCAGATTACCCAGATAGTTCCTTCAGGTTGTCGGTGGTCTGTGTACTGTTGTCGAGACCCACAAAGATTAACCAAATATCCACACCATTTTGAGTATGGCTATATAAACCCCACAAACCCACATCCAAGGCAGTCCCAGAGGAGAGTTCTTTAGATTACCTTGGAATAATTATGAAAACAAGTTAACTATTAAAATAATAATAGCTTAAAAAGTGTGACATGCTGCATATGATACTTATGTATAAAGCATAAAATAAATATGTTGGACTGTGCACTTATGAGGATGGATTTGTGTATTTGTGTGTGCATATGTATGAGCCTAACCTAAGGAGCTAAGGCATAGGGGTTAGTATTTGCCTGGGAAGAGTTCACTGTCAGTGTGAACACTTTTGCATTGCTTTTCTTTTTCTCTCTCTCATAATGGAGAGCAAGCAAAAGTGTGAAAGGAGAATTACAAACATTTCACACATATTTTATTACAGAGCTGGATTTTGATATAGGATACACCCATGGGTTATAGTCACCAGCATAAATGCAACAGGGTGTGTTGTTTTAGATCATTCTGCTATGTTAAGAATAAAATAGCAAAAACCCCCAAAACAAAACAGCAACAACAACAAAAGTATTTTCAGGACTGCACAGGAAACCAACAGCTGTGTAGGTATGCATGAACACATGAAATTAATGCATTTCACATTAAAATTTGTTGTCATTATTAGTGGGTTATGTTTAAACTGTTTAACTAATATTTGTATGTCAGCAGTAGGCCTATCACATGTCCCATGTACTGCTTTGGAATATTTTTTAAAAAAAATGCTGGAATAAATAATCAGGATCTGCAGAGAATTTAAAAAAAAAATATTTTGGAAGCAACGGTTCAGGTTTATTTCTTAAATTAAAAACCAACACAACCTATGTGGAGAGCGAGCGAGAGAGAAAGAGACTTTGAACCTTCTTTTTTGTAAGCGATTCAGTTTCCCATGGAACCTGAATGTAACATCACTGGGTGTATGCAGAGTGCAGACTGTCTGCATACTGCTGTTGTGCGCATCGTTATTTGAATGAGCGGACCAATCAGGGGCCTCGCTGGACGGAAGCGTTCAGCTTCCTGTCACTCTTACCCAATCAGCGCGCTGTCCTGTTGTTTGCCTTGCTTTTTGAATTGAGCTGGAGCAGCACACTGACACCGTCTCTGCAATAGTGTCGAGTAGTTAGCTGTCAACAAACTGAAGTAGTCATTTTGGACTATTGTCATTTATAAAGACCAACATGCATTGATACTAGACCTGTGATTTTACGGAGCGACGTTACAGCTGTTTTAAAGAGCGTTTTGAACCGAAGAGGAATTGTGACGAGTTCTTAATTGTGTTGTTGACTTACTAGCTTGGTGGCTAGCTAGGTCAGCTAGAAAGCTTGTTAAATATTACTGATTCAGCGGCCAGTTGAGATTCATTAGCTAGTTTTTTTTTTTTTTTTTTTTAGAAGGCATCAAAACAGTCGGTAAGTCTGCATTTTTATTACTGTACTTTTTGAGAGGCGCCATGTTAAATATTAAACGTTAGTAGCGTAAATAGCTAACGTTAATTGAGCTAGCCCTTTTTTGGATATCATCTTCCTTTGAGTTGTTAGGCTTATTCTGCAGTAATTTGAACTATGCTATTTTTCTAGCTCATGGGTTTAAATTTAGATTTAAACGCAAGAGCTAGAAAAATGAAGCTTCTTTATAAAATATGTGTTTAACGGTGTGGGTTTGAAAGGGATTGTTGTCACGATACTTTTTGTCCTCTTGCAATAAACACTAACATTGGATTCTGTTTTTAATAATATTTCCTTAATTGCTTACAACTTTTATAAAGAAGAAGTTTCACTGTTAACAGCTTTTATGCCAGTTTTGTCCAAATATGTTGCATTGCCTAGAGTTGAACTTAACAAGCACTTCTAGTGTCTGAAATCGTGACAAGTTGTGCCACTTTCTTCAGTTGACATCTTTCTTCTTACTTTCCTAGTTGGTATACCTCTTTTCTCTAGCCTTTCTGCCTCGTTGTGTTGTCTCTCTGTGCCTTTGTTCTACCCTGTAACTTCTGAAAGTTTGGTGCCTCCTTAGGTTCCTGCCATGGCTGACAGCAGCATATTGACTTTAGGGACAGCTCAGAGTCTGTTGGTGGATTCTTCGGTCTATGATTCCAGGATTGCTGAAACCACCAAGGATCATGTATTTCTGGGCATGGGATGTGAAGATGGGGAAGGTCAGTGCATACTTTCTTTTTTTCTTCCTTGCCTAAATTTCTAAAACAGACTCTCAAAGTCAAAATGCAGCTAAGTGATCTTCAGTTTTTTCTCCAAATCAAGTCTTTGGTTACAACAAAGAAATCTTATAGTTAACATTATGCTGTAGAAAAACAAAGGCAAAAGTCACTAGTCCTAGAGACTTAATCTTGGATTTATTGATGCATTCACTTCACTCAGTTGTCACTTTAGTTTCAGCTAGTGTAACCATTTAAATACAACATCACTGAAAAAAAAAATTGTACTGTTTAGTTCCCATGGAGTAGGTAAGATTTTCCCATTACCTGGACTTTGATCCTGTCAAAGGTTGGGTTTGTTTTTTTGCTCTTTAGTTTAGCCTACTTGATGACAAATGCATGGGCAAAATATTAAAATTACTTTTAAGTACTCAAAATTAATTTACAAGAGTCACAGTTTAAAATAACTAATGTTAAATGAACACCTCCTTAGCTGTTGTGTTATGCCTCAGGTACTGTGTGAAACTATTACTGTGTACACAGGGTAGTTCTGTTAAGTCTTAAACCTCCTATCCTCCTGTCCTATCCTCACATCTTTGTTTCTGTTTTTGAAAATTTGAGGAAAGACAGTTTTCAAGAAATCAGAAAATCTTTCCTCTAAACTACTCACTAAAGCAACATCTGTTTTTGATTGTCTTTATAAGGCATCCGTGTGCCAAACCACACCCGACGGTTATGCGAAAATAAGCGAAACTTGGCCTGGCCCACTCAGTACATTTGCCAGGGAACCTCAACATTACCTCAGGAGAGCAAGTGCTTATGTTTTTTATTTATTTAGTTCATTTTATTTTTTGTGGCTCATCTGTTCACATTTTTCCGTTTATTACAATTTACTCACCACTGTCAGCCTTTCACATCAAAGCAAACACCGAAAGTGGCTCCATTACTTCTGGTGTTTGGCATATCACCCAGTTTCTTTAACTTGGCACAAACAGTATGCATACTAAGGACATGCTTGAGGCGTGACTATGATATGTCAGTGTGGGAGCCTAGAGATTTCTAGATACAGAAGCAGATCTGGGCACTAATGGAGAATATTTCTATTCCAATGTTTTGTTTAGTTTTTTTTCTTTCCAGTACCACATGAAATTTAGGAGAAACTGTAGTGACTTAAGTACCCCAGTCACAAGTATAAATGGCTTAGGCACCATATTGATGCTGGTGATTGCAGTGAGCAATCCACCAGCCAGTGTATTGGTTTTAATAGAACCGGTTGTTCTTCCTCCAAAGTTACCTACTGACTCCTGAATTTTCCTAAAGGGATTCATTTGACTGTTAAATATGACTTTTTTTGAAAAGCTGCAATAATGAAAATTTGCAAATAATAATAATTAATGATTTCCTGGTTGATTTTTATTTATTTATTTATTTTTATATGGCTGGAGGTTGGGTACAGGTAACTGTCAGGGTTTGGATCAGACACTGATAATAAGCTGCAACTGAGTTCATTTTAGGCTTGTTTGACTGTCACTCAAAATGAGAACGGAAGACAAAAACAACAACTTTTCTTCTCCCCAGAGACAACCTGCTGCCTTGATCAGTCGCTATCACATGGTTCCACATTCTGCTTTGTGTGTATGTGTGTGTGTGTTCAGTTGTTCTTGATTCTCCTTTCCATTTTCCTGTTGCTCACTCTGGCTCTATTCTGTTCATCTCTGTCAGATATGCTGCCAAAAGTGGAGACACGGGTTGTTCTGGTGGGAGAAGCAGGCAGAAATAGAGAGCTGGCCAAAGCACTGCAGGTACATCGTTTTCTCTCAACCTTACACTTCCACTGTGCATCTATTAAGGTTGCAGACCTCCATGATCTGAGCTGGTCAACATCACTGTTCTGTGTTTTTTAAAAAACAAACAAAAAAAAGTAGGTCACAGGCCAATACACTGAATCCACTAGACTTTTGTCAATGTGTGGTGTTAGCTGAAATGTTTGGCAGAATGGCCTTGTAATTTATCCAAATATCAGATTTCTTAGATTAGAAAGTCTTTTGGTACAGCACAAATTGGAACATGATGGATGGGTACTATAGATGTCTTGAAAATGCAAATAATTGTGGCACCAGACTATACGCGTCTGTTTAATTAGATTTATTCTATGTAATTATGCACAAATCAAGAAACATGGCATGTCATTAACTGGTTCATATACTGCATATTTACTGTGTAAATATACATTACAGTACTGTGTAACTGTAGCTGAGGGTGTTCTGACCACTTTTATCTATTAATGAATGACTTGTTGTCTTTTGTCTTCTATTTTAAAACTAGCGTAATATTGTTATTTGGGCTGAAACGATTTATTAAGCAGCCTTGTCCATAATGTTGTCATAATTTAATGTGGAACCAGGGTCTGTATACACACAGCGAAGAGCAAAGAAGCAAAGCTGTTAGGCGGTAACTCCGGTGGAGTTTTTCTAGTGCCCAAATGATAGCGCTTGTTTTTGTCATCCCTATTAATTACTGTGAAATCCTTCATTAAACCAACTGTTTAATAAACTCTAACATAAAGAAACGTGAACTTTGTAAATACTCCAATCCATTGCCGTTTGTAGTTAAATTAGGCAGCTTGCTGAAGGCTGATAGCAGCCATGCAATTTTACATGGCAGAAATACCTGTAAGCAGAACAAAAAGGGGAGAGTCTAAAGGTGGGTGAACTAGACCATATTTATTTCAAGGATTTTATAACATTTTTCAGATAACGATATAAATCACAAATATGTAACATTTTCTATAAATTATGTGAATCTCGGGCAGCTCGACTTGAGGGAAGTGTTTCCAGCTGCGCGTAGTGTACCTGGAGTCGAGTGTTTTAACCAATGCATGAAACGATACATTTTTAGACATAAGTTGTAACAGCCGCCGTTTTCTTTGTGAGTATTTATTACACGGCGTGCTGCGGGGAAAAGCCTGCTCTAACGTTTGAGTCTAAGGTTTATTTTTTAGCACCTGGCGGCTCTTTTTTTAATTCTCATCCGTAAATAATCTGCTCTTTCACGTGATTCAGTTTATTTTGAAAAGTCTCAACAGGATCTTGAGCTTTATTGTGAAAGGTTTATGTGGAACATAAACAAGCGGACACGCGATGGTGTTACCGTCGTTGTTGCTAACCACAACGCATAAAACAGGCGCTTGTCCGTCAGTAGTGTGGTTATATTGAATATAAGAGAAAGGGAAAAAGAAGAAATAAATATAGCCACTACAGTGACCATCAAAAGGATGAAAAAATATTGCCATAAACAGTTTATTTTGCGACACCACGAAACAAAGATAGCGTAAAATGAGTAGTTTCGTCATCCGATATATATCGTTATATTGAACGTCAGTTTAATGTCTTGTTTCCAGCAGAACAAAAGTTTGCATCAAAGCACAGGGCAAATGTCAAAATGCTGATATGCTCAGTTTTAGTCACTGCAACCATCACATTCTCCTTTAAAGGCTTATAGACACAAACTCACATCAACACTAGCCAAATCTATTAAGAAGACAGAGTAAAGGTAATTTAAAAAAAAAATAAAATCATTTTTTAACCCTTAGTTTAGGTTGCTTGTATGTCTTACTTTATTTTACTTTGACCTTGGACTGTCTTAGAGGTTATATATTTTTGCATTTAAGAAAATGTTTTCTTTAAAAACAAAATTCAATGTGGCTCATAAATGTAATTAAAGGGTTTACGTTTTTACCCCTCAGCTCTAAAAAGCTGATTTTGTACACAGGTAAACTTAAAAACCTTGCAAGTGTTAAAATGGAAACCAATAGCCAGTTAATTTAAAAAACAAAAAAAAACAAAACCCTGTGTATTTTCTCTTTTGAATGTTTATTATTGTTCACTAATTAGACAAAGGTATTTTTTTATCTAATTAATCAATGGAATAATCAATAGAATGCTCAATTGCTAAATGTCATATTAACTGACTGTTGCATTTGTTTAAAAAAAACAAAACATGATTCATTTTAGGACATTTTTGCAAGCAATGAATCATTAATGATAAAGAGGCAGTTGAGGAATAGGTTTTAATTGGTTTTAAACGCATTACCAGAGGCGTGTACTCTGATACAAGTTCATCATAGTTGGCTTTTCTTTGTGGATTCTGTGTATGTGACCTATGCAGAGTTGCTTGCGTGCTGTCCTCCATAAAACCAGCAGCGTGTTGCCTGATGACACTATGCAGTTGTAGAATAATTAGTTAAAAAGTCTGACTACAGGAAAGGGGGCAACAGTGGATTTCTTTACAAAGGATATATGTTTGGAGGGGCGTGGGGTGCTGGTGAAGTCAAAAACACGAAAAACATGGAGTGTAGGCGCAGTGGACGGTTTTATTGTTTTTAACACTCGGTTTCACTTTACTACTAAAAAAATGTTATTTACATGTTATGTCTTAAGCTTCTGCCATGGAAATCTGATCTTTGTTTAAATTGTAAGCTGTTTCCTCAGGAAAGAATCTTTGTTACACTTGGAGCACACTTTAAAAAAAAATTACTGAAAATGTATTGCTGCAAGTTGATTTCAAACGGTAACTGTGAACATAATCCAGTTAGACAAGGTTATGTTTTCATAAGTTGCCATGGTTATCTAGCTGGATACAAAGAGTTGCCTTCATGACCCTCAGTACTGTTTATTTAAGCTCCAAGTACATACCTGGCTTACCCATTCATTTTCATATACAACTCTGGGTGTGCACTCATTTAAAAAAAAAAAAAATAATAATTTGTGACCAGTTAGTCCATGTTGGATTTAAATATTCTGTATTTTTTTCATGTGTGCCGAACCAAGCAAAGCCTGGAGTCGTATTTAAATTCCTTTTAACAAAACAAAAATATGTTGAATAAACAAAACGCTGTACCCCGTAAAAATGTGAATATAGGAATATTTATGTGTCTAGGGCATGTTTGTGTCTGCTTCAGTAAGCTGCATAGTTGAAATAGCAGAGTCTTTGAGTAGCACCATATGAAGGTGATTTGGAGGCGTGGCTGTAGACTAAGTGCTGCTAGAATGACTTCCTTCCCTGGTCTCCTGAGCCCTGTCACTTTTGAAGGCTCCTTTCTTAAATCATCTATTTCTCCCTGCCAATCCTGTAGCGCAGCCACATCCAAAGACATCTGCCAACAGCTCCATCAGAGCACTCCCGATTGCCTGCCTGACCGCCCGCCGCCATTGCTCAGTCATCCCACAGAACAAGGCCCCCACCACCACAATGTCTTTACTGTTTCTGTCCTCCTCCTCTCTCCTCCTCCCATAGGGCTTTGAACTTTATATTAATTTTTAACTGAAGTTTCTTCTTCCACCCTGCCTACCCCCTCTGGAGCCTGATATTTGTTTGAAGCCACTGTCTTTGCAAGGACACAGACTCCGCCCTGTCTTTTCCTCACTTGCTCCTTGCTGCTTCCATAAACCCAGCCTTGCTCTCTGTTTTTCCTCATGTGGGGTTAATTTGTATGCATTTGTCTTCTGTCTCAACCTTCTGTCCTTCTCATGTTTTTTTTGTTTGTTTTTTTAAAAAAAAAATGCTCTTCATCTAAATGCCAGTGTTTGACATCCACTTCCTACTGGTTGATTTTTACAGGCCATCAGAGTAATGGAGGTACCTGTGGTAAAGATAAGAAAAGGCGAGGCGGGTGCCGAGGAGAAAATGATGATAAAATCTATAGTCAATATGGTATAGTACAGTGTCTGCGTATCTGTGTGACTGTCTGACACTTTGATGGGAACTTGGGGAAGTTCTGCATGAGTCTTAATTCACACTGGGTACTCATTCAATCATGGTGCATGTCTAACTCACTGATGTGGAATTGATTTGTGGGGTGAATATTTAAAAATAAGGGATGTAATTGTTGAGATCTGGATCAGCAACTGGAATAGAGATTTGCACTCAAATGCAAATTCCGGCTTCTTGGCTGAGAGATAATATGAAGTCATTTCAAATACTTTCAATTTACCTCAATGGCATTTGAAAATGGTTAATTTCCTGCTGTTAATGGAGACGCTAGAGTTGCAAATGGTGCTATGAAAATCTGTTTGCACACAGAAAAATAAGTGGACCATGCCCTGCAGGGGCATTAATAGTAATGTACCCAAGAAGCTGTGAGTTTTGAGTGTCATCTTCTGTTAAAGACATGGTTTGAAAAGTTCAGAAACATGCAAGTTTGCTTTCTTTCTCAATGAAATGAATAGATTGCAGCCTTGTGTCTTTATGGAGCTTGAGTCAGGACAGGCTGCAGTTACATTAACCTGGGAAGTCTTAAAGCTCAGGGAAACTCATTTTCTTTTCTCATCAACAGTACTCTACTCAACTTTCTGAAAGTGTGTAACTTGCACAAATTTTTTTTATTTATATATATATTAGGGGTGCAACGATACTCGTATCGATATTGAACCGTTCGGTACAGTGCTTTCGGTTCGGTATGCATATGTATGTTTTTAATTTATTTGATCAACTTTCCTTCTGACGATGCTGTCTGTGTTGAGCGCTCAGTGGATCTGCGCTCGACAGTGCAGCCTAGGCGGAGTAGTCGAACGCAGATTCACTGAGCGCAGGGTAAGCTCGGGAGACAGAAGTTAAGCTCTCCTTGCAACATGGCAAATTGAACCTCCCCCACCCTCATTCAGATCTGGCGTTTGGAACTATTTTGGTTTTCATGTGACTATGACTCTGAAGGTAAGCGCGTCATGGACTAAAGTAAAACAGTATGTCGGATGTGCCACGCAATTCTCAATTACATGGGTGGGAATTGGTGCGTTAGCGCAGTTAGCTCGTTAACGTGTTGGCCGTCCAGCCCCACGCACTGGGCGATCCGCGGTAGCTCGTTAACGGAGATTTGCCGTGTTGTGGCGTTAATGTCATTTCAGATTAACGCTGACAGCACTAGTGGGAACACAATGAATATGACTGCACATTTACACCGACATCATCCTAGTGCAAAGACAAGTGGAAGCCGACAAAAACAACAAGCACGCATGCTACAAACTTTACCCGAGTCATTTAGACAGCCGTTAGCACATGATTCTCCTCATGGGGACCTGATATGTTTAATATGCTGCTGAGAATATAGCCCAGAAGAAGCGTATAGTATAGCTTTTATTTTGGAAAGAGCCATTTCTCTGTAATAAACTCTCTTTTCCAAAGATGAGTGATTCCTCGATCAGATAGATTTTTTTTTTTATTTTTTTTTTTTATTACTTTGTTGTTTCAGCAACATTAAATTTAAAAACTGTACTTTTGAGTTAAAATATATATTTATAATAATATATTTATAATAAATGACAAATTAAAAAGGCATGAACATTTTTTTTGTAACGAAAAAAATATTGAACCGTGACACCAAAGTACCGAACCGTGAATTTTGTGTATCGTTGCGCCCCTAATGTGTATATAGATAGATATAGATAGATAGATAGTAACATTTGAAAGAAAGTATGACTTTAGTATTTTTTCATCAACTGGATTTTTTGTTTTTGTTTGTAACAGGCAGGTTTAACAATGGAGTAAATATGTATGAGTAAGCCAAACTGTTAACTTGCAATTACAATTCGCTCTCTCCTCCAATGTCGATGGGGCAAAAACAAGCAAACGAACCCCAAAAAACAAAAATGCACACATTTTTGGAGGTTTTGTACCTTTCGGCTTGCATTTGATGGTATGGCTAACTGATGTATGTCTCATATGTTTTATAGAGCCTCACCTCTACAAGATCATGTAAATGTGCCATTGAATGGGAGTTAATAGGACTTGTTGTGTTTATTGAGTCTAAGCAGAGCAATTTTTTTTTACTGCTGCTAAATAAATGGCAGGATCCAAGATTTCCCAGAAACACTTTGTATTCTCTGAGTGTTTCTATTGACCAGTTGATTATTTTAGAGTCATAGCAACCTGTTAACATATATCAGTAAGGGCTAGGGTTGGTGTTACAGTTGTGCCGATATTTCTTCTAAGATTAGCTGTAAAGACCAAAATTTCTTGTTATTGAAGAAACAAAAAGTTATTTTTTTCAGTTCATTGGATCAGCTAACTTGGACTAAAATTATTAAACCTCACTAACAGACCTAAACACTAACAAGCCTATATGTAGTGTTTTTGTGCTTCTGAATTACACATTAGACTTCACCAGTCTGCCACACACTGATCTGTAACTTCATTTTGTTGTTCTTCCTATTCAGGACATCAACACCCCATTCATAATGACAGATAGCGTCCAGGAGTTTGGGGATGGAGAGAACACTGAGTTTGAGACGGTGTTTGTTCTCACACAATTTGATTCTCCTGAATACAACTACCTCTACAAACATGAACACCGCATTGTTGGGCCTCCTGTTGTGCTGCACTGTGCTGCGAAGGATGAAGTGAGTCTTTGATTGACAACAGATTGATTTTATGCAAAGGTTGTGGGGCATAAAAAGTGTCCGTGTAGATTTGCTGACAATATTATGCAATCAAGAAACAGTTCACTTCATTTTCTCTAGAACAGCATCTCCTCAGCTTCATCTCAAACATGGCTTCTGGAATTCAGCAGATATTTACGTCTTCACTCTGAAATCCTCGCTCGGGGAAATATGTTGTCTGTTTGTTGTGTGGGGGGGATCCAACGGAGATGGCCCTGAAATGGAACTTGATTTTAAAAAAGCAGGATGCAGAAATTGCATTGTGACTCAGAACAGGATGATGAACAGGAGCAGCTCCTCCCTGCTGTGCCGTCTGTCTGACAGACTTCACACAGGATACTGTTGTCGAACGATATGCCCCGACTGTGGCTGCTATCAACAAGACGGAGTGCATTTGTCAGTTGAAGACAGCGCACACATGCATGACTACAATTCAGAGCATGAACGAGGTGTACCTGATGACAAGGGAAATGATGTTAAGCTATTGTGCAGTTACAACAGGCTGCTATCTGAAATTAGTAGTCACTTTTACTTAACCATTGCATCCTGCATGCTCTGGCACAATTTGTGTTGTAGATAATGTTTAAATATTGTTAAAGGAAAACTTAAAATTCGAATTTGTTATTAATTCCACTCTTTAATTTTACTGTTTCTTTATCATAGCCTCTCCAGTTTTCATGTCGACCTCTCTACTCCACCACCATGTTAAACCTGTCTCTGTGTTTCACTGGATTCAGGAACAAAGAGGAAATGGTGAGTTCATGAAGCATATACATGGCACTATCTGTTTGTAGTTCTGCTAATAAACAGACAAAAAAACAAAAACCTCTTTAAGTAGAAAAGTTAAATTTCTATCCAACACTTTACACGTGGTGTGTGAGGCCAAAGTAGTTTCTGCTATCATCTGATATGGTGTAAATTAGATTAAAGAACTTCTGGCCTTTCCCACCTTGATATTAATTTTTGTGTTGACCTTGTGGTTTTTCTTTGTTTTTGTAGAAAAACTTGGTGAATCTGGTTCATCACATGGGTGGGACCATACGGAAAGACTTTAGCACAAAGGTCACTCATCTTGTTGCATACTCCACTCATGGAGAGAAATACAGGGTTTGTATATACTTTTCCCCTCCTGTCTTTTTACTCTCTGTGCATCCAATATTAATTGCAGTGTGTTGAAGGGATGAGCATTAATTGACAAACTTCTTAACCTATTATATACTCTTTGTTGCTTTTTTTTTTTTTTTAAACCTGTTAAGAGACAGCACTTCCAAAGGGGCCTTTTTTCTGCAAAGGAACACTTCACTTTCTAGCTTTTGGAGACTTGATAGGTGAACCACCACCAAATACTATCAAGAGAGATAACTGGCAAATTTTTCCCTACTCTGAAACCAAAGAAAACACAGTGAATCATTTTCTTACAAAATAAAAAACAACAACTCAGAAATAAGGCATGAAGTTTCTGAATCGATCTTCAGTTTAGTTCTGCAGTGTCTAGCTTCAGTGGTTATTGTGAGTAACCGGAGGCGTCACATTCTGCTGGATGCCCCTGATTTGCATTAAGTAGCTTTAAACTGGGGAGCTGGCGACTCATTGCCCTGGTGCTCAAAATAAACGCATCAAGGCTTGCATGGAAATGATGGAGCCTACGCACATGTTCTTGACTCCATTAGAATACATGTTTAGAAGACAGGAACATTATTTACAGCTTTTGCAACGCTAACAAACTTATTATACTTTCTGCTAAATTGTCATTGTTTTGATGCATTAACTAGAAGGATTAAAAAAATAAAAATAGAATAATTATGTTACCCTAAACATGGGGAACAAAATCTCCCCTTTTTGCAACTGAAAACAGAGCTATATGTCAAACTGAAGTCAAGATACCAAAATAATTGAAGCATATATATATATATATATATATATATATATATATATATAATATATATATATATATATATATATATATTATATATATATATATATATATATATATATATATATATATATATATGAATATATATATATATATATATATGAGAGAGAGAGAGAGAGAGACTTGAGTGACTTATTTCTTCCTCCTGGCTTTTTCATTGTACACCACTTCTTTTGACTGTGAAACACTGCTCTCTGCTTGAATAAATAGAATGAGCAGGACTGATGTGATGCCCCCCTGCAACCTAGCTTGAATCCTAATGTCTGGGTCTGTCAGAAAGTTGTAATTTAATTGCAGTTAAACAGCAGTTTTCTCTGTTTTGTGCCCTCCGTGGGGATAAATAGAGATCGATGGGTGGGCGGATGAATAGGTTGACACTTGTCATTCTTGTCGTTTTTCCGCTCGGATGAACAGATGCTTGATGCTGTTCTGCTTTTAGTCATCCTCACAATTATTTTCTTATTAATCCATTTCTTCCTTTTCTCTTCCTTCACTGTTATTTCCTCTTTTCAGTTAATTTTTTCATTGTTTTGTGCTTTTCTTTCTCAAAGTACTGTGAAGGGTACATTTTGTTCTAGCAGAAAGGACAAAATGCAGTGAACTTGTTGTGAGAGGCAGTCAAGGCTGTTTTCCATTTGAAAGTGTGACGCTAACTTAAAGAAAAAAAACTGAATTGTTTCAACCCCAGACACTTTTTTTTATATTGTGCCTGAAGTAGAAAATGTTTGTACCTGTCGCGTTTTGTATTGTGGTTCTGAGTGACAGGGCGATCAGGAGTAATGAAAACAGATGGGAGAGGTAGTTATGCTGTTATCAGTGACAGCAGAGCTATTTGACGGTCTTTTAGTTGCAAAATTGTGCCTAGATGAATGTCATGTCCTTCTTTTTGTTATTTCTGTCATTTCTGCCTCATTTCTTATTCACCAATTACCCATTTGTGTTCTCCTCTGCTGTGTTTTGTCCTTAGCTGGCAGTGTGCATGGGGACACCCATCCTCACTCCATCATGGATTCTTAAGGCCTGGGAAAGAAGAGATGATGTGTAAGTTGAATGTTGAATACCATGTAAAGGACATGTGCTTCCAACACATGCAGTACTTTGGTAAAGCAGGTAACCAGCTAGTGCCAGCCCATCCTCTCTGAGCTTTCAACGATCAGCTGGCCTGCTAGCCAGGTTGCTATTGTGGTGATCGTCACCAATTCTAGTAGCTGCTTCCCCGAAGAGAATCTCGCCCTAGAGCTGGGACTCAAACCCTGCAGCTGGCTAAAATAATCATCATCCTCCTGCTCTGAAGATTCACTCTAATTGGCAGCTCACAATGCTTATCAAGTAAACAGGAGGAATTTAAGAACGTAACATGGTATTTAATTAAACTACAAAAGCCTGTGAACTAAAAAACATGTACAGTGGTCTCACGTTTCTCGTGGGAGTTCCGTTCTAAAAATGACCCGTGATAGGTGAGATCCGTGAAGTAGCCAGCTTTATTTTTTACGATCATTATAGATGTTTGAAGGCTATAAAACCCCTGACTACACACTTTATATACTTTTCTCAGACAGGCACGAACATTTTCACACTTTTCTCTCTTGTTTAAACAAAGTTAAAAACCTTGTGAATCAATGGTATGGAAGTAGCGGAAGCAAGAAGAATGAGTTAAGTAAAGTTTGACTTTTCTGACTGTTTTGTTTCGCTTAATGCGCCTTATAATCCGGTGTGCCTTATAGTCTGAAAAATATGGTAACTTCTACCTTCCTTTAGCATGTCCAGAAGTCCAACTTTTTGTGCGATGGTTAGCATCTTCTTTGGTTGGTTAGAAAACTTGCAAACATACAGCACATATAGCACTTCAGAGTCACACTGCTAGTGATCGAATCTTTTTTTATTTATTAACCTTTATTTAACCAGGAAAATCCCATTGAGATTAAAAACCTCTTTTTCAAGGGAGACCTGGCCAAGATCTTTATGTAAATTTGACAAGCTGAACACATTCTGTACTTTACAGGAGACACGGCAGGGATGAGATTGATTGACAATGGTCTACAGCCAATCGGGACGCAGAACACAATGTGCTGTTACAAAAAAAAATCATGCATAATTGCACAAAAATAAATCAGTGAAGCCGCGAAAGGTGAACCGCGTTATAGCAAGGGACCACTGTATATGTATCCCTCCCCCACCATAAAGAAAAATCTAAATGTGATTTTTTCCCATCCTGAAATGGTATAAAACCAGTGCAAGCTAACAAGCGTTGTTGTTTCTGAATTGTTTCAAGCATGTTCCACCACTGTCTTCATGATGGCAGTGCTGACAAGAGTTCAAATTGGCTGATAATAAGCCATGTCAGGGCATCAAGCGGATGTTTATTACTTTGCTATGTGCCCAGAGGGGATAATTGTAAAACTGTCTTGTTTACTTATTGCTATGCATGATTCATGTCACCTATTATATACTTTGCATATCAGTGTTAGTTAAGGAGCCATTAGATAATTATTTTATGTTTAATTGCATCGCACACTACTGTTACTTACTGCACATACTGTTCAGTGCAGTAAAGTCATTATTAATTTTATTTTTTGTGAAGAAATTTCCACGCAGGTGACGAGGAGTTTCGAACTGAGTTCAAAGTGCCCCCGTTTCAGGACTGCGTTCTCAGTTTTTTGGGGTTTTCTGAGGAAGAGAAGGCCAACATGGAAGAGAGGACTCTTAAACACGGTCAGTGCCACATTTTATGAAAGCTTCATACAAAGTACACTAAAGACATTTAAAATCAGTTTGAGCACCCTCTACTACAGGAAGGTTTTTTGTTTAAAGCCGTGTGGAGAACTTGTGCAGTTTTTCTACAGTTTCTTGTCTGTAATCCCAGACTGGCTCCATATGACTGAGTCTTTCTGACCCTGACTGTAATTTAGAGGTTATTGTCTTATGTTCCAGAATGAATCTGTGATAAGGATTTAGTGTTGTGTGCATTTTATTTATATAATCTCCTGGTTTTTCTTCATGAAAGGTGGCACGTACCTTGAGGTTGGAAATGAAAGATGTACGCACATGGTTGTGGAGGAAAACCTGGTAAAGGAGCTACCATTTTCTCCCTCCAAGAACCTATTTGTGGTCAAACAAGAGGTAGGCCTTTATATGTTTATTTTCTAGTCTTTGGCATTGATTTTTACTTAAATAGCCTTGGATAATTATTGACATTATCATGGAATGACACACATTATAGACTAGAAACTATCTACTGATGGGATCACACTAGCTTTGATGCTTTTTAACGTACTGATGTTCTGACCCAGAAGAAGCTATTACTCAAGGTAACAGGTAGTCATTACTCTATTATTACTACTTCTCATTGGTCAGCCTTATATGTCATTAAACTCTGCCTTCAATTTGCTCTAAACTGCACATTTAAGTTTTTTTTTCTGTTTGCTGCCATGTTTTGTTGTTATTCTTGAGATCAACTACTAAAGCTGCTTAACATCACCCAACAAGCTATTAAAAGTTCAGAACAGCATCTCATACACACAGTAATGTTTCTGTGCAACTTCAAGACAAAAACAAGTTTGATTGGTAGTGGCTAAGACTGTCCAGACATGGCTGAATAATTAGTGTCCACTAGGGTTATGTTGCAGGAGGACAGGGACACCAGAGCAAAATAATGAATGCTCTGAAACAGAGTAATTATCTGATCAGGATTCTGTTAAGGTTAAATCTCAGTCAATACTGTCTCTGCTTCCCCCCTTTTCCTTCCGATGCTGTCAGAGAGGGGGTGAAAAATAGAGTTCCTCTTCCAGTGGATGAAAAGGTTAAATCACCTACATAACTTGGTTTGCCTGTATTGTTAACTACACAGTCAATATAGTGGTATCATTTTCTTTACTTTGTCAGTTTTATTGGTTTCAAAGGAAAGGGTACGATATTAAGTATTAATCTTTTTCTGTCTTTGTCCTAACTCGGGTCAATAAAAACTGCTGTTTCTTCTCGCAGTGGTTCTGGGGAAGTATTCAGATGGATGCTCGAGCTGGAGAATCCATGTACCTCTATGAGAAGGTGAGTACATGATTATTAAATTATTATTTGCGTATCTATAAAAGCAAAAATTATGTACACAATATTTATGTAAGACAACAAACGGTAAATGGAGGATTTTTTTTTTCTAGATGTGCAAGTACAGCATACAGCCAGTATTTAGAAACAGTTCTCCTATTTGTTTTTTAATTCTAAGCTCTTTTATTTGTTTACATTGTCCCTGTTCCTGTTTAAATACTTAATTTTTGTTAGTTTGATGGTTTTAGCTTGCTTGTGTGGTGTTCATATTTTTGTTACTCAGCCAGTGTTCATGGGTCTGGTGGACCCGCTAGAGTTTTGGCTTTTGAAATTAACACTATCAAACAATTTTATGTTAAATTACTCAACAGATGTTTAGTTCATCCCAATTACAAACCATATGAACAGCAAACATGGTTAATTTTTTCCCTTTACCTTTGTTAGATCATATTTATGAATTAATGTGCTTCTCGTTTTTTTTTTTTTTTTATAAAATGTTATAAAAATAAATCAGTTATAATCAAGTGGAGTGAGTGGAAAGACGCAACACATTTACACGTGAAGCAATATGTTTCACAACTAAATGGGATCAGCTGCTCATCAATGGTGACATTAGGCCCAGGGTTGTAAAACAGGGGGAGGTGGTGCACACACTTATCCCACACTGTCCAAGCAGCTAGCTTGTCTCTCTGCCGTCGAGCTGGTCTGTCGTCTCGGTTATCAAAACGGATAATCCTGGAAATTTTGTGGAAGTTTTCCAGAGACATTGATGCATGGAAAGGTTCGTGCCGGTTTCTGCATCCCACAGGGATTCTGTCGATTCCCCTTTGGACCTGAAAACTCCTGCAAGGATAAGAACCCCAAAGTAGGCCTTTGGGGTTCTTAGATGAATTTGGTCCATCTCCTTCCTTCTTTCCAAAAACACACCTTCCTTCTAGATTACTGCAATCCAGAATAATTTTCTGGATGGAATCTGGGATGAAAAGCTCAAATGAAGACTTGATGTCCTGCACATGAGTAACTGTCAGCCGTGTTGGCCCTGCCTTATCACAGTAACAGCTCTGCATTTCTTGGGCAAGAAGACCATCCAATTTCACCAGTTACTGACATCCATATTCCTTCACTTGCTGTCTGGTGGGCTTGTTCTGGTCCTGGAGCTGGCTGCAGATGGGGTACTCGTCTTCGTTTTGTTACTAAACGGTGCTCAACCTCATCCTCTTCTTCAAAGTCACTGTCAGACTCTGAATTTTCAGAAATGTGAAATATTCTGAAACCTCTTTGTCAACATCATCATCCAAAGCCCCTCTCTCTTCCAAAATCAATTGGATGGCCCTCGCAGCAGATAATCTTTTGCCATCTTGATCAGTTGTGATAAAGAACCACACTGGCAAAGTCTTATTTATAGTATTATGCCCCTAATTAGCAGGTGGGACAGGGTATGAGAAAATAAAATTTGGATCTCTCAAGAAAGAGGGTAAAATGTGCGGGAATGTCAGAGCAGACAACAATGTTGCAACTTTGTGCGAGAGCAGGAGGGGAAGAAAACACTATCAGCAGCACCAGAAAGGAGGAAGACAGAGTGTGGGAACACAGGACCTTCACTTTCAACACTTTTATTAGACCTGGGTCCAGTGGACCCGAACACCTTGTATGTAATGTAAATGCGTGGGGGGAGGTACAGTATGAGGTCATTGAAAATTAGTTCGGATTTATGTTCTTCACAGAAAATAAGCCAAAGCCAATGAATTTCAGTTTGAAAAATAATTAATTGTTTAATTTTTCTTTTGAGAAAAACTGAAAACGGGTCTCACAGACCCGAACACCATACAAGGGTTAAGTCTTGCCATATTAATTCTTACCCCTTTCACTTCATTATGGAGTTTCCTATCACTCTCAAGCTTTATGCTGGATCCAGATTACACAGTATTATCACAAAACTAGCTGAAGCTGTAAAACAAACAAACAAATAATTATTTGAACATTTAAAAACCATGGCTGCCCTACATGACAATCAGTGCTTCATCTTGGACTTCCTCACAATATCGAGGAAGCGACTGTTGTGTCAAAAAACTGTGACAACTTCCAGAAAGTGTCCATGACGAACTGTAAAATCTCAGTGTACCTTTCCACATGCAACATAGAAATGAGGGATAAGATTAAGTGTAGATGATCCATACTGGCCTTTTTGTACTTCTCATTCATTTCATAATTTGCAAGAAATGTTCATGACCTTTTCATTCTTTAGTTTTTACATAGGTTGCTTTGTGTTTACCATGAGCTTTCTTTTTCCTCTCTGCACTTCAGAATGACAGCCCAGCTATGAAGAAAGCAGTGTCCCTCCTTTCCCTCACCACCCCAAACAGTAACCGTAAGCGTCGACGTCTGAAGGACACATTGGCTCAGCTCACCAAAGAAACAGAGATCTCTCCCTTCCCTCCGCGCAAAAGACCGTCAGCAGAGCACTCGTTGTCTATTGGTTCACTGCTGGACATCTCTAATACTCCAGAGACATGCAAGGCTTTGGCAGGTATTGATGGGAGAATGGATGACAGTCTCTTTTATGCAACTCTTAAGCAATTATGTCATATATACATTTTGCTAAATATTAATGGATCCCTGCAGGCAGCGTTTGTTTTTCCCACCGTAGTTGTGCTTTAGTTGAGTTTTTCTTTCTTCAGATGAAAACTGTACACAACTCTTCTTATTTCCAGAAGACAGAGTAGGAGAAAGTTTTGTGGCCAAGACTAGGATAGGAAGAAGGAAAACCAGGGAAAGGAGTAGGACAGACAGGGAGGAGAGGAGAAAAAGGTCCCATCTGACTACAAATGCTTGTCAACAACCAGAAGAAGAGCAGCACCAGGGAACTTATGGAGGTTTGGATTTTGAGCAGGACAGTGGGGATAGTGGTTGGCATTAATTAAGAGCTATTACAAAGTTATTGTTTGATGGATGACAAACTGCTTTTACGGTAATGTAGTTGGTTTTTATCTGTAACACAACCAAATTGTTTCTGATTTTTTTAGTTATATTCTCAATCACTCCCAGGCCAGCTGAGTGTAAAGGAGTACAAATGTGAAGTAGTCACCAGTTTGTCACCCTCAAACAAGCCAAGGTTTAATTTCTGGATAGCTCAGTGGATAGTGTAACTGTGCATGGCTTAACTATAAAAACCCATAATGAAGAGATTACAAGTATCATTGTATACAAAATGAAAATCTTAAGCACTGCAACTGACTAGTCACCAAATATTAGAAAATACTAGCCTTACTTCCACTCAATGCAGTACCTTCATCTAAAGAGCATAGTTTAATACTTTAATTTGGCTTAAAGTGTTTGGGGGGATAAGATAAAAGCAGAACATGTAACAGATGTCAGATGGGGGGGGGAAAAGCCATTGGCAGACATAAACATAACCGCTTAGCTCTGGGACGTTCAGCTTCTGATATCTCAGTTTTAGGAAAAATGCCAAGAAATTTCTCAAGGAGGTCGTCTTCACAGTCAGCACAGAGCAATGTAAGACACGTTTTGTGTGAACGTCTGACTCTCGATTTGGCAAACGGCATGTTCTCTAACGTTGAGAGCACTGGCTTGTAAAGACCAATGAGGTCAGCCAGGCCATGTCAAAGGAAATAATTCTTTAAAGTCAAATAAATATATTTATTAACTCTGTGTACCAACATGAATAAACCAAAACCTATTAAAAACCTATAAACTGTGTTTTTGCATTTACATACTTTTCATTCCATTACATACATTGTGCCATTAACCCGCACAACAGAATTGCAGTACATAAAAAATATTTATAATAATAATTTTGTTTTCAGTCAGTTATAGTTGTTAACAAGCTATGATAGTGAATGGACACCTGGCACTCTCTGCCTGTACTTCAGTGCACCATTATAACCTTATGTCTTCCTGCCTGGCTTCTTTGTTCCTCCAGAGAGTTCGAAGCCTTCTAAGAGTTCAACTCCGGTTCTCTCCAAGCAGTCAGCCAGGTGGCAGGTCTCCAAGGAGCTCTACCAAACTGAAAGCAACTATGTAGACATTTTAAGCACAATCCTACAGGTAAGTGTGTGTCTGTGTTCACATGGTGTGCACAGTTCTAATATTTCCCCCTCAGGTCAACCTGTGTGTTGTCCCTGGCGACAGTTTGAGGCTAAACTATAATCATTAAAGGTTTGTATGTGTGTATTTGCAAGCTGCAACTTGGCCTGTCTTATCAGTTGGTCCCAGCAGAGAGTCAGACAGCTGACCAGTGAGGGAGAAAATGACCTGCCTGACCATTTCTCTCTCTGTCTCCGCTTGAGAATCTTTTACTCTTTTTTTGCTTCTTTTCTTTATCTTCTTTGGATTTCCTCCATTTTGATGTTGCTTACCTTCAGGTTGCTTCTGTGGCTCCTCCACTGTGATTTTTATTTTATTTTTTATCTTTATCAAAGAAAAACAGCAGAAACTGACTCCATTATCCAGAGATTCAGAATTTCATGCATGCCTAAAAAAGATGTAGTGCTGTTTATTACGGCATGTTTCATTGTTGGGTCATGTTTCTTTTTCTTTAGTATTTATAGATAATTGGATTTCATTTTTCAACCTGAAACAACAATGGCACAGTTGATTGGAGATGGGAAAAACAGATAAAGATAAAATGTATTATACCTTTTCTGTTTTTTCTCACAAGTGATGTTCACATTTACATGAATTAACTTGGACACAACATGATGGCATAAAAGCTTGAAAATACTAAAGCTTCAAGCCATTTTCTTCATGTATGATTAGAAGACAATTGAAAAATAATATCCAGAAAATATCCCCATCTCTGGGTACGTTGCTCTGGATTGTCATTTCATCTAAAATGTTGGTCTTTGATCTTTTGACATGTGAATCATTCTTGGTTCTTCATGGTGTATAATAAAGTATTTACTTTAATCTTTAGCTTTTCAAGCATCCATTGGAAAAAGAGGGACAGGTGGGTGGACCTATCCTGGCTCAAGAGGAGATTAAGACAATATTTGGCAGCATCCCAGACATCTATGAAGTTCATACCAGAATAAAGGTAATGTATCCCCAAACGTTTGTCTTATGCAAAAATCGGAGAAAAGTTTTGTTGTTAACCTTCTGGTCTGTTGATCAGAATGATCTTGAGGAGCTCCTCACAGACTGGTCAGAAAACAGAAGTGTTGGAAACATCATTCTGAAATACGTGAGTTTCTACGTGTTTATACATGATGTATACATGCTATAAAAGTTCACACATGCTTGGTGGTCAAGGCTGGTCAAAGTCAGAGAGAAATAATATCGGCGTCATGGTGTGTCAAATTACTTAATGAGACTAGTATTTTGGATTCTCACGTAAACTTTATTCTTCTGTGTGACTCTTCCTTTTTTCCCCTTCCTTATAGTCTAAAGAGCTGGTGAAGGCCTACCCCCCCTTTGTCAACTTCTTTGAAATGAGCAAAGAGACCATTGTTCAGTGTGAGAAACAAAAACCACGGTTTCATGCATTCCTCAAGGTATGACCTTTTATGTTTGTGTGTTTTTTGCCTGTCTAGTGGATTTCATGACATGAGCAAAAAAAAAATCTGATACATGAAAAAACCCCAACTTGATTAAAATGTGACAGATGTTTGTATCCACAGCCTTTTGACTGTTTACCACTGCAAATACTAAATCTTTCAGAGGAAGTCACATTATGTCCCCTTGCACCTGTCCATCTATGACTGACACTGACTCTTCAATTTTTATCAAAAGTACGATCCTTCAACTTGAGTTTTAATTTTGAGAATTTGGCAGGCAACTCCCTCCCTGCAACTTGCTGAATCTGGTGAGTGGGTCAGGTGGTGAGGTGAAGATTGTGTTGGTATGCATAAAAGACTTTTGCTTTCATTGTGCACTCAACATGGCGCACACCTTCAGTTTAGATTATTTCCTCTGAATGTTCACTGTCACATCCCAGTAGATTTTGCACATTATAGTAGAATCTCTTGTTGACAGTCTGACCCAAGGGGACAAGTTCACAGTGCACAACGAATGCTGAGAGGGGGGAAAAAAAAGAGATAATGTGACCATACTCCCAGTGTCGCTCTTCACTTAATGTGCTACCCTCAGGCTTATAAACTGGACTCTTCAACTGAAAATTACAGTGGTTGTAGCGGGAGACCAGACTCTCATCACCAGCAATATTTCATCTCATGAATTCAAAACAGAAGCTGATGTTGGCTGTCTGCGTTGCAGTTTCACTGCAGACCTCGAACTTGCGCAAACAGTGCAAGTGGTAAGAACTGAGCTTCCAGGGAACAACATAACAAAAGCTGGCACACTGGATGCTGTCTGAACATGATGACAAGATGACCTTAAACACCCTAATTTTACTGGCCTGTTTCCAGAATTTTTTAATCACGCCTCATAAGTCTAAAGACTTTTCGCTGGCTTAGAAAATCAGATTCTCAGAAGAAGGCTCACAGATTAATAAAACATAAACACCACCTCAGATTACCTAACTATTAAATTGTTTAGTACTTGCATAGCATTTTTCTACTCAAGTACTCAAAATGCTTTTATTACAAGCTTCAGTCACCCATTCACATACACATTGATACAAACACTTTTTATGTGCCTAAGCTCTTTTAACTTAACACATATACACTCCAATGGCTGCATCAGGGGCAGCTTGGGGTTCAGTCTCATGCCCAGAGATACTCCAACAAGCTTGACTACAGACAAGAGGAGCTGGGGATTGAACCACCAACCTTCTGAATGATCAACCTGCTTCTTGAGCCAGGCCTAAACTGGCTTTCTCCAGTGCATGTAAACATATAAGCAACAGATAAAACAGACATAGCATTTATTACATGTGTTGTGATGTGGACATGTCCTTGTTTTTTATGTTTTGGTTATTTATTTATTTATTCTTTTATTTTATTAACTTTTTAAGAATAAATTTTCCAGTTATCACGTAAATTAGGATTTAAATAACCAGCAGAAGTCTAAATCAAGCTTCAATTTTATTTGCTTCCATTATACAGATTAACCAGGCCAAGCCAGAATGTGGCAGGCAGACACTGGTGGAGCTGCTCATAAGACCAGTACAGAGACTGCCTAGCGTGGCCCTTCTTCTTAATGGTAACGCATAAATATATAACCCTTTGTCAAAATAGTTTAGATGAACTTTTTGCAGCAACTCTCCTTGTCTTTTTTTTTTTTTTTTTTTTTTTTAAATCTTTCCCCGTCTACATCTGCCACCATTTTTCTTTATGTCCTGTTGATTCCCTTTTGTAACTTCGCTTCCTCTGTTCTTTTCTGTTCATATTTCTGTGATTTTCATCTCTTCTCTCCCGTCTACTTCTTACGAAACTTTTTCCATTCTTTTCTCTATTCCAGACATAAAGAAACATACATCGGATGACAACCCAGACAAGATAACACTGGAGAAAGCAATTGAGTCTCTGAAAGAAGTCATGACGTGAGTTGGCGTGACCTTAACCTTGCTTTTGTGACAATTTCTCGGCTAGCGTTGTTTGATCATTTATACATTTTAACACTTTCTTGTGAATTCTCTTTTATCATAATGAGTCTTGACCATCATGCATATTCAAATTGTAGTAATTGACCATTGTTCAGTAAAGATTCGGCAATAATTGAAGCTGTTCAAATCTTGACACATCTGAAGAACTGCTGCAGATATTCATGGAGCCATAGTCTGAAAAAACAGCTACCTTTTAATACAGGTGTATGCTGGTAAAGCATGAAATGTGCAATAGTAGAGAATAATAAAACCGTTTGTATAGTCGTGGTTATGCTACTTAAATTAATTAGACTTGGCAGTTTAACTTTAAGGTCACACCTCTGGACTTTGATCATCTCCAGCCGGAGACGCATTCTATCCAACAGTGCAAACATCTGTGATAACCAGTCTCATTTTACATTCTCATGTGGCTTTAACTGGGTCAGATGTTCTAAACAGTTGGCTATAATAATATCCCCTGAAATTAGCAGAAGTAGTCTGCAAGGTGGAATTCAGTGGAGTGCCACCTTGTGAACTTTTCTTAATGCTCAAAACAGCATTTTAACCAACAGCCAACTGGGTTTTTAATTTTCTGTTATGTACTTGTCCAAGAGAAATGTATTCTCTAACCATTTCGAAGTACTTCACCTCCTCATTACATTCCTAAATGTCCAGCGAACGCACAATCGATCCAATACCGGCTTCCAGTGACTGTATTTGTCAGTACTCCAATATCGGCATACACTGATGCATGGATTCATAAAAGGAAAAATATGCAGCACTAACATGATTTAATACCATTTAAAGGGACCTTCAAGACGGAGGAATGATTTCATATATTGTTGACCTTTTTTTCCCCTAACTGGCTTAACTTTTTGTTGCAGTTGTTAGCAAATTGCCGTGTTCTGTATTTGTGGTTATGATTGACTTTTATCAATAATTAAAACGGAAATAAATACTATCCTTGTAAAACTAAGACAGTTGATAAATTATGAAGCAATTTTGCTTTTTTCCAGTGGCCCACTGAATGATTTTGATTTTTTTCTTTTCTTCTTAAGCATTAATCACATTTTTTTTGATGTCTCTCTTTTTAGCCACATTAATGAGGACAAAAGGAAAACTGAAGGCCAGAAGCAAATCTTTGATGTTGTTTATGAAGTTGATGGTTGTCCTGTAAGTTTGAAGATTGCTGCTGTTTACCTGTGTGTGATTGCTACACTCATTTTAGTGCAGATTGTGTACTAATTCATTTCTATGCAAAAATATTCTGTGTCAGGCCTGTGAGTGGCTGCCTGTCTACGGCTACTACCATCTAAACTATGAGCTAGTTGAGCTGTTGGACATGCCTGCCTCCCTCTTTAACATGCACTCACCATTTTTCTCTTCACCTTCTTGCTACTTATCGTGCTTTCTCTTTCCAGGCCAACCTGCTGTCCTCCCATCGTAGCCTCGTTTACCGAGTAGAAACCATTGCTCTGGGAGATCAGCCATGTGACCGTGGTGAAAATGTCACATTGTTCCTCTTCAATGACTGTCTTGAGGTGAAAATGCATCAACACACGATTAAAGTTTTGGTCATTCAAAGACCCAGATTCACACTTATTAACCCCTGAACCCACTGTCAGTGTAAAGGTTACCTTTATCACACCAGATCTGAAACCTAGGCTGTATTTAAATCTACCTTTGGGCTTAATTAAAAATGTATAAACATTTCTTCATATTTATATGTTGTTAGGTAAAGCTCTTTCGCAGCTAAATTAATAATTTCAGTTCAGGTTTATTTATATAGCACCAAATCATAATAACAGTTGCTTCAAGGCACTTTGCATTGTAAGGTAAAGATCCTACAATAGTACAAAGACAACTGACAAAACCCCTATGAGCAAGTGCTTCGGCGACACTGGGAAGGAAAATATAGGAATATATTGCCACCTGTTGCTTTGGCATGTTCCTAGCAGCGTTTTGCTTCATTTTTGCATTTACGTGTGGACGGGATTATTTTTTTTTAAATGAAAACGGAAAATCTCAGTTTTCAAAAATACCCGTGGACATAGCCTCAGATGCAGACATTACCATTTCTTTTGTCTGTTTTTTTGGACTTATATGAATCTACTTGAGACAATAGGGTGACAGTGGAGTTTGAAATTGATACCGTAGGTGTTTCTACTAGGGGCAGCACTGGCAGCAGTCGGTATTTTTAATTGGGTAATTACTCCCTGTTAAAACACTTATTGTAAGTGTTGGTCTGCTATTGTGATTAAGAATAAGCAAATGATACATTAATAGTAATCGGTGCAGAAGTTATGGTCTTTCAGCTGTAATGCGTGGTTTAAAGTTACATAGTCATAGTATGATGCAGATTCTTTGTCACACAGGGGGCCGGCTAGATATACTTTTGCTGTTAGTGGTGTTTTCCATCTGTGACTTTAGTCTTGTCATATTCTTTTCAGAATTCTCCTAAAATATCCCTTGCACCCAAGATTGCTTATCTGGCCTTTTATATGTTGAGCTGTTATGTTTCCCAACAAAAATGATAAAGATAAAAAGAAGCTAAAGGCTTCAGAGGTTTTGGGAGAGTCTCTCAGCGTGTCTCAGAATATGCTGTGCAAGTCTCTTGCCAAATCAGGAATGTGCAGTCTATCACTGCTGACACAAAGTGTGTGTGTTAATTAGCAGTGGGTCAGCATGGGAACATGGCAGGCAATCATGAAAGAGACGAGGTTAGCGGCTGCGCTGATTCAGAACTGTCAGTGACGCCTCCTAATGAGCCTGTCTGTGTGTGTTCAGCAGCTACACTGTGTGTGTTTTAATATATAGAATGGCCATTGTCATGGGTGGCCTCACTACTCTCTATCATCAGCAGCCATTGATTAACTCTTGACCTGGAATGTTGCGTTGTATTTTATCCTCTCCCACATCTCCCTCCTTTCTTCTCTGCCTCTTCTATCTTCCTTCTCATCTCCTAATTAACGTGACATTAATGAGTTGCATCGTTTACCTCTATGAAGGCATCATTGATTTATTGCCAAGCAATCGATAGCAACTTCACCCACATACTGCAAAATGCACCCACACTCAAGGGATGTTACTTTGAAGTTGACTTTCACACTTACCTGCAAAGTTGGTGTCTGCATCTCTACAGATTGCAAGGAAGCGACACAAGGTGATCAATACGTTCAAGAGTCCGCTGGGACAGACGAGACCACCGCCCCCCCTGAAACACATAGCATTAATGCCGCTGTCTCAGATTCGACGAGTGCTGGACTTGCAAGACACAGAAGGTAAAATTGGCAAAATACACAGTTGCATCTTAACATTTCATCTGCAAGTCATCTCAGTGTCCATATGATCAGTCGTAAGTGGAGCAGAAGATTAAATAATTTCATTTCTAAGTTGTATTTTTGAAAAATCCTGTATCGTGCTTGATAAAATTTTAAAGAAACTGTCAGCTTCCAACTAACTGAAAATGTTAGTTATCTTTAATTAATTAATGTAATTTGTTGTTTTTCCCTCAAACAGTCCATCTGAATAATCACAGCTTCTGTTTGTTGTTATAATCAATTTCCTTCATTTGCTTTTAAGAGAGTACTTTGTTTACTTGCACTGCAGCTAAAGAAGGACACCCTGGCTGTAGAAGTACAGAGCTAACTAACTTTAGAAGATATCCACTCAGTCTGTCTGACTTGGACGCTGAAGCCTCATTAGATGAACTTTTGAATATTCTTTTGCACAAGATGACTCTGGCTTCTGTAACCCATCACCCCCAGCAGTCTTAAGTGTTACCATCATTTCTTCCTGCTCATCTCTTTTCAACAGTTTCTTCTCCCATCTCCTCTTCCCACACACTCCCTTGATCTTCCTTTTTTCTTTCTTATATCTTTCTCTTCTCACCGCCTGATTTCTTTTTTTCTTTTTTTAAACCCTCTTACTTTTGTCACTGTTAATTATCTTCCCTCTTGCACCGTCACTGTCTGTCCTGGTCTCACTCTTTCAATTCCTCCCTTCAGAGTGTGTGAATGCATTCGCCTTGGTGGTTCGCCCTCCGACTGAACAGGAGAACTTGTTGTTCAGCTTCCAACTGGCGGGAGAGGAAACGGTTAAAAGCGCCTGGCTGCGAACACTTTGCCGCCATGTAGCCAACACCATCTGCAGGGCTGATGCGGTGAGAAGCAGCACACTCGTACATAAAGAGAAAGAAAGCAATGGAGGACATTTTTTGTTCGAATGTATTTGTTTCATACATTTGTATATGAGAAGACAGGGCATGTTTATGACATGCGGTTAGATGTGGGAATGCATATCGTAATTATTGTTCATGGAAACAAAAATGAGAAATTACATAAAAGATTAAGTTATTTAGTGCTTGTGGAAAATGGTAGAAATCAGACTTCTCTGGTGTTGATTAAGCTCATGCATTGTTGAGCTCACTGGAAGATGTTAATTTGAGATGCTGCAGTTTGCAGAGTACTCAGCAGGGGGCGATGTTGGCATCTGTTCTGCCTAAACGGCACACAGCTGCATTCCTAATGCTTTTTTCACTGGGTCAGAGCTGCAATGTGAATACCAATGAGAGGACTTCAGTTTGTTAAAAAGCCCACTGCAGGGTAAGGGAGAGAAGGAAATAAAGACTGTGTTAATCCTCCTCCACATACCAGCCTACTAGTTCGACAACAGAGTAAAATGTATCCGTCTGTACTGATTACTTGAATTGCACTCTTCAGGTCATGATTTACTATACTGAGTTTGGATCTTTTTTTATTTATTTATTTATTTTTGTATTTTGTCATCTTGTCTTGCAAACAGGAAGACCTTATTCAGTGTACAGACCCAGACTCACTGCAGGTCAGCACCAAGGATATGGACAGCACCTTGAGCAAAGCCTCCAGGGCCATCAAGAAAACCTCTAAAAAGGTAAAGGTCGAAGAAGTGGCTTTTAATAAGGAACCCTTCCAATATTGACCCCTAAATATTAATGATTTTAGTGGTATTGTAAAGCGCTTTGGGTGCCTTGAAAAGCGCTATATAAATCCAATCCATTATCATTATTATTATTATTATTATCATTAATATTTGGTGGAAGGCTCCAAAAATTGACTCAGCGGGAGGAAAGAGATGGGCAACATGAGTATAAAACCTTGCATTCTTAGCAATTTTTATTTATTTATTTACTTTTTTGGATGTTCTAAAGAGTAAAGTAGGTGTGATGGAAATAGAAAGGGCTAAGTAAAAGACAGCAGCACGATGCAAAAACCGTGCAACTCGTTTCCCTCTCTGATGTCACACCTGCTTTTGTGGAAGATTTTCTTCTGCTGATGCCCTGCATGTTTGAACCTATAGCTCAGGGAGTTTTCTCTAGCTGCAAAGCTTCAGAAGCAGGTTGATCAGAAAGTGCCAGAAATGGTCCAATAAAAATCAAAAAACATACCTACTTCATCTCAATCACCTGTACTGTTGTTAATATGGCTGGTAGTAACCTGGAAGTCCCTTACACGTCTCCTTGCACTTCTGTAGTGTGTGCTGGATTTATTCCAGGGTGTCAAAATGGTCATTTTTCAACATGATTTTTATTTTTCAGAAATGGATGAAAAGCTTGTTTTGGCCAAAATAAAAAAGTTAGTTTGAAAAAGAAGCTTACGTCTGCAGTCATGTTTGATTGAACTGCAAAGTAATAGCATTGTGGATACTGGAAGGCCTTCTAGAGTTATCTGAAAACAGTTGGTGTGCTGGGATCTGTCTGAACGTGTCTGAGTAGATGATCTTGAATGGGAGGTTGTCAGTTATTGTTTATCTGTTAGTCCAGGTTCTATATACTAATTTATGTTAGTTTTGACACAGTATATGATAATGATTTAACAAATTGAACAAAATGTAAATCAAAGAACACCAAATTACCAGATGTTGACTAAATGCCTGCTCATTAGATGAGCAATGGTTTTTGTTGTGGGCACTTCTTGTCATAAGTTTTTTTGTAATTATTGAGGCCTTTGCCCTTTTTAAAAAAATGAAATGTGATCATTTAACAGACTGTACTTGATAATGACAGCTTTTACATATTTGTACCCATGCTCTGCCTGGTACAGATGCTTCAATGCCAGAAAAACTGCACACAGGTTTTTTTCACTGCGTTTGGAAGAAATAAATCCTCTAGTAATGCAGGTGGCTTCAGCAGTGATGGACACTAAGAGCAAATGCAAAATGAGCTACAGCTACAGATACTCAAAATGAAGTGGCTGAAAATAGAACCTGTTGAATGCAAAAATATCATGCGGCGCCTATGACAAAGATGAAGAGCAGGTGTTCTAGAAGTGTTAGTTTTCATGGTGCAACAAGTGGACAAAAGTGGAGCTTTGTTTTTTTTTCTTTTACCATTACAAATATGACAGAGACCTGCCAACAAAACTGAAATTATTGACGTTTCCTGTGTGTGTGTGTGTGTGTGTGTGTGTGTGTGTGTGTACTAGGTGACAAGAGCGTTTTCTTTCACCAAGACCCCAAAGCGTGTGATCCAGAGGGCTTTCATGGCCAACAGTCCTTCAGATGAGAAAAGCCAGAGGCTGAGCTGTGAAAACCGCATCGGCAGCAGCACCACGTTGGCTGTAAGTTCATTTATCTATATGGCGTTATTAAGTCTGGTACTAGCTAACACAAGGTGTATTAATGATGTAGCCAAACTGAGATCATCTAATTTCTTGTATTATAATACTCACATTCACCGTCTGTATAACTCAGTTACTACATTTTGGTGTGTGTACGTGTGTGCTAAATGATGAAAGTGATGGATACTAAGAGGTTGTCCGTCTCTAACAATCTATCTGTCCACCTGTTCCTTATTGCTTTTCTGTTTTCTCCATCTCTCTCCCTTTGCTGAGAATCAGGTAATTGATCTCTCCATCAGACCCATCCAATTGGTGTCAGTTACTTTCATCTAACTTGATTAGAAAGCAGAAAAAGGGCTCGCGGTCTTAAATGTGCTGCGACTTTCTTCTCTTTGGCAAAGAAAAATAGTCCTATAATCTTCTTTCTTGTTTTCCTTTTTGTGCGCGTTTCAGTGGTTAATTTAATCGTAATGTATTCTAAAACCCTTGAGTGTGTAGTATTGGTACAACATTATCACATTTTTACCTTTTTGATAAGTATCTCGGGTAACATGCCTCTTTTTAATGGTATATGCATGTAAATGCAGACTGCAGAGTAATCCATGGGTAATTGCTCAAAGCTTATCGAGTCAGATTAATGGCAGTATGCAGAGTTCCTCTTGTAAACAGCAAGTGAAAAAGATTTTAGAAACTAGACAAAATATAACTTTTGCTGCTGGCTTATGAGGACTAGAGATTTATGTCATTATTTTATTTATTTATTTATTTATTTATTTATTACTATTTTTTAATCAGATGGAGTTTCTTTCCTGTAACCCCATAAATTATTTTCAATAGTGGCTAAGAATAGTTTTTTGTGCGAGGTGTTGAATGTTATCTTTCTGACTGAACAAAAAAAAACAAGCAAAGCTAGTATTTGCACATTGTGTAGTTAGAAGAGATTAGGATTTAGTGACTTCTACCAGAAGTTGGCATTGCAGATTGCAGCTAAGTGAACTCGCCTCAAGGTTCCAGTATACCTGCCTTGCTGGTTGCTTTGCACACCGCCAGTAATGCTATTGCACAGCCGCATGCTCACTGTTGTGCTGCAGTATTCTCCTGAATAATGGGTGTCAGAGAAAACCTCTTCGTCAGTGCTGATAAATGGAAGAAATCACAATTGGAAGCAAAAGAGTTGCTTAGGGGGGTTTGTGTGAGGTTTTGTCTTTCCCCCCACAAAGTCTCATCTTTTCAAACTGTTGCAAGTTTGAAAAGGTGAATCTCTGAGCTTGTATGTCATATGTCAACCCATATGTCATTAAAATGGCAAGAAAACCGACACAAATGTATGGTAGCGCCATAGGTTATAGAAATTGAGAGGTGCTTGGGTGACAGGTGGTGGATGTGGGATCAATTTGACGTCAGCTTTGTCGTACAGTGTCATTCGCACTGTACGATGCAGCATGGCAGGTATAATGGGGCCCTTGCCTTTCCAGGCATATAGGAAAACTCATCTGTTCTGTAATGTAGAACCACTATGATACTACATGGTAGGATTTGCCTTCAGATGATTATACACTAATGAAAACATGATTATTTTCCATTTCTGCCAGTTCATCCACAAAGAAATCCTATAAACAGCCTTCAGTTACTGTACTGATCTGTGTTTCCTTGTAATGTTTTAGCTCGTCTGTTTTCTTGCCGTCCCCCCCCTTCATTAAATGTAAAACCCTGCTCCGTTTGTTTCTCCCTTTTGTTATGTACTTTAGATGCCTCGCGCTGCCTCAACATTCAGTTTGAATGATTCTACCAAAAGCAGTGCCGTGGTGCAGCGCTCTAACTCTCTGGACCACCCTCCAATCAGATTCAACATCCCTGATCGTATGCGAACCCCCTGCACTCCCCCCAAAAATCCTGTCCCCAAAATTGCTTCTGAGTTGAGCCAAGACCCCTAGCTTAATGCTTGCTCTGTCACCAGAAAATCTAAGCCCATTTTTAATGATTCTTTATTTAATCAACCAGGACTAACTCATTCCAGCCTCCCTGTTTCCTGGGAGTCGTCCTGTTTAAATCCTCCCACCTCTGCTTCTACTTCAGCTGTCCAAAACTCCACACAGCTCAACTCTAAACATTCCCGATCCAAATCTCGACTACATTTGTCCAGACCGCTGCCCTCTGTAGGATTCTAAGCAAGCTCCCCAGGTCCTCAACCTTTTAATGCCAAACGTAGGGGCTTTCCTGAGTCATGCAGAAATCCTCAAGTTCCCATGGATCCACAGAAGGCTGTCGTGACCAGTCCTTGCAAAGAGACTCTGCTTTAAATGATCGCTGAGCTTTGTCCTGGAGTTTGACGTGAGCAGACATTATTGTTGTTGTTGTCCACTTTCAGTCTCGGGTGCACCAATTCATTTTCCATTTTAAACTAATCCTCATTAAACTGTCTTGGCACATTTGCCTTTTTAATATCAGAGTATCACTGGTGCATTTCTAGTCCCAAATCAACTCCTTAGAAGCTGAGACCCTGCAAAATGAAAAATACAAATAAAAGATTTGCTCCACAGCCCAAGTCGGATCGACACAGACGAGATTCCATCAGTTTGCGTATAATGCTTCTCTCCACTGGAGATTGGTATAGGTGTAAAGGGTGGAGATTTTAAGGGTTGATTTGGAGTAATTTTTCTGACGAATTTCTTAGATTACAGAGTGGTGGTGTTGGTGGTGGATGGGAATATTCACCAGGTGGTGTACAGTGTACATGTTAGTAATGAGCAGGGGTCACGAAGAGCTGGGACTGTCATTCCAGATTGATACCTCTTATTTTGGGGGAGAGATTTAGATGTGAAGTCTTGATTTCACAAACAGATTGTTTCATTTTGCATTGAGCCAACTCATGAATATTAAAAAGGAATGATTCAGTTACCGTTACAACTATAAGACAGGATGATTTGTCTCTTATCGATCTTTGTTTTGATCAAAGCCGTTCTTTTTAGTGCCACTTGAAGAAAATATCAAGAATAAAAATCAAAATGTCAAAGTCTTCAGTTTTTGTATGCAGTGAGCTTTGTGTATTTGGGCTAGTTTACACACAAACATGACACTAAAATTAAAATGTCAATGTATTCACAATGTCAGTGTGACTTTTTATGTGAGCTTTAGTGTTTAGTGGCAGGTCAACTGTTATCTGTAATACATTTTAACCACATGTGATGCCTGAGTCACTAGGCACACAATGCCTCATATTAGCTGAAGCCATTTAAGGACCAGTATGAAGGATTTTTGTGGCATTGAGGTTGCAGACACTCGTGGTGTTGCCCTTACCTGATGCCCCTTTTTTCTGGCACATATTCTACAGAACTCGATTAAAATGCACCGTTTCGTCTCTGGTTTGTGTTTGTGCTTTGTTTTGGGGTTTTGTTTTTTCTTACATGGGCATTTTGCTCAGTCACAAATTGTCAGATGGGAAAGAATTGCAAATGAAGTGAGAATTGCACTGATGCAAAAGGAGAATTCCTTGATAATGATACCAGCTTTTTATAGAAAGTGTTGTTTTGATTAGGTGCACTTAAAAAAAAAAAAAAACACCCATCGCATCTTAAATGCAGGCATCATGTAGATAATGATACATGTGTGGCAACATTCCTGCATAGGCAACCCAAAAGCAATGAGCAGGGTTTTTGTTTTTGTTTTTTGTTTTTTTCCTTGAATCTGCCATCATTGTTTTGCTAGAGCTGAAATGAGAAACTATAGATACAACAATAGTAGCTGTTGTCGAGTGTATTCAAGAAGTGTCTCTTCTGGATCAAGAAGAAACAACTTTATCGACAAAGAAAGCAAAATGTAGACACATTTGTACCTTAACAGAAAGCTTGAAATACTTAAGTTTTCACAGGGAAAACTGACTTATAGGCTTGAAATATTTTTGAATTCATTGTTTTGGTTCTCACCATTATCATACTACTTGTAGTGATCAAACTAATCAAACTAAAACTTGAAGAAGTCTTGATTCTTGAAACTTCAACTGCCCTCACAGATTGGGGGAACAAAAAAGCTTCTGTATCACTGTTATGATGAACTCTGCTTAATTTATTCCAATAAGAGACACATCTATGCAAACTGTAATGTTTAGAGTAAAAATGCTTTGTATGACACTGGCGCTATATCACTGTAAATAGGCGTAAATCTACTGATGTGCATTTTCACACAGGGTATTTGGAAAAACTGTGGCTCTGATGAAATGCTTATAAAGAGCACTTGCCATGTGTGTAAAAGCCAGGTGGAAAGCTGCTGAAGTGTGATTGCATTGGCAAAGGTTGCACATCTCAATTAGTTTGGTGCCAGGTTTGGACTGAAAGGCATAGAGACTTGAGTAACAATGTTTGTCTCTTTGCATTCAGTAATTAAAATGAGGCTGCACCACATAAACTAAACTTTGTACTTGGTGCATACGCGTACGCACTGACTCACATTCCCAGTCTTAACTCTGAGTCAAGCTTGAGTATACAATGCCTTTAGAAAGTATTTTAAGTACGTCTTTGCAGGCGTTGTTTAAATTAAAATTGATTTAAAAGTTGTTAAATACCAGTGTTGATCACCAGTCTACATCCAGCAAAATGTATATGAGTCTGTGAAAAGCATTTTGCAACAAAGAGAAATTGCTTTAAGAACACAAATTTTAGAAGAAACACACTCTGTCTGGTGCTTAAACATATTAAATAGAATATATGTGAAACGATGAGGAAAAATAAGATGATTGTCTAGTAAAATGTTTGAGAACTCCAGCACAGACAAGTCTACATCACCTGGCCTTATACCATCTATCAGTGATTACCTCTGTAAGAGATTCTATGAAGTACTTGCTTGGGATTCTGCATCCTTAATGTGAATGATAAATTTAAGAATTTACAATATTGTTTTCAAACTGTTGCTGTGGATTAATGGGCAAACATAGAATTTATATCAACTTCATTATATCAGATTAAGAACTATGCATTCAAAAACTGAGAGAACCTGAATATTTTCTGAATTCAAAGATAACACAAGTAAACACAAAATGCAGTTTATATATAAAGGTGTTTATTAAATATTTATTATATATTTATTAAATGAGAAAAAAAAAACCTAAGCCTGTATGGCCTGTGTGGAAAAAGTGATAACCCCCTAAACCTAATAACGGAAGTGTTTGATAACTGATGATTCTTTTAGCACTGTGGAGCAATGTTGGCTCACTCGTCTTTGCAGAATTGTTGGAGTTGTGCTACATTGGATGGTTTTTGAGCATGAACTGCCTTTTTAAGGTCATGTCACAGCATCTCAATCGGATTCGGGACAGGATTTTGACTAGGCCACTCCAAAGTCTTCAATTTGTTTTTCTTAAGCCATTCAGGGGTGGACGTGCTGGTGTTTTTCGGATCCTTGACCTGCTGCAGGACCCAAGTGCGTTTTCAGCTTAAAGTCATGAACAGATGGCTGGATACTCTTGTTCTCGATGTTTTGGTAGACAGCAGATTTCACGGTTCCATTTACCACAGCAAGTCAAGGTCCAAACAACCCCAGACCATCAAACTACCACAGTCGCCATATTTTATGGTTTGTATGATGTTCTGTGTCTGAAATACTTGACCTCTTGGATGAGTCGTCATCCAAGAGATCATGAGTGGTAAACCTGGGAAGGTCTGTTACTTTGTTAGTTTGTTCCTGAATCTCCTGGGATTGTGACATGATGTCTGGCTTTTGATGATCTTTTGGTCTACTCCACTTTGTCAGGCAGGTCTGATTTAAGTGATTTCTTGATTGACAACAGGTGTGGCAGTAATCAGGCGTTTGGGTGGCTAGAGAAGTTGAACTCGGCTTTCCAAAGACGTGATACACCACTGTCAACTTTTCACACAGGGCAGTGTAGGTTTGGATTTTTTCCCCCCTTAATAATAAACATTTTCATTTAGAAACTGCATTTTGTGTTTACTTCTGTTACCTTTGTCTAATATTTGGATTTGTTTGATCTGAAACATTTAAGTGTGACAAACATACAAACTGTACATGTAAGCGGTTGTAAGCTGTTTAATTATCCAAATTGCAATTTCTGCAATATTTTCAGTTTATTAGAGCTTATTGCTTTATGTCAGCTTTCAGTGATTATGTAGTGATTTCATTGTACACTTGTTACAATGAGTGTAGAGTAATTGTAATCAGGAAAACAAATGCAAGCAGTCAGATAATCAACAGATTATCTAAATTACCTTAGTGGGAGGTGAAACATTAAATTGCCATTTAATTGTGGGAAAGGTTAAATATCCAATTGATACAGATCTTCATTCATATTTATGAGTACCCAAATACAAAGTCTAATAATAAACATTTCAAACTGCCTTCTCAAAAAAGAAAAAACTTGGTACCTGCAAGAATTGATTTCTTCATATTTGAATAAAAACTAAGGTGATTACCACCTCTTGCAGAGCTAATAATCATACTGAAAGCACCGTGGAGGCTACTTGGGCAGTTGAAAAACCCAGTTACTAATAACTGCTTGCCCTTCCCTTTCTTGTCTTTTAGTTTGATTGGTTAGATTGTCGTTGTCAAGATCTTCAAAATTATTCAGGTGCTTCTGGTCTTGTGGTTAGACACTTCACTCCCATCCTCTTGGACTGCATCTGGGGATGGTCCTTGTTCTGCGCTGAAAATCAACTGCAGTTTGGAGATTCAAGGATTTTCTGAAGTCATAGATCAACAGACTCGAGGGCTATTTTGTTTTTTATTTTCCCTTCTGTAGACGTCTGTACTGTGGGATGTGTTTTTGAAACTGAAGGAGTCACCTCCTGCCTACGATTAGACTGGATTTAATAATGCACTTGCTTACTGGCTTCACTTTTCAGGCCCTTTAACGCCTTTTGTGGTTTGTTTGTTGTTGTTTTGTTTTTTTTTTAGTTTGTTTTTAAATGGACAGTAAGGGCAAGTGCAATATTTGGTCATCTTTCCCCCTCACCCCCAACAGCCAGTTCTGGCAGATGACTTGTCCCTCTTTGAGTCTAGTTCTGCCAAACGCTCTTCCTTTCTGCTGTTGCCAACAGATCGGTTCTGTTTCTAATATTTTAGCATTTTCTTCATATAGAGCACCTTGAGGTGTCTGCTGTTAAGGTACTATATAAATAATGTTGACTGTGTACAAACACATAATAGGTAAAACTGCCATTCTCATATTCCCTTGCTGAAACCTATTTTTCCAAGTTGTATGAAATACCTCCACCCATATTAGATTTTTCTTGTAGCAGATCCAGTTTCCTATATGATAACAAGCTCAGTTACAAACATAAATATAGAAAGTAGTGTTTCAAGAAACCTGAATCACTCTTTAACAGGGATGTTGTGTATTAACATATAACTAACTATAAGTACTTTTTCTTCCATGTCTGTCATTTTCTTTTAAAAAATAAATAAATCTCTCTTCCATTTACAGGCACACCACTCACCCTCCATGGTCCATCTGCCTACCATGTTTGAGAGGAAGTATCACACATTCAGTCGTTCCACCACCCACCTCTTCTGAAATGCTTCTGTTTGAAGGCACCAGCAGGAGTCATTGCTAGCCTTTTCCACCTCGTTTGCTTTGACTGACACTAACAGCAAGATTTGACCACATAGGTCGATTTGCATAAAGTTAAAGCTACCTGTAAATACGACAAACTTATATTTGTCCAAACCGGTGCTTCAGGCTTACACAGATTTAGCCTATCCAGAAGAAATGGCTTTAAGCCATCATAATGCACTGAATGTAGGGACTTACTGATATTTGCCAGTATCAGAACTGTCCTGCAGCTGTCTGTGGCTTCCCATCTGAAATATGAGCAGCAGTGGGGGCAAGCTGGTCATAATTTTTATGCTTTATCCAGCTAATATTAGTCATTTGCTGCGAACTTCCAGGACTTCCTTTCTTTTTCCAAACTCACAATGTTTGAATTGAGACTGCATCACTAGGGCCTAACTGGAACGGTACTGTGCCATGTTTGTGTTTGATAGCCACTGCTTTGGTCAAGTTTGACTTAATTTAAAAAATATGAAGGACAAATTTTTAGTTTTTCTTGACATTTTCTGTGTGTGTTTGTGTACTAGTTACATTTTCAGTGTTTCTGTTTCCCTATTCAGCTTCCTGATTTCTAAGCAACCGCTCAGTGCCGTTCGTGGTTATAAGCATAGACCAAGTTTCATCATGTTTGTATACATGTGGTTTAAATGGGAATTTAATCGCATCTACGTTTGTTGCTAAATGCTATGGTAAAATAAATTAACATTAATTTTGAAGTTAGGTTTTTTTATTTAACAGGGGAAAATAGTTAATCTATTGTGTTGACTTTTTTGCCCTTCAATGTTATGTTTTTTTTTTTGTTTTGTTTTTTTAATTAACTCTAACTGACAATTGTCATTGTTTTATTGTAGTGTTGTAGATTTTCTCTCTCCGCATGTAATAATATTCTAATTAACTCACCTTGTTAATGTAAACTTAAGCTTCCAGCTTTTATAAAGCTTCTATTTTAACATTTGAGAGGTTCAGTTCCACAGATCACAACCATATGTTTCTTCCCAGTACACTTGTACCTGTTTTAAAAGCCTTTTTACACAACATCTGTATCTGTGCGTATATTCGAGAAGTGATGCTGCCTTGGTGTACATATTTATTCTTAGTACTTTTTTTGTGTTTTGTTTTTTCCCTGAATTACATTATTTATGTTTGTTCTCTCGTATCTTTAAGGCTCTTCTCACCAAGCCTAATCATTTCTACTTCTTTTATCTCAACATTAAATGCACTTAAAAATGTATGTTTTCATTTCATGAAGATGTAGGGGTTGGTGGCTAAATACGTTAAGTCATTTGTGTTAAAATAAATTTATTTACTATATCCCTGAAAATGTTCATGTCTCTGAATAAACATGACAAAAGTTAAATGTAACGCATCTTAAACCTTTAAAGTCAAGTGTATCATATTTGAGCAGTGGTTTCTTTTTTTTTTTTTCTTTTTTTTGGTCCCACCAGTAAAAACAAAATAACACGATAATTAATAAACTGGGGAGAATATGTAGCAAATATGATGCAAGTTAATCCATATGTAAATTAATATTTAATTTATGTGGTTTTTGTAATTCATCAGAAGGTTGAGTAAAAAAAAAATTTGGTAGTTATTTCATGGTTCAGGTTTTAAAGGGTCAAATTCTTGTCGTTTTTACAAAAAAAATAAAATAAAAAAACCCCAAGTCAAGCTACTACTAAATGAGTTTCAGGGCTCAATTCTCAAAATATTCACTTGAAGGCCTGTTTATCATTTGCATACTACTTTGAAAGAAGCTCATGAATGTTCCTCAGCACTCATCTATACTCATTTGATGTAGGAGTTAGTTTAGAAGTTTCTGGATCCCCCTAGACAAAAAGTGCCTTTCCCCTGTTTCCTTTCCCCCTTAAATCAGAGCTGCTGCTTTAAATTCATTTTTGAACCAACAGAATCAGTTGGTTCTTTGAAGAAAGTAAATCTAGTCCAGAAATACTGACAAATAGGGAAAACTGGATAACCAGGAGGTCTTTTGCTTAAGGTGAGATTTTTAAATGTGCACAATCTGGCAACAATGAGGCCAGTAAGCAGCACTACTTCAACACTGATCTCATATCGATCACTGATGACTAAACTCTACATGTAGGTTTTCCACTGCAAGAACTGGGAGCCTGCTTCACAGACCATAGCATAGCATTAGCTCTCTCCCCTTTACAAAAATGTGATTATGCCATTAGTATCCATTCTCCGTGGTACTCTATTGTAAAGCTGTAATTGTGCCTAATTACTTAATGAATTTCTTTAAAGTCGTCCCTTTATGTTAGCAGTTGTGATTTGCTGGCTGTTAATGTTCATGAAATCCAAAATAGCAAAGCCAAAAAAGAAAAGGCTTTCTGAACTTTGACGCAGCTTAAAAGTTCTAATTAAAAAGATGCTAAAATTCTCTCTGAGTTCATACTCCCAGCACACACTCAGACCTCAGCTGCATGTCCTCTTGCCCTTAGCTTAACTATAATCACATTAGCTACCGCAGACTTTCTCACACTGAGTGGAGGTGCGATTTGAATGGTGAACATTTAATTTTAGCCACATTAGTATTTCATGTCATGGCAGTGGGTTGAGAAGGGTGTTCCTGTTTAGTGCTCTTTACGTGAAACCTCTTCAAAGTATTAGAGAATAATCTGTCTAGTCTGGATAAGTGTGATGCGCCAGTCTGCCAGCTAGCAACTGGAGGTGGTGTCATGCAGGCCGGAGGCAAGGCGAGGCTGGGGAATAGCCACAACCAAAAGCCACCTCTTCATGGAGGACACTCACTCTTTTTATATTTGCCTTTACCTTCACTTCAAAGTAACTCTTCCTGGCCATTTAGGGATGAAACAAACAAAAAAAAAAAAGGCATGCCAGAAGAAGTTGGTGGGGGCTGCAGTTGGAGTTTTAAGGGTCTGCAGAGGCTAAGCTACCATCAGAGCAGATAAATACTATTCAGCTCAGTCTACCTAAATGCTGCAATTGGGAAAGAATTCTTCATGGGAATATTCCGTACTCTGCATGGATATGAGAGAAATACATTTCATTCTACAAACGGATTTCATAGTGGAGACACAACCAGAAAGAGAGAGCAGTTTGACATTGAAATTCCTCAGTGAAATGTGAAGGTGTGGAAATTGGACGTGTTTCATATAAAGGAGTTCCATGCTGTGAGAGAAGTTTTCGTTTTCACTCAAAGTTTGTCTTATTGAACTGTGACCCAAAACTTTGCCTAACTTTTACAGAAATCTGGGTGTGTTCCAGGCAGGAGGATTAGGAGTTTTGGGAATATGAAGCACACACACACACGTCTGTAAACCCCAGGTCGCCAAGAGAATTGATTGGGCATCGTGTTGTCCATAATGAACATGAATGAATGAACTGCTGTCAGTGTTTGTCCAGCAGGTGCGCCAGTCATAGTGTGCCGTATGTCAGATAACCAGTACAGTCCTCTATCCTCTATCACAGAAAAAGCTTCCACATTTCTGCTTAATGCTGCTGAACATTGTTGCTTTTGGCTCTTAAAAACTCAAACATTTAATGGAAACTGGCAGTTTTTATCAGATGAAAGTTTATATGAAAGATGGTTCAATGCTTTGTTATTCATGGACCTTTTAGACCAAAGGCAGTCATCAAAAGACTCTCTTTGACAGCTGTAGATGGGATTTTTGTGTTGTGTTATCGTAGCCCTTTGTTTTTGTAGGCAGTGACAAAGAATGGCGTGCTTCAGACCAACTTGTCAGTTCTGTCGTAAATCTAAAAGTAGAGAACATTTCAGATATCATGGTCACCAAAGCTGAAGAAAATGTATGAACTGATGAACAAGTGTATAATATAGAAGTTTCTTTTTATCCAGCTGAGTGATCAAGCCAGTTAAACCAATTTAAATCCTGCCAGTAGAGGCAAAACACTACACACCTGCCTGTGCCGGAATAGATTTAATTTCCAGCTTGTTTGTGTTTGATTTGGTTCAGGCGATACCACATTTAACTCCAACCATATGGCAGACAGGTCAGGTGGTCACCACACAGAAAATTCACCCTCAAATTGTGAAGTGCTGTCATAGCAAAGTTCCTAAATCAATTCATTGTGTTCTGCTAGTGGCAACTTCCAGATTTCTCCCAGGACTGAAGAGGATATTGTCTCTACGAGTCCCTCTAATAAGGCTCAATGAATTCATCTGGGCTGAAGACTTAATTAGGACACGGTCCTATTTTTCTCTTGCACTGTCACTCAGAGCGCTTTTGTCCTTTATTTCAAGTCTCTGAATATTTTTTTTTTTGTACTGTTTCATCTGTGCTTTTAAATGAATTTTTCAGCTGAAGCGATGAGCTGAAAACGATGACACAGGACCGTCTACTGGAGCCTCACAGGAAGAGATTCTGGAGATTCAGAAATGACTGTTGATCGCAGTCTCAAATTAAGCAGAATGACTCTAGCTTCCAGGTACTTCTGAGCCCTTAAACAGGTGAGAATCACTGCTGGGACCTAGCTGTTTACTCACTACAGAGGACATCAAAGGAAGAGAGAAGCTAATGTTATTTACATGTTTTACCATAGTAATGATAAGCAAGAATTGTAACAGTATGTGTGTACGTGCATATAAACTTGTTTTGGCATGTTCTTCATGATAAGCTCATAGCTCAGAGGGAATTGCAAAACACAACATATCCATTTCCATCCATTTCAGCAGATCTCTTATTCAACTTTACTGCAAACATGCCATTTTTTCTTGCTCTGCAGATACCTGTATACAGTGTAGCTACATTTGAAGTGATACTGAACAGGTAGCTGTTTATCATCTAGCTTCATATTCGTGACAATTTCTGAAAAAAGATATTTGTTGAGAGCAATAAATTGGAAAAAGGGGGATGAAGGATGGAGAGAAGGATGCTCTCCCCCTGAGGTAACACTGTGTCTAGAGCTAACCAGATATCTATTTACATAAGCTAGTTGTGCAGAGTGAATACAGCACATGCTGTGCAAGCTTGCCTGCTGGGTATTTACTGCAGGTTATAGGACCTTAAGCCGCTCACTGTGCGATTTCAATAAGAATCCTCTGAAAAATGACTAAAATCCACCAAGGATCTCCGTTTCAACAAAGGACAGCAGCAGCTTACCAGGAAAGAGATTTAATTCAAATGTACTGCCACAAAGTCTACTGTATATTTGATGATGCCTACAGTAACTGCATACGTTTTTGGACAATGACACTTTTTAATATATATATTTTACTTTACTATTATTATTTATTTATTTTTAAATTTTTCCCATGTTAAAAAAAAACATGTATCAAGAATATAGTTGTATTTGTTTAGGAATTATGGCAATTTTTCAGATGCAAAACAGTAACTGGACAAAATAACAAAATTAGAAATATAAGGAATGTTTTTAATATTGTGATAAAAATCCTTGGTGCTCAGTGCCTCCCTAAATCCAGAACCTGTACTGCTGCCACCTTGAGCTGTTGCTTCTTGGGCAAGATACTAACCCCAAGGTGCTCTCCAATACGGCAGCGGAGTATCAATGTGTGTGAATGTTAGATAGCAAGCTTTTACATAGAAAAAGCATGAAAAAAATGCTGTATGAATGGACGAATGAGGCAATTTGTGTAAAGCGCTTTGTGTGCACTTTTTTAAAAAACGGACCAACCAGTGTGGTGTGATTTTTGACCCCTTTGCACATTATGGTACTGCAATGCAATGAGGTTCTGCAGTTTCAAAGAAAGCATTATAGCGAGACAGCTTACTCAGAAGGTCCTTTGTGTCCTTACAAATCTATCATTCTTTCTTAATAAAGTTATAAGTGGAGACCACTTCAGTGCTTGCTAATGGATTTTTAAATGATGCTTCTTTTATTTATTCTTCAGAGTACCGGATGGACATGCTAGAAGTAGACGTGCTGGATATAGGATACAGAAGGGTTTGGTTCAAGCTGTACCACTGTCAAAGCAAAGCTATCTTAACTTTTGCTTGACATGGGTGCTGGCTGGGCTCTCCCTTTTAAATAGGGTAAGGAGCTCGGTCATTTGAAAGGAACTGAGAGTAGAGCTACTACTCCATATAAAAGGAGCCTTTTAAGGTGGTACAGACATCTGATGACGATGCCTCCTGGACGCCTCCTAGGTGAGGTATTATGGGCACGTCCTACTGGGAGGATGCCCCAGGGCAGATCCAAGTCTCTTTGGAGAGTACATCTTTTGGCTGGCTTGGGAATGTCTCAGTGTTTCCCCAGATGAGCTGGAAGAACTGGTTGGATCAGGGAAGTCTGGGCTTCTCTGCTGAGACTGATGCCTCCACAACCCGAATTGAGATAAGCAGCAGGATGGATGGATGGAGC